GAAAGAGCAACGGTTTCCGGGTTGAGCCACGGTCACAGACAGGATTTTATTGGTCACAGCGCCGACAATACCATGGAACCGTTTAACTTAAGCATCGTGAAGATAGTGTGTACCTGTACCAGTAGTGCCGGGAGGTTGCTGTTAACGGTGACGAATGTGCTGATGGCGACGGTGTGCTCATTTCTGATTTTGTGATAATTGTGGTTTCTAATGTCTTCTTGTTCTTATTCCTGCCGTTTAAGTCGCATTATCGGTCGTATAGCAGTTTATTTTTTATTTCTGATCAATATTATGTTAGCGGAAGGCTTCACTAGGTTTTCTTATAATTAAGTACTTAAAGTACAGAGCAATGCAGTTGCTCTACGTGGCACGTATGCAGATGGATCAGGTCATGGTCGAGCTGACCACAACATTCCCATGCCGAACACTGACGACTGCGCTCATCATACGTGATCCTCACCCGTATATACTGTACATGATCCACAAATTACTACTCGTATTTTGCAAAATGATACAGAAATACCACGTACGACGGTACGAGTCACGCACTACGAAACCGTGTTTTTTACTCAGATCTCATGATTGTACTATATTTTAATGCGCTGATCAACAAATACAACTACACGCCGCGATCGAATTATAACTAGCGGTGGTTGATAACCACATCACTGCACCGAGCGCGAACAGTAACCACTGTGTCTGTTACGCATTTCCAGTACCACTTAAAAATGGTACGTACCACTGGAACTGGAATCAATGTGTGGATTTCCACATATCCCATAGGAAAGAGGGTTACGTACGCGCTTTTTGGCGTCAGACAAACTCTGCTTCTGCTGTGGAAGTATATACTCTGCTATGGAGCGTGTAGTCTTGACGATCAGTTACTGTAATTGCAGCACCTCGCGCTTCGCGCTCGGTGCAAATTATTCCGTTTAAGTCACGCACGGAAGCGTAAAGATTTGAACTACTTTTTCAGCTTTTAGATATAATTGTTATTATTAATTTCATGAAACAGGATCACCGCGTTAGCGCTGTTGTCATTCGGATGACTACTTAGCTAATAGATTTGCGTTTTAATACAATGTAGCACCATCATCGTCCGATTAACATATTCAGTTAAAGGATTTTTCAGTCGAACTGCATTGTACTACCTTCATGACCATGTATACAATTTCTACTGTACTTAATCGCTGTCGCAATACGCGTTTACTAGAGTAGGGATAACACACGCTAATTGCAATTTCACATCGATTATTGACATTGTTATATTGTACCTACATTATTTACCTAAACGTGGTCGATTAATAAAATCAATGGGATTTTATAGAGTTCAACAGGAAATTTTCATCATGGATGGATACTTTACATTTGATTTGATGGCTATTGGTATTAGTATTATTAGTGTCTTCGCAAGGTCAAAATAAAGTTTGATGGGAAAGTTTGATGCGTAACCAGCTCCACTCCCTAATTAAAACTACGGTTATATGATATTTTGTGTTCGAAGTGCGTTTATGGACGTTCTCTAACTTTTCGCACACTTAAACCGGTACAAGACAACAAGTTGATTTTTGCTGCAGACACGTATAAACATAGCAACCGGATAAAAATTTGATTAAATGCAACATACGTTGTTTTTCGATCACTTTGCAAACAAAAACATAGCATAGGTCTTCCACAGCGCTCCACATATGCGGAGGACTGGAAGTGGACCGGCGGTTTTTTGTCTTTTCGGCCCAATTCGTGACAGACTACGCCGCACTGTATGTACAGTACAGTTGACATAAATAATAGTGCGCTCCACACAATACCATTAATACAGTCACTACATTCAAACAGACACGCGTATTATCGAATACGCTGCCAGAGTTTGATGGCCAGCAAGCGCGTGCCTGCACGTTTTTATTACCCAATTTTTTTGATAAGATTTTCAACCATTTCCAGTTTTTCCAAGTGGCAAAGCACTGCAGCTGTGATTCTCGGTGGTCGAGACTTATACTTTGTTCAACCAATTCGTAAACCAACGCAGATCGAAAGCGATGAACTTGCATGACGCATGCCTGGCACGCTTTGCGAAAAAAAAATGTCAATTTCATCTGGCACCACAGTACTGAGCAGCCAAGTCGTTGACTGACACCAATCCTGCGGTGCACGTGAGTTCTGGTTAATTCTTGGTAAGGACAAAAAAGTGTTCAACTATCAGAAAACTGAAAATTATTCTGCTATCCTTTCGATCGGTGAAAAGTGCACTCGCATGGTGATTTGGTTAGCGCGCTGCGTTGTATCGTACTGTATGCTTATATATGCCGAAAATGACAACGTCCGTTGCGTTTTTGTTATCCGGACACCGCTTGCCGTGCATCTTCCTGGTTTTCATGGTTTTCGGCCTTTGCTCCGGCTTTCGTGTTCCCTCGAAAGCAGCCGACATCCCCGCCAAGAATGGGCCTGCGCGCACCGTGAAAGATATTCGAAAGGTCAGCGTCGATGCCGGTAAAAATCTTCTATTAGACTGTGACAGCGCCTCAAGGTCAATGGCTGCGGATAGTCAAATGATGTGGGTTCGCTACGATATCCTGCACAAAAATCCCGTGCCGCTGTTCCGCGACACCATACAACTGTTGAGAAAGAATCAGCGCTATCATCTGGCTGGTGCGTTTGATTTGAGGATTCTTAATGTTACGGCGGAAGACATTGCTGTGTTTGAGTGTTTCGACTTGGTGCACCCGGAAATCACCACACGGTACGAAGTGTTTGTGCGCAATCTCCCACCGGGAGGGAAGATCCAGCAAGTTGTCCCGGGAGATTCTGGAGTGCTTGTTAAAGTCCCTGAGCTGAAAGGTCACACGATGGACCAATCCGGAACAATGCCGAATGGTGCGAAACCGGTAGAACCAACGGGTGGCGGATCGGGCAAAGGTCATGCGGGACAGAAAAACGGAGAAGCGGACACAACGACGCCAGAGACAACGGCTTCTGGAGGGAGTAAAAGTCGTGCGGGGCAGAGCGGCTGTAAGGATCCGATGGCGGATGGTGCGATAGCAGTGCTGAACGGAACAACAGTGGGCACGTGTGGGGCCGGAAGGTTGCTGTTCACGGTGACGACTGTGGTGATGGTGGCAGTTTGCTCGTTTCTGATTACGTGATGCATGGTGATTCTGTTCCGTACAGACACATTGTACAAAATGATGCCGCTGCACTATGCATATGCCGCGTCATTAATCATAATAAGCGTTGATAATCTTAATAATCATGGCATCTTGATAGTCTTTTTATGCACCTTCTTTATGTGTACTTAACTGGTAACTTGGAAGCAGTGTGGGAACGCTTACTATCGATACTTTTTTTTAGAAAGTGCTAACGAATCGTAAGTAAAGCAGTCTAAGCAGATACTGCTGTTGCCTGCATGCATCGAGCTCTGTAGCAGAGTTGGTTAGGTCATCACTCGTCAGCATCACAGCACTTTCAAACCGATATTAAAAAGTTTTGCTAATTGGTAAGACATAATCTATAGAACGAATGGTATTATGTGCTAAAGATTACTGCGACGCTGTCTTTTCTAACGGATAATATGACAACATATACAGAGTACGCACTTTCCTTTTAAGTGTCCTTTGACACGCTATATGCGGCCTGAACGCAGCCGGATGCACACCGAAATTTAACTGCTAAATTTTAATTTTGTTACAGTGTATGGGCATCATAACAAATCGTCATCATCATCGCGTGGTTGCTGCAGCATAACTCAATGGTTTTATCTCGTATTGGTTTAATAGCATTCTGGCACATCGTCGTATCCTGATAAGAAAACATATGCCTCATAAGAAATTAGGAAAAAAATAGTTTATAACGAGGATAACACGGACAACGAATTGGATCGTTGAGTGACTGAGCGCTATACAATGTGCCGTTCACATGCGGTCGTTGCCACGTAAAATGCGGAGTGCAGTGCAGCCGGCATTCGGCCCCCTGTATATGAGTGTAGCCGACATCCAGTCTTCTGGGCAGTCCGAATGTTCGCGTAAATTGTACTACGGTCACTGAGACTGGCAAAGAATGGTCCTTTAAAAAAAATTAATATTGACCGGCGCGTAGCTGAGCGTGTTAGCAATTTCCGGTACCGGCGACTGCGGCGTCTAAATTAATGGATGACTTGTGGTAGTCGGCGTTACCCACGTCGTAGCTGATCTATCAGCGAAGGACTTTTCGTTTCTTTTCCTGATTTAGTGCTGTAATTCTTAAAATATGGTATTCGATGCAGTGACTTTATGAAAAAATATTCCACCAAGAAGTGCTAAGGGTAGTAAAGGTATTAGAATTTCTTTTATCTCAAAAGCTCCGATATTGCCTTCTTTGCCATATAAAAAAGTATATTATTATAAATAAATTATTGTAAATGCCTAATAATACTATGCTAACTGTTTTTATTAAATTACGACATCTTTTTGTGTTTAAAACGTATATAAAGCTTTCTGACTTACGCACATTTAATTACGAACCGGCAAAAGTATAAAACATACGCATGTACAAAGTATGTACAGAGTAGCTGGATTCCGATTACATATAAGAGATAAGCAAACAACAACAATAAGAATTTAATTTTGAACGTGAAATACTTTTTACCGAAGCTATAAATGAATTCCGCGTGAGTGTATGGCGCGTACTTTCAAGTTTCCGGTTGTACTCGTATACCGCACAGCGGTATATCTATACGAGTACATCAGTAATTATCGTTTTGCATGCACCTTGCTAACATGCTACTATATAATATTATTACCTTTTAATCTTTTATCATTGGTTAACCTATTGCCAATACCGTAACTTATTCGTAAGCTTAAGTACCGTATCAGATTTAACAAGTAGCAGAAAATGACAGTCGAATACAAGAAACGCCTTATCTATTAATAAAGTGTGCAACGGAAGGTGGTGCCGCGTTCGCAGGATGGATGCCGCGCTTCCTCATACTGTGTACGCTGGGTATATTATCTGCTGATAAGTTTTCCGAATTTAAATTACATATTTATTTAATACAGAGACGCAGTATTTTAATTATTATAAAACGACTAGAGGATACCGCGCCGATCTGTTAAAATTATTATAGGCTGGCAACGCGTCCCATGAACGTCATCAGTTGTGTGGATTCATGGCGAATGGCAAAGAGGAATGGATGATCAGCGCGGAATTCCGGCGGTGGATCCAACGGTTCCTCGAAAGCGCACTCCGTTACGCCTATGACGGCGGTGGCGGCCGCCGCTTCCGTTCCCGATTCGTTCACTTCTATTACAAAAAACAGGGTTGATAAATTAGCGGTTATTAATAGCGCATTGAAAACTTTACATCTTTTTACTATGCGACTAATTTGACTAATAAATTAACTACAATATACACCAAATGCGCTTTTATGTGCAGAGAAAAATTGTTTACATGAATGTGTAATTCCTTATGTGCACTTAACCTTCCTTTTTCAATTCTTATGATTTCATTCTGAAAACAGCGGATAAAATGCTGAAAATGTTCAGATTGCCTAAAATGCATATAAACAGCGGCGCTGTATATATGTATTTTAGGCACCAGCGCCCCCAAATAAATTTGAGAAACCAAAAAAGCCATAATTATGGAGATGCTTATCCTGACCTAACGAACCTAGAGTAGTGCTTTTGTAACAGCTAGCTTCAGTCTTTAACGGCTAAACCAAACGAGTAGCAGGAAGCGATGCGCTCCGGCCTACCAGTGCACAGTTCGGTGCACTTTCTTAGTTATTATTTATGATTATTTATTATTATTGATTTTATTACCGACGAAAGCTTTGTGAATGACGTTGGACACGGTCAGCCGATCGTCGTCCACCATCCGGCTGAGATCGGCTTTCTCGAACAGCTGATGCACTCCCAGATTTTTCAGCACCGGCACCAGTTCGTACGATTGCTCCAGTTTGAATTTAGGCAAATACACATCAACCTGCACAAAATAATGTCCAGAAATAAATGGTAAAACCAGAACGACAAGAATTACCCATCTTATTGAACAAACAGTTTACTTGTTTTATTTGTAATCAGTAAGATAAAATTTTAAAATAGTAGGGTAACACTGAAACTTGGAAATTAATGTACGGCGCAATACAGACAATATAAATAAAAGAATCTGACTGAAGTCAAATAAAATCTACTAACTACGGGTTCATTAATATTGAACGGAATGCAATAAAAAATGGGTCTAATATCACTATATACCTTAATTTTCCCATTAGTCCAGCGAAAATTACAACAAAAATAGCATTTAAGTGACGGCAGCTGATAAGCGTGGGATCTTTATGACAAAAATGTCTATTATTATGGCAAAAACAATTATTTATTTTTTTGAACAACTATGTAAAACGGGTATGTCTTGAGTATTGTAAACGTACTATCAAACTGTATTTCCAAAAATTGTTAACAAATGAGACACGGTGGCATAAATATACAGCTACTAAATATGGCAAATAAGTCACTTCGACCAAGCTAAAGGCCGCAGTTTATCCAACGCACTACGAAAATGCCTTACGCGTAGTAGCGTATACCTCTTGTTCTGAGGCACTCTCAACCGCATCCCGCAGCATCCGCACGCTTAAATGCCCCTCCAACTCCTTCAAGCCATTACGCTTTTTAGGCAGCACGATGATCATGGACAATTCATGATTTTTGTAGGGCAGGCGCAGCAGCTGGAAGTGTTCATTCTCGGTGTAGCCGGCTTGGAGAGACTTGTGCATGAGGTCCACCTTGGAAGTCTGTCCGTTGAGATTGGTGAAATCGGCGTCCTTCCAGGTGGCATGTTCCTCGAATTCTTCGTGCCACTGCGCCTTGAAATAAATGGCGTTAACCAGGACAAAAGCGGTGTCCGGGGTCACTGTCTGCGTGTTGACCAGGTCACGGATTTTGTTGTGGGTCTGCTTCTCCACCCATTGGTTGATCTCGGCGACCGCGCCAGCCGGATTGTTTTCGAAATCTGTTTCTCCCACTTCGCTTTTCAACTTATCTACCGGGAAATTCTCGATTATTTGGATGTACCTCGTATGTACTGATTTTTTAAAATAGAATTTATTGATTCTATTTAATGATTCTATCACAGCTTCATGATTAAATAAATTTACTGAATATTTTCTTAGTCCAAAGTTATGGATTATTTAATTCTAATTCAAGATGATTGATTACGTTTGCTGAACATTTTTCCTTCGATTGAAATTATACTGTAGATTCATGAGTAATTAAATTACCGATTATCTTCCAGCTTTTTTGCCCATCGGACAACGATCATGCGATCAATAAATCAGATTTTAATTAAGAACTTAATACAGCAAATTAAATTTCGCCAATTAGTTATTACGGTTTGTACCTGTAATGATGGCTTTGAAATCAGCTTTTACATGCAATCCCTTCCGCAAGTACGCTTTATTGGCCAGCGCCAAGTGATAGTTCTCCTCGCCATCTTCCTTTTTACTGGGCGCAAACACCCGCAACACCTCCCCGTACACATCCAATAGCTGCTTCTCGTTGCCGCCGAAGACTTTCTCCGGATGCAGCATGTTGGTCATCTCCTGTTTAGTAATGCCATCCGCTCCCAAATACGCCAGGAACAGTGCGCTCTGGATGCTGAATGGCGATAGGAAGGCATTCTTCTCGGCATTCGCTTTGTCCTGGATAATACTCTGGTAGATTTTCAAGGAGAACTGATCGGCCGCTTCGCGGAATCCTTCCAAACTGAGCGCCATGTTTTAATACAGTCGACTGGTCGAATTAAAGCGAAGAACAACCAAGCATTCGTCTGGACCATAAATGGTGGAAAAGAGAAATTTTCTTCGGAGATATTATTATGTAGAAGTGAACTGGTTTGCGATATGAAGGAGGATAGCCGGTTGCCGTATCAATAGCGGCATGCGCTTTTATATGCAAGCAATCAGTGCAGATATGAGCGGATAAGTCAGGCGTTTAAAGGTCGTTTGATGCTTAGGAATTATACTGAAGTACTGGATCTCCAGCTACTGCGTGCCACAGATGGGTATAATGCGGTTTCGGTCATGGGATCGGAAATGTTTAATGAGCTTTAGTGTTTTCTAGTTCTTAACAAATGTGCTGTTCGTATACCTAGACTGTTTTTATAACACACTGTACGACGGTACGGGTCTGATAATTCTGCACGTACATTGCGGTGTACTGTACACGATTTAATTTGGAACGGAAGACAAAAACTTGCCGGTCTATTTCCGATCCTCCACATGATCCGAGAAAAAGACGACATAAACTCCCTTTCATTCCAGCATGCGGAAGCTGACAAAAATGGAAGAGTTGTTTCTAGAGTTATCTGTACTCGCTGCACCGAAGAAAATTCTTGTGAGAGTGCATCTCCTGAACCCCCAATAGTACATACTTTCAGGTAATGACCACATCCGTCTTAAATTTTTATTTTCTGGGCACCGCTTTGTCGCGTTTGTTCCTGGTTTTTCTTCGTTTGCGGCCTCGGCTTCTGTATTCGTGTTGCCCCGAAAGAAGCAGGAACCGCCGCCAAAAAATATATCTATGCGCGGCATTGGATACTCGAAAGGTCACCGTTAATAAATGGTCAGAATCTCCTACTAAAGCGTGACAGCGCTTCAACGTTAACCCTCCAGCGGGAGGTACCCGAAGGAGTGCGAGTTTCCTTATAAAAATCGGGATTTCCCGATGAAAAAATTCAATTAAGAAAGGGAATTTTTTGCGAGATGGTGCTGACCATAGGTCAGCCGTGGTGACCATGTTGTCGCCTGACGCCAATGCCCATGGACAGTCTACAGCATATAAACGTTTAATTCTGTAATAACTAGTCGAAAAGTTATTACACAAAAGCAACAACTTCATTAAATAGCCCAAAAAAAGTACTTTAAAACAGAAGTATAGAAGTGGTCAACAAGTTGACCACTGGTCAACAAGTTAACCACTGGTCAACAATAAATTAAAAATGACCAAAAGTCATTTTCATGCATTTTGACCATTACTACTGTACTGATAAAATATAGATTATTACAGTCATATGGTGCTGGACGAAGCGCTCTTTACAAAGTTTAACATAACACTTGCGTCATTTCGGGCACGCCAACCCGCCTTTATGTTTGCTTGTATTGCCTGGGGTTCTATGTTTCCTGGATTTGACCAGTGGCTACAAATGCCATTATCGGAAAAGCGGCGGGGGTAGTCCAGCTGCACTGGTGATAGTTGCTGATTCAGATATTAGTGGTCACTATCACTTTTTGAAATGCACTAGCGGTAGGAAAGTAACCCGGAAGTAATGTGCACATCGCCAATGTGCACAGTACAGTGTGCAACATTCTAGTTTGCAATCGCCCGAGTCCAGTCAAAGTTCCCATGTTTTTTTAAAGCTACCCAGCCCCACTTGCTTGGTTTATCCAAGTGACGCATCGCAAACATAGGTGGAAACGCGTCAGAGCGTAGTGTTGCGCTTCCATTTTACATTGTCATACACACTGTTTCCTCGAACGTGTTGCTGTCTGAACTCTGAAGGCTGACAACCTTCGAGACAATTTTACTATTTTGACCACCGCCCGGGGAGCTGATCCGCAGAAGCGCTTTTTGCCAGCTGCCGATAACCGGAACGGTGTGGCGCATGTTTGCTTACAAACCGACAGCAACTTTCCGGATACGTTATAAAAGCTGATGTCGAAATTGCACCCGCCCGTGGATTCAAGACCCTTCATGGGCAATGGTGTCAGCCGACGACACACGTTTTTCACGGACTGTGGTCATCTATGGTTCAACCTACAGTGTCCGTGTTAACCGTTTTCAGATAGAGCGTTCTCAGGTGTACCTTGTGGATTTATCTCCGGTTTAATTATTCATTCGCTAATTAATTAATTAGCAAGACCTACGACAGCTAGAAAAGTCCAAAATTAACGATTTTTGCGGACCTGTCGTTCGTAATTAACTTGAGACAAAGGCTTCAATTACGTTTTTACTGCTGCTTCGAAGTCCCTTTTTGCTTTTTGTGCTATGGGATACCGATTAACTGTTTCGGATCACTGGGAAAAAAATCCCAAACACCTTGTCGTCGCCTGACGCCAGTGCCCGTCAACGGGTTAAAGAGAGAGTCCAGTAAAATGATATAGGTTCGCTTTACGTACTATTCTACATAAAACTTCCTTTGCCTCTTTTCAACGGCACGATAATACTGGAAGGAGAATCAGCGCTGTTATCTGACTAACGGATTCGACTTGGGTATTCGAATTATTGACAGCATGACTTCTGAAGATATTGCTGTGTGTGAGTGTTTCGACTTGTAATTGCGCCCGCAAATTGCTGCGCGGTATATGTAAAGTGGTTGTGTACGATCTGCCACCGGAAGGACAAAAGCATCACATTGTCCCGGACGTTCTAGCAGCAGAAAATGGCAGCCGGATAACAGGAAACATTTTATATAAGTTATGCATTGGAATATCGTGCCGCTCGCAGGATGGATGCCGCGCTTCTTCGTACTGTGTATGTCAGATCTGCTAATTTATTTTCCGATTAAAATTATTTTATATGGAGAGGTGATATTAAAAAGTAATCGGCTGGAGGAAACGTTGAGATAACGCGCCGAGTCTGCTAATAAAATTAATATTATAAGCTGCCGACGCGTCCCATGAACGTCAGTAGTTGTGTGGCTTCATGCCGAATGGCAAAGAGGAATGGATGATCAGCGCGGAATGTCGGTGGTGGTTCCAAGCGTTCTTCAAAACTGCACTTCATAATGCCGATGACGGCGGTGGCCGCCGCCGCTTCCGTTCCCGCTTCGTTCACTTCTGTCACATCAAAGAAGAAACGTTAGCGGTTATATGTGCATATACACGTACCTAGTGGTTCTTGCGCGTTTATACGAGTATTTAGCTGGTTGCTGAAATTTTACAGCGTCAAGCTGTGCATATTTTTGCACTCGTTGTTTGATTGAAAGTCCTTTGAATAATTGCCGGATATGCATGATTTCCCTGTTGTCGTTCTTTTTTGTTTTGCCGACTGCGAATCGGCGACTACTTTTCGCTCGTTTTTGAACAGAAATTATTGTATGTATGGGTAGTGTTTTATTTCAGTTGAATTTGCGGCAACAGGGTGACTTTTATTGCGGTGTCAGCCTTAATTTTATTTAATACAGCTCTTCCAGAGTGCAAATGTTCGTGAACAATTAAGCATCGACATATTGCGTTATATAGTTAGGAAGCGAGAAATTATTATTTTTTAAAGATTGTCAATGTCGAAAGCCACGTGCAGCTCAACGGAAAAATTTCGGAAGAAAATGCAACAGCAGCGCTGCAGTATGTAGATGTACATAGATAACAGACGAATGCTATGTTTCACAGTTTTCCGACGCGACCCAGGAATGTCAGTAGACCGGTGGACTGGTGTTGGATGGCAAAGAGAAACGGGTGATCAGCACGGAAAACCGGTTTTTCCATCAGAAGGAAATTCATACTGCGCAGCATTACGCCCACAACGGCCGTGGCGGCCGCCGCTTCCGTTCCCGACTCGTTCACTTCTGTTATACAACAGCGTACGTAAATTAATTTGCGGTTATTACTGAACTGACGGAATTTGCGGTTATTACTGCACAGATGCAGTGTACCTATAATTATGTACAGTACTACAAGCGCTGTTGTTTTCATATATGCAGATGTAAAAACTGCTAACGTGAATGGGTTATTATTACCATCTGTACAAATGCCAACTTATATAGAAGTATGTACAAAGTACGCTGTAACTGTTGCAAATAAACTAATTTTGACACTTTTCACTGCATAAGAGTTTTTTGAATTCGTCTTTTTTATTGCTGGGAGTTGTGGTCATTTGTAACAAATGATGAAGTGATAAAGAGGGAATTCAAGTGGTTTGTAAACTTTTAAACTTTTAAACTTTTAAACCTTTAAACTTTTAAACCTGCTGCACCTGGAGTACTTAAGCTGTCTTAAGGTTTATAACACTTCTTTGAATCAGCTAAAAGTTCTTGACTAATTTTTTTAGCTACCTAAAATTTTTAAACTAATTGTTTTAGTTTTAGCCAGGTTAACCGCAGTTAACCGACTAATTAGTCGGCTAATTTTAGTTTTTTTTCATGATATGGGTAGTTCTTTATTTGGCTCAAATTTGCGGCAGCAAAGTAACCTTTATTGTGATGTCAGCCTCTTTTATTTATTGCAGCTCTTCCAAAGTCCAAATGTTCATGTGCAATAAAAGTCATAATTCTTCATAGTTACAGGAAGCGAGAAACTATTAATTTTTGTAGATTGTCTTAATGTCGAAAAGCAATGTGCAGCTCAACGGGAAAATTCCAGAAGAAAAGGAGCAGCAGTGCTGCATATATACTGGACATGACAGATTAATGCCATGTTTCACAGTTTTCCGACGCGACCCAGGAATGTCAGTAGGCCGGTGGACTGGTGTTGGATGGCGAAGAGAAACGGGTGATCAGCACGGAAAACCGGTGGTTCCACTATACGGATATTCATACTGCACAACATCACGCCCACAACGGCCGTGGCGGCTGCCGCTTCCGTTCCCGACTCGTTCACTTCTGTTACACAACAGCGTAGATACGTTAATTAGCGGTTATTACGGTACAGATGTAGTGTACCTACAATGTACAGTACTACCATCGCTTCTATTTTCATATGCAGATAAAAAAAATGCTTCCGAGAACGGGTTATTATCGCTCTCTGTGCAAATGCTAATTTTTATATGTATAGACCACAGAATACGCTGCAACTGTCGCACTAACTAATTTTGACACTTTTCAGTGCATGAGAGTGAGTTTTCCGAATTCGTCTTTTTTATTGGAGGGAGTTGCGGTTGCTTATAACAAAGGATGAAGTGATACCTTGGGAATTCAAGTGGTTTGTACTGAGTTCCTTTCTAATCCTGCTGTACAATAAAGTGTACAGAGTGCTTAACCATACGCTAACCGTGCTTAAGGTTTACAAACACTTAATCTTTGAATACATATCGTATACGTATATCCACGCATGAGCCGCATATAAGAACATGTAATTTCCTTATTTACGTTGTTTCTTGAGTGATTGACTGCGAGGTTGCGAATGCATTTGATCTTTTTAGGCAGTAAAATACTATTAACTATATATTTTTCCTTTGCGCCCAGTGATATAAGCAAAAAGTGGTTGTATATATGCAGTACGAATCACAGTCTTCCGACGCGACCCAGAAAAGCCAGCAGTCCGGTAGACTGGTGTTGGATGGCGAAAAGAAACGGGTGATCAGCACGGAACACTGGCGGCGCTTCCCGATGAACAAGAGCGCTTTTTTTCTTGGCAATGACCGCCGTGGCGGCGGCTGCTTCCGTGCCGGATTCGTTCACCTCTGCAATCAATCCCTCAGAAATTTAACCGCTGCTTACGGTTAAGTTTTGTTAATAATTATTACGAAGTTTATTAAGTAATTAATTTTATCCAACCAAAAGTGGAAAGTACTGAGTTTATCGATTTTACAAATTATCAAACACTGTAATCAAACACATGCAGTCGAACACACCAACCAATGCCCTCGGTGTCCGTTGTCGCTAAACATTTTAAACCATAATATATTGGTGATTACATTCATTTTATTTACCATAACACAATGTCGCTACATCCATTTAATTTATCAGATTTTTATACACCATTTTTCTTCGTTTATAGTTTTTATTTATCAAAAGTATCGTAACACGATGCTCTCTGGAAATGAGCAAAATTCTGTCGCGTATGAAAAAAAGTATATTCATTTCCATTCTGTTCTATATTGTTCTGTTCGACTATTCAAATGTGTTAAAATGCTGAAGTCATCGATTAACGGTGAAGGAAAGCATAAAAGACAGAAAGCTGAAAACTTGATCAGCACATCATGCAGCAGCTCAAAAGCCGAACGCGAAAATTGTGTGCTGTGTTAATAACGATGGATTAGTTTGACAAGACAACGACACGACCCAGGAAAGCCAGTAAGCCGGTGTGGCGGTGCTGGATGGCGAAGAGAAAGGGATGGTCAGCACGGAATATGGGCGGTGGATGGGAAAGGCCGTATAGACTGCAGTCCACGGCAACGATGGCCGTGGCCGCCGCCGCTTCTGTCCCGGCCTCGTTGACCTCTGTAACCAGCCTCACGCTGTACTATTTCGCTGCACCAGCGTCACGCACGGCAATATAAATATCCTGTTAAATTAAAAATATTATTTGACTTTTGAATCTCTATAATTTAAATATAATTATAGCCGCACATGATTGGTTGTTTGAAATTTTTACAATTGCTTAATGATTCATTTCATACTTCGGTTTTTAGTTCTTTCGAGTTGTGATAAATACCCAGTACCATAACATGCGATTATATCGAACTCATGCTTCTCCGCGCAGTATACCACGTTCGAATCGCAAGCAGCTGTGTCGAGATAATCCCAAAGAGAGCGATTATAAGAGACCGGTGTTCACAATGATTCGGAAAAAATGAAGAAACAGTTGGCTCCGAAATAGAAATATGTACGCATTGGCGGCATTGTACAGTTTTGCGACAGGACCCAGAAAGATCAGCAGATCGGTGGCCCGGTGTTGAATGGTGAAGAGAAACGGGTGAAACGGAACACCGGCGGCTCTTCCTCGCGCTTAATGCGGCTGCGACGCGCAGCGAGCACCGCCGAAGCGGCGGCTGCTTCAATGCCGGATTTGTTTACAAGGAATTAATCAGAAATCTCTTGTCGGTAAATTCCTGCAGTTCCAAAAATTATCCATCGATTTTGTTTCTTATTTGATTTCAATAGAATGCTTTATTGCGCACGGTCTATCTTGTGTTTTGCTGTAGTTTTTTTCTTTTACCGTTGGGTAACGCTTTCTGATACTGTTTTTCGTATACCTCGTTTATATACAGTACGAGTCGTCTAGTGTCTTTTTAGCAAAGTATTTCCTTGAATAATTTCTGTTATTTTGTTTCACATTTTGTTTGTTGATTAAAACAAAAACATTCAACAGGCATAAACGTTAAAAAAATTAAAATTATGATGATTACCGCATGTCAAACTATTGGGCTGCAGGATAAGACGTTCGTGAGTAAAGAATTATATTAAATTATACTAAAGCGGACTCCGATCGCACTTTTACAAGGCTGCGACGCGGCCCAAGAAAGCCAGTAAGCCTGTCTGGCGGTGCTGGATGGCGAAGAGGAAGGGATGGTCAGCGCGGAAAATGGGCGGTGGATTGGGATTTACGAACATACTGCAACCGAAGGCGACGATGACCGCCGTGGCCGCCGCCGCTTCCGTCCCGGCCTCGTTGACCTCTGTAAACACCCTAATGCTAATTTTTGTTGCACCGGTGTGTATGGCGCGCATGAACACCTTCGTTCCAATGTTCTGTAATTTGTTGGTTCAATTTTTTTTGTATATGTTATCTACGTAGATTTCTATTTGTATTATGATGATAAAAGCGTAACTGGTTTTTCGAACGACATTAATGTTGATGTGATATGGCACATGTATTTTTCCGGTACATATATGGTATGATTCGGCTGGATTTCTATTGGTTGCCGTGATAATTGGCGGTATAAGCTCGATGCTGGGAATATTTTGCAAAAATTAATATTGATCAAAATTTCTTACCGACAAAAGCTTTGTGAATGACGTTGGACACGGCCAGTCGTTCGTTTTCCACCATCCGGCTCAAATCGGCTTCCTCGAACAGCTGTCGGACGCCCAGACTTTGCAGCACCGGCACCAGTTCGTACGATTGCTCCAGTTTGAATTTGGGCAGATACACATCAACCTGCACAGATCAGTTCCCAGAAATAAACTGTTAAACCAAAACTATGAAAATCAACCAGCTTACCAAACAAAAACTACAGTTGCCTACATGCATGATACAGCAATATAAATAAAATCACAAGGCTGTAATAAAAACAAATCTTTTTATCTTTTTGAAGATCATAATAATTATACGGTACAATACAGTCTTTTACAGATATAGTACGAGTACCAACAAAAGAATAAGACCCTAGTCAGATGGAATTTATAAATACGTAAAACAGTTAAAGGCATACAACAAAAACATACTGTAGCAATATTCTACAAAAACAAATTACATTCCTTAATTTTCCGAATTTCCCAGCGAAAGTTAAACAAAAATAACAGTTGACGGCAAGTGCCTATCTGTAGCTAAGCGTTGGAGTTTTATTACAAAAATATTGTTTTATTTATTTAAGCACACCTACATAATTTGGACGTGATATTTTAGAAGTACTTGATTTTTATAGTGCTTGTCCTTAATTGCTTTATAGCCAATGCACTACGAAAATGCCTTACCTCGCGTTCTGAAGCCTTCTCAACCGCATCCCGCAGCATCCGCACGCTTAACTGGCCCTCCAACTCTTTCAACCCGTTACGTTTTTTAGGCAGTACAATAATCATGGACAGCTCGTGATTTTTATAGGGCAGACGCAGCAGCTGGAAGTGCTCGGTCTCGGTGTAGCCGGCCTGCAGGGACTTGTGCATGAGATCGACCTTGGAAGTCTGCCCGTTTAGATTGGTGAAATCGGCGTCCTTGTAGGTGGCATGCTCCTCGAATTCCTTGTGCCACTGCGCCTTGAAGTAGATGGCGTTGACCAGGACGAAAGCGGTGTCCGGGGTCACTGTCTGCGTGCTGACGAGGTCACGGATTTTGTTGTGGGTCTGCTTCTCCACCCACTGGTTGATCTCGGCGACGGCGCCAGCCGGATTGTTTTCGAAATCAGTTTCACCCACTTCGCTTTTCAATTTATCTACCGGGAAAATTATCGATTTTATACTCAGATGTGTTTACTGATATTGTAAAATTTAACTTATTGATCATTTTGCTTAATAATTAATCGAAAATTATAAAATATTTTTCTTAGTTTAAATTTATTGACATGAATTGCATTTACTCATTAATATTGTGAATTTCCCAATTGATTAAATTTATTGAATAATTCATTGATTCATCATTTCTAATGAAAAATATCGATTATTTTTCGTAATACTGCAGAGTTTTTTATTTGAATATATATGTCATTACAGTAAGCAAATACTCGTAACAATTTCGTCTCGGTTGCAATCGTAGCTAAAATCGAGATTATCTGGATTAATTTACAACTATTATGATTAATTTACTATCGAGCTGTTTCTGCCCAGCCAACAACGAGAATAAATTAGAAAAATTTTAGTACCAGACTATAAATCATCATTAAACAATTTAAACCGATAACGGTACGGCAACTGCTAAATATTTAAAATCAATAACTGGCTAATGGGTACAGATAAGATTTTTATCGTATGCAAATAATGTAACTACATAAAAACTACGCGAGTAACTGGGCTTTTCAAACCATATTCGCCGGCATACTGTAGATCAGCGCGATAAAATATAATTTTTGTTTTATTTATTGTTATGATGTACCTTTAATGGTGGCTTTGAAATCGGCTTTCACATGCAATCCCTTCCGCAAGTACGCTTTATTGGCCAGCGCCAAGTGATAGTTCTCCACACCATCGTCATTTTTGCTGGGCACAAACACCCGCAACACCTCCCCGTACACATCCAAAAGCTGCTGCTCGTTGCCGCCGAAGGCTTTCTCCAGATGCAGCGTGTTGGCCATCTCCTGTTTCGTGCTGCCATCCGCGCCCAAATACGCCAGGAGCAGTGCGCTCTGGATGCTCAACGGCGACAGGAATGCATTCTTTTCCGCATTCTCTTTATCCTGGATAATATTCTGGTAAATCTTCAAGGAGAACTGATCGGCCGCTTCGCGGAATTCCTCCAGATTGGGCGCCATATTTTAATACAGTTAACCGATCGAAAAAAAATCGAAGAACACAGAAGCCGACGGTTGGAGTGTAAAATGCAGAAGAGAAAGTTTTGTTCGAGGGTTATTAGTATGCAGAATAAAACTGGTTTGCGATATGAATGCAGAAAGCCGACCGGTTGCCGGATCAATAGCGGCATGCGCCTTTATATGCAAGCAACCGAAGATATGGGCGGATGAGTCAACCGTCTGTCTGAAGGTCGTTTGAGGACAGGAATTATAATGCATCGTAATGCATCTCCAATCTTCGCGTGCCTGGTGCCGGGTGCGCTTATTTAACTCTCCACAGTAGACGGTAAAGAGGAACTGCAATTTTCCACAAAAATCAGTTACTAACACGGTTGCTTTATTAGAGAAAAAGATATCGGTTGATTTTAGCAATATGATTACACTGAAACTTCTCTACAACATACACCGTCCGTTCCCGGCTTTCTGAATGTTACAGAGGGGTGTATGTTATACAGAAGCACTGCCCCAGGGACACTGCCCTCAGGGGCACAGCCCCCGGGGGTGTTCCTTAACCAAAAAATTAACAAAATATCATTATTCGGTCTGTATGGACATTATTCGGTCTGAATGTTGGTTTTGCTGTCCTTTTGCACGCTTGGAGTTGGAAGATCCGGTACTAAACAGATTAAAAACAGAAGCCGGAACTTCCTTTTAGAGACACCGAAATGGTTTTTTTACCCCAGCCCAGCCAACCGTATATTACGCAGGGGTTGAATAAGCCGGTAAAAATGTTACCGGTTCCATAAAAGGTGTATGTTATAGCTGTAAAGGGGTGAATGTTATAAAGAGAACTGCCCCTGTGTTATAGTCTACCGGACGGTTTGGTTCCCAGCCTCATGCATGCAGTATTAAAAGGGGTGAATGTTATAGGAAGGTGAATGTTAAGAGGAGTTTCACTGTAATAGGGAAACGCGTGAAAATATTTGAATGAAGTTTAAGGTGATAATTACGGTGTAGACAACAGACGCACCAGAGAATTAGCTTTGGTTGAGTTCTAAGAGATTGAGTATGCGTAGTACATGGCCGCTCGAGAATTTTCTGATGTCGGCACAAAATAATTAAGTAGACAAGTTACTGAAAACCCTTTGCGTGTCGCCTTGTACAACTACTTGTATTAATTGGGCGTAATACGTAAATAATTTATTTTGTAACATTATTTCAACGGTCTCGGTATATACTGTATTCGTAAGTCGTAACATAATAATTTTTATTGACACTTTATCGGCAGTATAGTATAAATCATTGAGAACTTAAAGCATGAGAGTCAGTGCGTGCAGGGCAGCACTGTCGTAGCAGATTAAAATCAGAGGGAGAAGCGGCAACGAAGAAACCAGCTACAAAATAGCCTGCTGGCACAGCAGTCTAAAATTCAAGTAAAACTGTAAACCGACTTCCATGCCCAACCTAACGCCACAATTTCTGGAACCAAATCTTCATCTCCTTCTGTGAAATCTGCACCCCGTAAGGATATTAAATCAAAAAATCCGAAGCGAAGGGCCGGGGGAAAGATCGTACGAAATCGAAGGCACCGGGGAACGGATAAATTCGGGACAGCATGAACGTGTCCAAAAGGCTTTTAGCCTTCGTGAGTATCATTGTGTCTAAATTAAAAGTACGTAATCTGATCGACCCGGGTATCACCGTCCTTTCCACCTTCCCCGACGAGCGACTTCCACCGCAATATTGACTAGCAAAGTGCCAAGCTGCCTACCACTCGTCCTTTGCCAAATCCCGGAAGTAAAAGTGAAAGCGCCCCAACTGACCTGTGCAGTGTGCATCACACGCGCCGGTTCCGTTCCTTCACAGAATCTTTGATGATTGCACTCGTATAGATTAATGTCAATTTATACTCGCTCGCTAATTCGCAATGCAGTACCCGCAAAAATTTTCTACCATTTGCCCCTATATAAATCCATAATTATTGTTAAATGTACAATAATAACAAAAATTATTTGCACTTGGAATTTCAAAAAGTAGGATCCTGCATTATGAATACAAATAATTGGTAAATGCATGCAAATTATGCAGTTTTTGAGTGAATGGATTCGAACTAGCAAGCAGTCATACGCACAAACAAGTCGAAAAGTTGGGCGTCTTTATGACTTCGCTCATCCCCAATGCTGTTGCCTTTCGATATTCTAGATATTTGATAATGTCACTAATAATTATCCAGTTACAATAAAAAACTGAAAAGTATGTATGCGCTCCGTGTGCTTTGGAATTCGTAACTGACAGGACAATATCGAAGTTATTCCTTATATTTTGAAAACAAGCAGCTACGCCATCGGCGCCGACGAAAGCTCAAGAGCGGTCAACACGAGGCGTTTGCCGTTTTGCCGTTTGGTCAGCTTGACAGTGAGATGGCTATCCGAGTTATCTGTAGTTGACGTTAATAGAATAGGAAATTCATTTTCCCGCTATTTCTGGAGGAAGACCCAGCCCGTGACAAGTAAGACAGAGTTGCCGGTTTTGACGAGAACACCTACAGTCTGTTCATGTTTGTGAAAGGAGCTAGCTGTACGCGAACTGAAGTCGTGAACCACTTGTTGCGTCGCCGGCTACTGGCCGGTCAGCTTTCGGACAACTTCCGAACAACCGTCAAAAATTCCGCAGACAAATTAAAATCAACATGGGAAATGTCGCACCGGCGCAGGGTAAACGTAAAGCAGAGACACAAGACAAGTCGGATGAACTGCCGTCAAAGGTTAACAAGATCGAAAAAGAGTAAAAATGTGAACAGCAAGGCAGCCAGATCTATGGAAAAGGCCCTCTCTTCGAAACGAGCAGTCCTGCATGCCCAGTCACCCGTTAAATTACCGGTAGAAAGCGTTAAGGAGTCAGTGTGCGAAGAGCAGTCGCTGATTACTGGACGACCAAAGGCGCCAGTGTTCATACAGCAATACCCGGTACAGGAAGCATGGCCAGAGCCGAAACCTCGGGCAAAAAGCAGCATCGAGGAAGATGAGGCGGCGGCAGCCGTGCTTCAGCAGTTAATGGACAATGCCAATAATTCAATGAAGTCCAGTCCGAGCGACGAAGATCCAATAATTCTACCAGTACATGAAGCATCGCCAGAGCCGGGATGCCGGACGGAAAGCGATATTAAGGAAGACGAGGAAGCGGCAGCGATGCTTCAGCAGCTACTGGAAAGCTACAGCGATCCGGTCCGCGAAGAACCAGTTATTCATATTCCTGACCGTGATGACGACACTAGGCCGGAACTGGCACGGATCCAGGTACAGATAATATGAGAACCATGATCGCAATATTGTCGCATTCAGTGCTTTTAAAGTTTTAACACCCTTAAGGCTTAAATTAATTCCGCCAGGTTTAAGAGTAACCTTATTTACGGCAGCGCCGCCGAAAGTACGGAAAGTACGCTACTGACGTAGAAAACAATCAGTCGATTCCATTACTTTTTCAGAGTAATTTTTGTTCGTACCTTGTAGTTCCAAATTACCAATAATATACCAATTGCGCCAACACGAATCGCGACATACTTACATCGAATTTCACCCTTTACATCCTTACATCGAAGCTCAAAAACGGCCTGATTGGCTGGGCTTCGATGTAAGTCAATTTTTGCTCAAAGTCTGTCGCGGGGCGGTGACGTAAACCGTTACACAGATGGGCGTACCTTGTAACGGGTCTAAGCGACGCCCTGTTACTTACAAACTTCGCTTTTCTGTGGTTTTGATTGGTGGGTCAGCATTCTGAGTTAGATCAAGGCTGCCCACCGCCAATGGCAAAATTCGAAACCACGTGGTACAAATTCAGTACTTTGAGTGGTCTATCAAGAAAAAATCACAACTTGTTTGGTGTCCTTTATTTTATTACGAGTATTTCTTTTTAATTATTCTATTTTTTGAAATATTTGTCCATATAAATGGAGTTTTCGCATGAAAGGCTTTTTCATTTTACAATTTCCTGACGGAGATCATGCAGGGTAGCCTGCTCACTGGGTTCCCAGTTGTTTGCGTCTGGGCTATTATCAGTGCTACGAGCAAACGTTGTTTATCCTTTACCCACTCAGATATTTTGTGGATAAGTATTTTAGCAAGTTATGCAGATAAGCTAAGAAGTAGCTGGAAAAATTTCAAATCTTTTCCGCTTTCTTGGAAAATCTGCAAAACAATGTTGTTGACGTTTCTTCAATTATCTTGCGGGGAACCCTGCGTGCTGGCTAACCAGCTGGCTCTTGTTAATGCAGCAGTACCTACTGGGCAGAGTGTTTGATTCTTGCCAGCCTTTATTAACTGGATAGCCATCCATGGTAAGCAAGACCATCAAATGAAAACTTTTATTATTTTACGACTTATAGTATGTGAAATACTTTCAACCAAAACTTTCAGATTACGCAATAAAGCGAGCATGTTTGTGATTATTCTTTTTCATCTGGTTGCGGGTTCCCGCTTATCTGGCTACCCAGAGGAAGATATTTGACAAATAACTGTCATTTTGCTGTTGTGCGGTGTATAAGGCCAGCTTGGTGAAATTTTTAAGTTGCGAGCCAGGGCATTTATTTTATATTTCTGACGCCAGAAAAAAGTAATTCTCAATAAAGCCGTAATTTCAATAAATATCGGCAATAAGCAGCACGTATAAATCGAACATGTCAGCGTCACCTATTGAGGTATGTGCGTCCTGTCTGTTTTGCGCACACCGTCCCCGTTAACACGGACATACATGCAAGCCGTGAAAACGGGCGCGGTTTTGCATACTTTGTATGTAAATGCACGCTGAAATCTTTGTAAGTAAGTCCCTGATGCGCCTATGCGCAATGACTATAATATTATCTCTCCGAGAACTGGAAGCAGGCGGCTGTGTGTGAGTCAGTGTGACTGTGTTACGAGCTATGATTACCGCCACCGGTGGCGGGTCTTATGAAAGTTTTCTAAAATTTAATACTGTAAACATTCCCGTATTTAAAATTTAATAGCTAAGCAGACTAAGCTAAGTAGCCTTAAGTTTGCTTGATTGCACTTGTAACTTGTTGCAGAAGTTCAGAACGATTACATAGAAGTATTCATCTTTTTCTGCTATCCTTACAGTTAACTGACAATCGAATACAGCGATCACCCGTAATGTCTACGCAGAAATCAACGTTGCCGAAGGCCGTGCACGACATGAAGCGTGTCGTGGAGAAGACATGTGGCAAATCCATGGAGGCTGGCGTCGTGGAGCGTCTAGTGGATTTCGAGTACGAATACGTGATGGAGCTGCTCCAGGACGCCCGTCACATCTCGCAGTACCTGGGCAAGAAGGACATCGACGTGGAGGATGTGAAGCTTGCCAAGGAGATGAGCGACAAGAGCACGGCCAATGCACCCCGACCCAGCAAACCCGTGCTGACGGCGCTGGCGCAGAAAATCAACGAGATCCCCTTGCCCCAGATCAAGCAGACCTTCGGATTGCGGATACCCGGGGATCGGTTCTGTATGACGTCGTGCAATTATCAGACGATGGACGTGGTGGAGCACGAGGAATCCCCGACGATGAATGGGGGGCCGTGATTGTGTTGTCGTTTTTTTGTATGTTGACGGAGGGGAGAATGCTGCACCACGGGCGGCTGTAATCTGTTCGGTCTGCTGAACGGACAAATTGTTAAATTAATGACAGTATTCAGTGATATTTTCTCTCTTGTTTATTGTGTATTCTAGTACTTCTACTCTTGTCTGTTGAGACATTCAATTATTCGGTGAGCTAGTTAAAGCCTAGTTTATGGTTAGCACATCTGAAATAAAAACCATGATAAAATCAGCAGCAGTTTTTTACAATTTATACTCGCCTTCGATTCGGTCGATTTCTGTACGAGTAGCATTTTTGTGTGCGCCATTACGCCAGTTGGCATGATTTTCGCATCGGTTTGCTCCCAATCAACGCATCTGCAACATGAAATCCTTTTTTTATGATTTATTTTTAATTCCAACAGATGACTTGCAAAAAAAGCCACATTCTTTACGGAAACGAAAAAAGAAACAAATGGGGATTTTGAAAAATCTGCAAGACAAAACCGCATTAAACTGCCACGTCGGGCGGTTGTAATTGCCACAAGCGCCGGAAGTCCTTGATTTTCCGTTCTTTTCAATTTTCAGCTTATAGCCTTCACTGAATTATAAATCACGTCAGATAGAAAAGTGATTTCCACAGGAGAACAGGCCAACTGGAAGGAAATCGCCCGTGTGTGTTACGAGCCGATGCGTTTCCGGCAGTCAAAATACAGTACCGCACTCAGACCGGTACTATAGGGCGAGTTACTACGAACTTGCGAGTGTAGTGTACAATACAGTATTACTGTTTGACCGTAAAGTTTTTATCAGAATAATTCGGCATTCTGTACTGTATTTTAGGCTGTAAACTAAAACTGAATTAGGCTTTGACATATTGCAACGCTTTCGCTTTGCCAGTTTTAGTCAGAAGGATGTACGGTATGTTGCTAATTATCGTGTTGTATCTGTACCTCGTATTTTGGGAAAGCGTCGGAAACGTATCGCGAGTTTTACATAAGTTGTTGTGGTCCATATGGCCAACCATGCCGACGTGGAATGCCAGCTCGTACAATTCTTACGTAGCCCAGACAGACAGATTGTGCCGAGCCGGCGCTGCCAATCATATTTCTTCACGTCGTTAGCAGTCGTCAGTCCTTCGCCGTTCTAGAAGAGTGGCACCAATTCGCAGATTCACTTTGTCCCGGATTGTGCATTCTCCTCTTTTCCGTGCAACAATGGGTCTCCTTGGTGTTAGTGTGATTTTATTGGGTAGTCTTGCCATCCTGGGTTATGCCGAGGATCCAGCGAAAGGACCGAAAGTCACGGATAAGGTAAAAATGCAGTCAACTGAGCATTCGTGAATGAAGAGAACTGCTCTTTCTGCATCTGCTGTATGTTCCATCATTTATTGTGCCAGTTGGCCATGCATGCTGTGTGGTTTGCAGGTGTTCTTTGATATTGAGATCGGAGGCGAGAAGGCCGGGCGCATCGTGATCGGACTGTTTGGGAAGACGGTGCCCAAAACGGTGAAGAATTTCGTGGAGCTGGCACGGCGTCATGAGACGGAGCCCAGCGCCGACGGCTCACTGGTGGGCTACAAGGGCAGCAAATTTCACCGGGTGATCAAGGATTTCATGATCCAAGGTTAGCTGATGGCGATGCACTCGAGTGCCGCGCTAATCGGGTGGTGCAAGGGCTTTTCTAATTTTTGAATATTTATAACTACAGTCTTCGCTACTCATTTCCGCTCATGCATCCATCCACTGGTTACTGAGTAACTCATTGACTTTTTGCCTTTTTACAAACCCAAATTACTAAATTTTTGTAATGTGTTTTGTATTATTTATACTTGTTGTGTTGCGTTTGTTCCATTTTACTTGAATTTCTTGAACAGCTTTTTTTGGAAAAGAATCTAAGTTCAAAAGAAATTTGAATTTTTGAAATCTGTTATTGACAAATAAAATGATTTACTGTATAATTAATAAGAAAAGTGAATAACATGAAATTTAATTAATAAAGTGTTTATTGTATTTTTTATTGTATATGTAAATTGTTATTGACTGCACATTTTCAGCTTTGACTGCCTTTGAGTACGTTATACTCGTATGTAAGTACTTAAATTACGATTTATGTAATTGGAAATGTTGCTGGTTGCAGGAGGCGACTTCACGAAAGGTGATGGAACTGGCGGCAAGAGTATTTATGGAGAACGCTTTGCTGACGAGAACTTTAAGGTAAATATTTCTCGTACTGTAAGTTAAGGTGAATCTAACAACTATTATCTATGTAGTTTCAAAGATTAATACAATTCGCATTGACGATAAATTAAAGAATATTTTCCGCTGTTGTAGCTGAAGCACTACGGTGCTGGCTGGCTGTCCATGGCCAACGCTGGTAAAGACACCAACGGAAGCCAGTTTTTCATCACAACCGTCCAGACGACGTGGCTCGACGGGCGCCACGTGGTGTTCGGAAAAATCCTCGAAGGCATGGTACGGTGAAGCTAAATATAATTAATTCCAGGGATGTACTTCGAAGATACTCTGTAGCTGTACTTTTGCAAATTTTTGTTGAATTAAAATCAGCAATTAATATTCGTGAATTAAACCGTCTCAGTGGGCGGATTAATTTTGAATTAATACGTATTAATATTACTGCGATTAAATCAGTTGTTTTTGTACCGTTGATACTGATGGTCTTATGTACGTTGATCATTCATATGGGATTTTAATGGACTTCCAAATTTACAGTCTTTTTGCCGGTTTTTGTACTAGTGTTTTTGGCGTCGTTCACGTTTTTTCAAAAAATTATAAAAAATTCTTGCGCATTGTAATGCATAGAGTCGATGTTATTTTCAGGATGTGGTTAGGAAAATCGAGAAAGGCGAGACAGATCGTGGCGACAAGCCGAAGAAGGAAGTGGTCATTGCGGATTCGGGTGTGATTGAGGTGCCGGAACCCTTTTCGGTCGGCAAGGATAACGCTGTTTAAAACTCAGACGCTGCGCGTAGATATTGGTTAATTTGTGCCTTTTAGGTTTTTCGTTATTCAAATTTGTTTTATCGCAGATCATTTTGATCGATGGGGATTTTGTTGTTAATTTTTAGGATTTCTGTCAAACTTTTAACTTTCTGGTCAACCGGTTTATGTTATCTCTGATGTACTTTTGGCTGCTTGCATAGAGAAAAAACTAGTAAAAATCTTTTATGTTTGTAATTTCGTATTGTCAAGTCCAAACGGTTTGTGCATCTGCAAATAGTGCCAAATACAGTGTTTGACTGTGTTTCCAATTTCGAAATTCCACGTACAGAGACGTCACACGTGTACTCTTGGTAATAATTTTATCGTTTTGTCCAAAATGATCTACATCGTTGGATTTTATCCACAAAAAACATCTGTCTACACAATTAAATGGAAGAATGTTTTTGAAAAGTTTGCAACCAAACATGTGAATGTTAAAATTGAAAATTCTGTGGAAAACGCAAAACGCGTAGATATGTACTTACAGTGGACTTCAAAAAGGTGATACATTCGGTCCGCGACCGACAATTCATTAGTCAAGACCAAATGACCAATAAAATGACCAATAAACTGCAAACATGCAACTGAGCACAGACTCATGCTGAATTCAAACACTTGCGCCGCGCACAGTTCCGAACGCAAACCATCCACCGATACCTCAAACGAAAGAAAAAACAATTACAAGAATTTTGATACCAAACAAGCTGTTTTTTATGCGATCTAAAAGAAAATCGAGGCACTCAAAGTTTCTCGTAGACAAAGCTCCCCTTAGACAATTTGAATCCACGGTTGAGTTTCAGTTTTCACGCAGAAAAAGTATGCTTTGTCTACGAGAAACTTTAAGTGCCTCGATTTTCTCTTGGACTCCATAAAATACAACTTGTCTGGTATCAAAATTCTTATAATTTTTTTCTCTTTCGTTTGAGATATCGCTGGACAGTTTTCGTTGGGAAATGTGCAAGTTGCAAGTGATAATATCAGCAGGCCGATGGCCAGCACGGAAGTTGGGTGTTTGAGTACAGGTAAGTTCCTGGTTGCGCGCGTTTTGTGGGTGGGTGGGTTTTGTAACACCTTTTTGAATTCCATTGTATTGCTAGGCGAACCTTTCATGGCTTTATTCAGGCAGTGATGGCTGCCAATCAACTACGAAAGTCTCCACATCTACTGCCGGCACTGTTCAGTCAGCATACTCGTATAAAAAGTCAAAACCAAACCGGGTAAATCTTTCTTTCATTTACACTTGACGATTCGCAACCTCAGGCGGCTCTACGCACTATTCACCAACATTTGCAACAATGACAATTTTTTTCCACGAAGCGCAACATCCGCGGCGGTTTCGATCTTCCGTGTGGGCAGTGACTGGGCCCAAGCGGACGACGATTTGCTGATATGCTCTACTTCAAAAATTGGCGAGAATATTATTATCCCAAGTGCTTAATAGAACCAGAAACCGTGTTTCCTGTTACGGCGGTAAATTTATCAGTCCGTAGTGGAAATTTCAGGCGGCATCAGGACAATGTATAAAGCACGTACGGGTGGTTTTCGAAAAAGGCATTCATAACTTCACATCCCGGTGCTGCTCAAAGACTGTCGGCACGTCAAGCATATTTTTTTAAATCTAGACTTTATAAAACTTGAGAAAAATGCGGGAAATGCCAAACTTTTACAGCTACGGTGGGATGCAGAATTCATGATTGCTTTTTCTCGAAAGCTAACTGGGTCTGGGACCGGAAGTGTTCCTTTGCGTAGAGGGCCTTGTTTAGAAGGTATCATACTTTCATCATCAATACACATCATCCAAGCTGCAGCATGAAAAAGGATTAACGCATAAACCTCTGAAGGACTGATCTTGCCGCTACACAGATGTCCAACACTTTGACCATGTACCCCAGTGACCCTCTAAAGCTTAGTTGCACAGTTCGATAAAATACTAAACAAATAAAACCCCGCGGTAGACGCTCGCCACACCATCTACCGATGCAGATTTTCAACTCAACCCGAAATAAAACAAAACAATTTGCATAAGAAATTGCATAGATTTGCATAGGACGCACATTTTATAGTTCCATGCACGGCAGGTACGAAATGCGTATGAAAAACTGCAGCCGAGTTCACAGCGGCTATATACAACAAATGAATAAAATTCAGTGATACCTTGGAGGATCAAAACACACTGCCAAATTGACAAGATCAGCATGGAATCTGATGAGCGCCCAGTGCGATCACGAGTACTGCTTGCACTACAAAGGATACAATACATAGAACTGATAAAACTGTAGAATGATGTAAATTATTTCACCGTGTCAGCATATATGCGCGTGGAACAGTTTGCCTAATCGATGCAAACGACTGTCGCACACCACAGTAAAGCCGAACTGATCATACGTTATTGACATCGCATCCTTTCAAAATGTGTACAAATTACCTGTTCGCAGCAGAATCCATGCAACGATAATGGACGTCTCGTCGGTCTTCTTCTTCCTCCTGCGTCTCTTCGGTCAAGGCTGGGGTCTGGCCGCCGATGGGGACCGCCGGAAGCACTGCCACGCCCTTCTGGCGCTGGTCTGGCTGTTCCTCCTCGTCCTGCTGTGGAGTCTGGATTTCTTCCTCTACCTGACCTTTTTCCGGGAGCGCGTACAGGACATGGACTTCAGTGCGCTGACCATCGGTATTCAGCGCTGCTACATCGTCGCCGAGGCCATCGCCATGCTCCTCATCGCCAAACTCATCGGCAACCAGCCGCTGCGGTTACTGGACGACATCCGCCGGCTGTGCTTCCTCCCGGTGGAGGACGCCATCCCGGATGCCGGAAATGGACCGCGAAAGGTCACACGCCTAAATTTACTGACATCCAATTATTGATTGTTGATGTTGCGTTTATAGAATAGTTTGCTGCGTCGTCAGCGTTATACATGGCAGTTTTGGGGCGGTGTCCTGATTTTCTGGAGCATCGCCGCGTCCCTCCTCCTGGGCGGTCTGCAGTGCTACTTCTTCATTAACTTCCTGGCCAGCACCATGATGAAGGACAACTGGAATTGGTACCGCGTTGTCGACGTGGGATTGGTGACCCTCCCGGTGTATGTCGGCACCGTCGTCTTCTTCCTGCTGGCGGCCGTCAATACTATCCTGGACATGCTACTGCAGATGTTGGGGGTCTGGTGCGCCCTGGCCATCAGCGCCGCCTTCCGCCAAGTGTACAAGGACCTCAAGGCCCTGTCCAAAGCCATCGACGCGCATGCCCTCCCCGGGGAGGCGGCCGCCATGGAGCGCGTAGAGGCGCTGAGCGCCCGGCACCTGGCGCTCAGCCAGCTGGTCAACCGCACTGACGCGGCATTTTCCGGGGTCAACCTGCTGGTGTGTCTGCGGGATTTTGTGGGGTTTGTCACCGGGTGCGCGGCGCTGCTGCGGGCCGATGAGGACGTCACCGGCGTTAATGCCCGGTTCGATGCCAACGCCCGGGACATCGCGTTGGGGGTGGATTTTCTGGCGAGGACGACGTGCGGGGCGTATCTGGCTGTGTCCATGGTCAACTGTGTCCTGCGCATGTCTGCTTTCATCCGCTTAACGGAAACGGTACGATTACGAATTTACAAGTACCACACTAAAAATACAAAATTGTTCTAAAATTATTAGAAAGCTAGATAAAAAATGCAAGCGTTCTTGGCATTGCTTGAGTGCAAACCGAGGTTTGTAAAACAGTGAATATTGTGCCTAATAATAAAAGTTTATGTATGTATTGATAGTAAACAGTAGTGCATGTGCGTTTCTTACTTGTATGTGTACAAATCACGCATACATCTATACAAGTAGGCAAAAGTAGGCCGGGCCAGCCAATGGCAATTGCGAAAACGTCTTAGTTGTATGTATGTATGCGTGATTTGTACACATACAAGTTGCAGCGCTAATGCACTAGTATTAAACACAGAAGGTAAAACCGAGCTGAATATACTGTATATCGGATATAAATGTTAATAGTATTACTCGAAACGCACTTTAAATGTGTTCTGTAAGATACAGAGCCGGGAGTTCTGTAAAAGTGAATCTACCAATGGTACAGCGCTGAATCTTATAGAGCGTTACAGAGCAATGAGAGCTCGGACTCTAAAAGCGCCCAGTTACCGTTGACCAATTTGGTCAACGATTTATTTATTTTTCACAACAATTTTGTGGCCGTTTACTTCCTGTTTTTCTGGCGATTTTAAGTTTTATTAAGTTGAAGAAATCAGACGACTGGTGAAAAAGCGAAACGCAATTGCACGTAAAGTACGTCGAGGTGGTTTTACCATTCCTCGCTCTGACGGCTATGGCGAAGTTGCCTGTTGCCATCGATACAAATCAAACATGCACAGTCGGAGGCAGCATAAAAACAGTGAACAAAGCAGAACTGGAATGCTGATTCGATAGAAACAATTAAATTCCCGTTACTTACCCTCAAATCTTGAAAATTAAAAATAGGACTTTAGACGTACAGCGGACTGTGCATAAAAAAATAAATTTGACATAGCAAGAAATGCGAGTTCTGTATCGTAACGGAGCCAGGAGAGTTCCTTTTAGATACAGAACACTTTAACTCAGACGTCCAATCAGCGGTAAGGGGGTGGTATCAAAAGTTACAGAACTTCCGGCTCTGTATCTTATAGAACACAATTTAAAGTGCGTTTCGAGTAGTACTGTGAAATAATTCATAAATAAAATAATAAAATAATAATTCATAAATAAAATAATAAAATAATAATTCATAATTCATAATTCATAATTCATAATTCATAAATAATAATTCATAATTCATAATTCATAATTCATAATTCATAATTCATAATTCATAATTCATAAATAATTCATAAATAATTACTGTGAAATAATTCTTGTTAATAATTATTGCGAATAATAATGGTGATTATTTATTCCTTTACATGATGTACAAAAGTTTATGATTTAGGGTAAATCGGCACTGCGCCCATTAAGTCTAATCTTTGAACAAGTGACCACGTTGGAGGCGAAGACCAGCATGATCCTGATTCTGAACCGCATCCGCGGCCACAGCCTGACGCTGACCGGCGGTGGCCTCTTCTCTCTTGATCGGTCTTTCGTCGTCACTGTGAGCTTCAGTTAACCGGTTTTTTTTAGTCGAAACAAAATTGGTTAACATAATTTTTCGGCAGATGTTCGGAAGCTTCTTCTCCTTTTTTATCCTGGTGTACCAAATGCAGGATCAGAAGAAGGACATCTACTCCGTCATCACGCAGGACGATGTCCACGGGCTGGCCGCCCAGGTGGCCAACATCACGCGGCACATTCTGACTAGTCCGGCCACGTGAACTCGCGCTGTTTCTGTTAATTACCAGAATTATATTTGTGGCTTTTTACCCTTAGTATTAATTTATGTATTAGTATAACTGATTTTATATAATTGGCAATACAACAAACGTGTGATCCTCTGAAAATTCAGTGACCTTCAGTGAAGTAATGGTGTACCCGGGAGTGCTGATGCCGATCGATACACGCATACGAGCTCGCACACTTTATTGTTGCACTAAATAGCGCATGGTACCTGACGCTATGCAGAGAATATTTAGAAACGACTATTGTTTAAGCAATGACAATCAAGCTAAGCGGAGCAAACATCATCTGACTACCGCGCATATGCATCCGCTGACGTTGCGGCGATCTGTATAACAATGTCAACATTGCTCATCGATCGAGTGCCCACACTTCAAACTAACCTGTGCTTATGTATTTAGCATAGTTATACTGATCGGGCATACTCCGCGGGTGTAGTTGCCAGGATGGTGCAAAGGTTACCTAACAACTGTCGTCCAATAAACCATCGATATCCTGAATTCTGGAAGAAAAGTGGGCTTATCACTGCTACCGCTTATTTTTCGGCCATTTCCCACACTGTCATTCAGGATGCCGAAAGTTATGATCCTTGCAGCCACATCGGTACATTGCTAAAATTGCCTCAAGATGAGGCGATTGCGTAGTCTAACTGTACGTACTACGTGCACCTTCCGCATGGGAACCACGCGTTCGGTGCCGATGGTCAGCGGGCTCCCGGAGCGTCTTCAAAATTGCCACTTATTATGCGCTGCGGCAAAACGTCTTAGGTAATTTTATGTTTTTTTGTGATACATGTATTTTGTGCGATGATATACCGCGCGGTCATCGATATAAAAGCGGCAGCGTGAATTCTACTGCGTACCGCCACAAGCCGAGATTTCACGCGGGGAGGTGGTATAGGCTGCCGGTTTGACGAACGTCGATGGTGACCCGCCGCACTCGATCCACTAACTGGAATGGATGCTTTTAGTACTGTTTCGACAATATCGTGACGTTGTTAAACACTTTGATGTGTCAGCAGAGCGAGGATATATCTGCATAAAATTGAAAAATTGTTTGGCGTATTCCGATGATCCAGTGCCATTTGTTAGGTTGCTCATAGTACGGTTGTGGTGTTTGAGTTATTGACTGACAAATGTAGTACGATGGCTTCGAGGATGGGTGTTTGTTTACATGTTTCGCAAGTTAATGGCACGATTACAAAAAAACTGTTTTAGTTAATTTAATATACTTTGTATCAGATTTAATTTTTTTAAGCGTAACACTTTTATTTGCAATTACTCACGTTATTAATTTTGTAATATTTTAGCTATGTTTTAGATTTAAATGTGTAACAACGGAGATTAAAAAAAATCTGCCGATGACTACGTACTGGAAGCGGAAGGAGGGATGCCTATATACATGTATACCGGCATCTTGTCGCTGATGTGTGTGTTCGCCCGATGACTTCCGGTCTGATGACGCGCAGCGCATTGCGGGAACACTAAAAACTTGAATTTGCTTAATTATGTGTCTTGAAACCCGAGTTTTCTATGCACTGTTTTATTTTACTACGAATTTTGCCGGCATACCTTATGCAGAATATTAAGTGCAGTATAACTACCTTGGCGATTTAATTTTAACGATGCTGTTGTAACGAAAGCGTAGTGCACGTACAGTATTGGCAATTTGGCCCTGACCATGGTGAGACAGGTTACCTACACTTTACAGGCTTCGATATACAGTCATTACAGTGCAAGGTGCACTTCACATTCAGTGCATGCCTATGCCGATCTGCAAATTTTAACGTTTTGCTGCAGAAACTTTTACCAATTTAATTTTGGTAGTTCTGTAATTAATTCTAAAAGTTTTATACATTTAGCTTTGGTAATCTGCTGCAGTTTAGCAACTACAGAAAATTGCTCGATGCATACTGGATACCGCTGAGCCGGGCGATATGCGTTTCTGCATTATGCAGTGTGTAGTTTAGAATAAATCGTCTATACTTTGAACTATCGTGTGCGAGTCGAGAATTTCATGCCGTAAAAATGTCAATTTTTTAACCAGGTTCCATCAGCTTCTTTGCCCACCCAACAACAACCGCCGCCGAGGAATCATTCGCTCGTAACCTATTACTGTCAAGCGGACTTAATCATATCTGGACTCTGCAGTAAATAAAATTTCCCATTTAAAAAACAAACAAAAAACCGGCGAATCAGAACAGCGCCTCACAAGTCTTCCATCAGCGCATCCAGATTGGCGCTTTTATCCCCCACGGCGTCCCGCTCCACCACCGTTCCGCTGAGCAGGTATCCGCCGCTGCCGTTCATGTTATTCTCCGGATGGGTCCGATCCGGCAGGACCTGGTAGTAGCGCAGCCACGTCTCGTTCAGACAGATGCGCACGCAACTGCCCAGGGTGCGTAGCGCGTTGAAGGTGTCCACCAGGACTTCCCGGTAGGCGTGATGCACGGCAAAATTACCGGATAATCTCAGGAAAGGCAGGAGAAAGAGGAGGATGGATTTCGGGTGCAGACGGGTGGACATGATTAATCTGGAATGAATCATCAAGGATATAAGCAAGGCAAGCAAAACGAAGGGTCAAATAAATAACATGGTGCTAAAATAAAAACAATAATAAGGAAAATTTTTTAACTTTATAGAAACACCTAAAAATGTGAAAGACCATTGAAATAATGATATATCTAGTAAAATGTAATTTTTATGGAACATCTTTAGTAGTTTACATTCCAGAAGCTGCTTTTAATGACAGGATCAATTCCGTAAGCACATGACTTTTAAAACCTATTCGATTTCAATTCTGGAGAAATTTACACTTCATTTCTAAGCAGTGTTTGAAAAATTTGGTTGATTAATGACCGGAGTAGGCGAAAAAAACCAAAAATATAACTTACGAATCCATAGGCGTATTCTGGATGAACCGAACCGCTTCCGCTTGCGGATCGCTCAGTTTCCGTCGTTTGAACGGTGGAGATGGCTCCGGTTCGGCGGCGGGCACGACCGAAGAGGATAGGATACGGACATTGGAACTGAGCACTTCCAGATTATCCACCGATAGATGGTGTATGGATTTCAGCCATTCCTCATCAAATCCAAACATATCAAACGCCGGTCTGCCAAAATGCCAACCCAGAATTTATCCATCAGTTATAAATTAGAAACAAATGCGTAAAATAGCAAAAATGATTTGTCACTATTTCAATTAAAACATCAGGAAATTAATGAATTTCTAAAACGTTACGAAGTATCGCATTACCAACTGTCATCTGAAATTTGTCAACAGGTTTCAAAAATATGCAAATGCGTGAGCAATATTTTTTCGCAAAACGAAACGGTTCTGCTACGATCGATCTAAAAAAATTGTATAGCGAGTTGTTAAATAGAAAACTCGTCTAGAAATAAATAAGTATCACTAAATAAAATTAGAACTGACAATAAAAAATGCAGCACATCCTAATAAATATAATATAATTATTAATAAAAATAAATCAAATCAACAGGTGCACAGATATGAAGGCAAAATAAGAAAAACGGCATAAAATTCGCCTGAATCATGGCATACAATTACAGCATGGATTGAAATTCGGCAGAGTCATCCGTAATTTGCTTCTGTCGTGCTATTACTTACATTACTGGTTGCGGTCCCGAGTGGATATGCACGATTCGTCCCGCACCGCCTGTGCGCTGCAGTGCCGCCGCTAATAAAATTCCCTGCGATCCATCCACCACCACCACATTGGAGCCGTGCCGAATATTGGCAAAGGACAGCATCATGGCCAGAGTATCCACACGCAGATGACTGCAAGAAAACTACTGTAATTCCCGACTGCAACTGCCACGGTAATAAATGCGCATTTATACAAACAGTAAAAATCGTAATATTGCCTCACTTGATTTTCTGGGAACGCTGGCAGTTGTACACCTCGCACACTAACCGCAGTGTGGGCTGCAGTACGCGAAAACGGTAAATATGCCTAAAAAACAAATGTCAAAATAAACTACAGATGCAAACAAAAAGCGTTGAGAATAGAGAATTTAAAACAGAAAAAAATACAGCAGCAATTATGTATTACGGAAAAGAAATGCCAAATAAATACAGGGTCAATAATTCGCAATTAAATTACTGAAATTCAAAGCCTTTATTTTAATTGGCATTTTTTTGTCAGTGTACGTAGAGAATTTTTCGCGATAAATCCAGTCAAGGGATTTTTAAATGATTATTTTCTGTTAGGAAGCATTCGCTAATAAAACGGTAAGTAATTTCAATAAATTTTTTTCAGTTTCTTTCGGCGTACTTGTCTTTTTTCTTTTGGACGTATTTCTCTTTGGAATATTCCTGGCGCTGGCCGAAGGTGCTGCTGTTCTTGACTAAATTCCCAATCAGCTCCATGCCTGTCACACCGCTGGATTTCAGCGCCGAAATCTCGCCCAATGTTAACGACTGCGCACTGCCGTCGTCCACCAGATTGCGATTATCACCGTCTTCTTCACCGTAATCTGCAAGCATTTTACAACTAAAAAATAAAAATATTCTTCATAAAAAATACTATTGCGCAAACTTGTAAAAAAAATATCGCACAACTAAATTTCACAAAACTTCGCTCAATCCAAAGCTACACGCCATCAATATTTTCCCGAAAATTGTTAGTTGTTTGATACAGAATGTTGGTAGCTTGACAGAAGCGGTTAGAATAAATCAATAAAAACATGTGAGTCAAAAAATAAATTTTTCGTTTTCTGGGGACTTTGACATACCTTCGATGTCGTCCTCATCGTCGTCCTTGTCAACGCGCTGGAAAACTCCTTCCTGCTTATTCCACTCAACCAGGCATCCATACGGTAGACCCACAATCTCATCGGTGCGGGTCTTCATTTTGGAAATCATCAGGAACCTGCGAGAAGGTCAACGCTCAGGCTCGGCGAAGAACTTCACGCTATAAGTGCACTATGCACCGAGAAACCTACTTGCCACTTCCCACCACGCATTCCTTCGACCAGTCTTTCCTCTGGAAAATCACCCGCGCTCCGTCCGCTATGCGTGATACTGCTGTCGCAGCATTCGAATGGGTCGCATCCATGATAATGCCCCGTAAAAAGTTGGCAAAAATGAACACCAAAACGGAAACTGGAAAATGAAAAACTAAAAAGTGGCAAAAAGTAATGACAGGCGCCGGATCCGAAACGAAGTGCGAGTTATTTAGTCGACAAGCTAAACCCCGAGACGACGGTTACCTGACACACTGTCGCCGAATTGTTATTTCCGGTGCAGCTGACGAAATTGGCACCGCTGCAGTTTCGTGCGGTTGCAACTTGCAACGTTCACAGGACTGGACAAGCCGCTATTGGCGAACTGCTTTAAGATGCTATGGTACAAGAAGATATATGCCGGATAATCGTTGTTTTTTAGGCAACAATTAAAAAACAACAACTACATAACTGGTCTTGACGTGAGGATCTTTGCTGAGCACCTGCTTCATTTATCATCAGCCATAATATTACTAAACTAACAGGAATTAAACAATCGGCGAACGTCACTTTGTCGGAGACGCGCTGCCCGACGCAGTGGGCAACTCTTGCGTACTTGGTGTTTGAGCAGACTTCTCAAATTAATTTTGTCCTATTCGTTCATCCTATGGGTAAAAAAATGAAGAAGAAGATGCCGAGTTTGTTAAGTGAACGTTGACACAGTGTGATATTATGGATCAGGCCGATCAGCTTATCACATAGGGTATAGTGTTCCGTCATGATCACGCACACATCTGTAGCTGGTAGTATTTTTTAAAATGACCGACCACATTGAGAGTAGCAATATTAAGAGCCATCCCACAGGGAATCATCGGCGAATATCGCTGACCACAGTAAGCATTGAGGCAATGCAACAGCATTCATTAGATTATACAACCGGCAACCAGTCACAGTCTGTGAAATAATAAATATATCTATACCTAATCAGAATGTGTCAGGCCAGCTCATTTCTTGGCGCAGCACATGACTCCGTTCGTGTTCTTCTTGATGTTGAGCTGCTTGAACTTGGCCAGATCGACAATGTCCCCATTTCTCCAGTTGTGGATGTCGATTTCGCCGGCGACGCACTTGAAGGAGCCGGCCGGTTTGGGACAGTCGCCGGCACTCTTGCAGGTGACCTCCTTGTTGACCAGCGCATCGTAGTTTTACGCAGACTGCCCGGCGGCTCCTTGTTTCTTGAAGGAGGGATTAACTTGCGTGTCGATCTTGATCTTCTCGCATTTCTGAGCGGCGTCCACGGCCACCGCGGCCAACACCAGCACGCTGCAGAGAGCAGCAGCGCAGAAACGGTTCATTTTCCTGTAATTTTAGCGGTCAAACGGAGGGTCTCGAGAAACCACAGATCGTGCGGCAATTAAACTTACAAAAGTAATGGCATTTGTCAAAGCAATCACAGATGGCCAGATGGATTCGACTGCCAGGAGATGCGGAGTTTTTATACTACCTGGACGGTTGTTTTGACAAACGTTCACGTGGCTGTAAGCGGATGGCATTTGCCTGAATCACCAGTGCAAGTCAATCAATAAAAACAAATCACCGTAAGTGGTTTTGCTGTCGATACGGCGAAAGCGGTAGCGCTGGTCCACTGAGAAAACCGGCTTGCCAAAATTTTTTCGGACGCACGCCGTGATTAACCCAACCCGCGGCTGTTTTTCACCCAATTCTAAGCGGGTCAAATTGCATTGCAGTGATACAACAGGAACTTTCTTGTTTTTGTTCTTTAGTTTCTCTGTTTTTTTGCTCCTGTTTGTTTAAAACAGTGGCAAAACAATCACGCTATGAGTAATGTGAGTCGTGCGACCGAGGGGATTTCGAAAGAGCGCACGATTTTTCGATTTCGTGCAAATTAAATTGTACATTTCCGGCTCATTTCAAAAGTTATTCAGCGTCATTTTTGTTAAAATGGTTGGCTAGTGCATCAATAAAGCGCACTGGCGCTGTGATATTATGCACCCTATGATACCTTTGAAAGGTCATCCAAAGTAACTGCAGGGGTTTTTATTTAAACGGTGAGAACGTTTTTCCTGGAAGGTGACAGTCACACTGTTATTATAGGTAATATAAACGGCAGTGCATAATTAACAACCACAGTTTCGTAAGTATACCACAGTTTCGAATATCTGCAGTTAACATAAATTTAAAACGCGGGCTTTGTTGATAATTGTATGGTTATGGTATTTTAAGGTGAAAACCGCACAAGCGTCCAGTTCGTTTGCATGGACTGCTATGTAATTCGTTGGAAAGACATTATTCAACCATTTGGCAGCAACGCTCCGAGTACAGTTTGATCGTTTGCTATCCCATTCTATTGTTTTTCTGCACCGTTGGAAATTGTTTATGTATACAATAGTTTTCGGCGCCATTCGATCGCGAAGTGCACGGTTACAAAGTGCCGACGTTTTATTGCTTGCACTAGCAGCTGGTGACCTTTTGACACTGTAAGCATAGTCCTAACTTCGAAGAATAATTAGAGATACAGAGAACGGTGACAGTATCTGCTGCCATGCTGGAAGTAGTTATATTTTGTAATATACCTACGAGTAGAAGCACTAGTGCGATTATGTTGTTAATTTTCTTAACCTGGCGTTAACAAAACCATAAAAGCTCGCACTGTGTCATGCTGCCGCAATTACAAGTACTACAAGTAGCATATAACTAATGTACATAGAACGCGCGGCAATGATTGTATGTAAAGCACAGAGGCATCAAGCTACATACTTAAAAAAGCGAAAGTTTGTAGCGGGCAGGCATATTATTAATTAACATACTATACGGTAGTACTTCCAAAAAAATGAAAAAAACATAATCATCTTTTCAAGTACCAGGGTAGTAAACGATCGAAAGAAAAAGCTTTTCAAAATCTCAAATATTTTTAATGCAGATCGTTTTGTACAAATACAGTTTTGAAAAAACGAGATTTTTTACAGAGAAGGCAGAAGATTTTGATGTGTTATCAGCGATACATATAACGTTAACCATTAGCTCGAATTCAGGTCTGGATAATTCAATACAATAATACGGCATAATTACAGTGATTTTCACAGGTTGATATATTTTCCTGAGTACCTGTTTGTAGGCGACCCGGACATTTTCCACAGCAGTTACCTTTTCGATAATGTTAACGACTACGTACAAGGCTTATACAGATACATTTGGTTACTGAGCGGATTCCCAAGATTCGCGGATTGGTAAGTACTCCGCTTAATTAAATATGGATTATTTATTAGTTTATAACATTCTCGATCAAATAACCATTGACGTCGGGTTTTAGTGGTGTTTTCGTAGAGCGGTTTCGTGCCGTTGTGAGATTTTTGTCACAGCCCATCTCCGCTAAAGTGTCCCGGATCCTTGTCGTAACCTGTTTCCTGTATGGAACCGTAACTTGTATCGATAGGGCCATCGTCCAGTATTATTTGTTAGCTACGCTGGACATTCCGAGTTTCGATGCCGAAATATCACTGCTTTCCCACCATCGCTGCCTCGGAGTTTGCAAGCATGGTAAACAGTACCCATCTTCTACGGGGTACAATAAATTTCTACATTATTCTGTTTGGGATTAAGATGATACGTGCTATACCTGTATAAAAAAATGAGATTTTCAGGTAGTCGAATCTTTCAAAGGATTTCAACGTATTGCGCCGTGGTGCAGTGGTACTGCCTACGCGGATCTAACGACGTAGCCGGGGTTCGATTCCCCCATCGGCGCCTTTTTCAGCCGTATCGGTTTCCAGCGGAAAGGTCAACCAGGTTTTAGCTGGTTGGGCCTGGTTCAGCTCAAACTCAGCAACATACATCAACAGCAGGCTTTACCGGTGCTGACATTGCGGCAAAGTCGTCAAATACTGACATTTAATTTGCGACTCCAGGCAGTGCATGAAATGCTGGTAGTTTACAATGCATGGTAGCTTTGTTTTCCAGTGCTGAAAAAAAGCGGGGTGTCTTCTTGGTTGTCGTTAAACTTGCCTTCGTTGCATGCACTACCTATTTATGTTCCTCCTAAACTCGCGTTCATGCGCAAAACTGTATACTCTTTTTCAGTATTTACCGTTAATCGCAGAGAAACTGACGAAACTCGCCAATCAGCATTGAAGATAACTTGCTCCGTTGGAAGTCATGCCTAATGACTATTGACAATCGATATTAATACAGTACTCGTAATTCTATTCCAACCCACCTGTCAGATTCGTTTCCACCTAATCTGACTTTGGCCATTGTTTTGTTACCGAGAGAAAAACATAACTCTTACCGGGAAATCAACTTTGAAAAGCGAGTTGAAAGCCTACAGACACCTGGGGCTGTTTAATTGGCAATTACAACAGACGATGAAAGTAATCATGATCTGGAATGATTATACAATTATACTAGAAATCTCGTCTACCTTGCGCTCCTTGAAAGCTTGACGGCGCTTGCGGCTTTTAGGTTTGCCGGTAATTTTGAGGCGCGATTCGATAAATCCTCTGGAAAGTCTAAGTTTTTTTCAAGATAAAAAATGCCGCACTCGCTAAAGGATTTTGCTGATGAAAACTTCACGACCGGTGTATGTGACTGGAAAAATGCTCTTCGTCTGAACATGTCCGATGACACGCTCGAGTCCGGGTACATTATGTTATTGTATCTTGTAGCTTTTCCAGTTCTTCTCTTTTGTTGCACCATCGGAAGTATCTTTACAGTCGCTGCTATTTTAAATGATCCATCACAACGGAAAACCTCCACGGCAGTGTATATGATCGCAGCAGCCATTGGAAATTTATGTATACTGTAAGCCGTATAATGCGTTTATATCCGTATAATCTTATAATGTACCGCTTATCGTAACAGTTAACAACAATAATCGTTGATGTTTTAATTGTTCATGATTTGTGAGTTTTAAATCTGTTACGAATTTTAAAATCCGATTCTGTTTGTGTTTAGGTGGCCTCTCCTCCCAGAGTACTGTTTGTTGCTGGAGGCAGCCATTTTCTATGGGTTTCCGTATGATGCGGATAAAGCAACGTATCCTTGGGCGGTTTCCCAGTCATTTGGCTTTGCTGAGTTCCTGGGAAGTACCGCTCTTCAGTTTGTAGATTGGTAAGGGTTTTCTCACTTGCTGTGCCGACTGAAAAATGCGCATGATTGATATTGTAGGACTTTAATAATCTTTGCTTGCGAACGATTATTCAGCACAATGCGGCCGCTAAAAGTTTTCTCCAGAACACGATCTTCAGCCTGGAAATGCGCGGTAATAAAAGAAGCCATTATTTTAATTCTGGCTGCAGCATTTTCCTTAAATTATTTATGGACATTTTATTACTGGTGGACTTCGCCAACGTACAATGGCAATGAGGGCGAGATGCTGTTGGCTGTTCCTTCGCTGAAAACCTGGAGCATTCTGCAAGCGAATGCTGAAGTACAGAAAGCGTAACAGCCGCTTTTAATTAATTATAATTACAGTACTTACTTGTAACAGCGTGATTTTGTAGACAATAATGCTGATTTCCAAACGCCTGTTGCTACTCTTGATTAACGGGGTGCTGATCTTCGTCTTGCGGAGACATCAAAAAAGCACGAGAAGAACGTTGTCTTACCGTGCAAGTTCTCGAACAGAAAATGCCAACCACATCGTGCTGGGCAGTCTGGTATTATACTTGGTCACCCAACTGCCTTTTGTGGGCTACGAGTTTGCTCAAATCGCCAGCCGTCCACCGTACTGCACCTTGGTCCTAACCGAAGCCGAGAACATCGGTGCCCGTGATATTGTGCAGATTATCAGTTGGGTGGATTATTCGGCTACATTTTGCGTCTACTATGCATCCAGTAGCAAATTTCGTCAGCAGTGCACAAATCTGTATAGACGCACACTGAAGTCCAGTTGTCGGTTTTGTTGTTCTCGTATTTCCGAAGGCGGTGATGGAGGTTCATCAGTTGGGACGATTATTCTTGGCACTGTTACCAGTAACTCGTCCACGGAATAGTAATAAGCTGATTAGGCTCTACACTTTTTACCAGTACACTGTGTAGATACTAGAAACCAAGATACAAGTACAACCTTCCAGTGATGGGCAGATGTTGGGATGCCAGATTTTGGTTATGAGCGGAACACTGTCGTTCGTTGCAGATAGTTTTCCAGAACTTAAATATGCAGGAAATTGCCGCCTTAGTAAATAGTTCCGACAGGCGCAACGATGGTTCCCGTTAGAGTTCAACATTTCCAAGCATCTCCCAAGATACGACGCCGTGGTTGCGGCCAGTTTCCTTGGCCAAATTGGTCAGTTCAGCCGGCCGACGGTTATCTCTGTCCTCTGTCTGCGCTCTTTCATTCAGCTGCGCAAATAGGATATGGCCGGAAAATGGGTTTAGATGTAAAATCAAATTTGGCTTCCATTGCAAGCGACATTCAACTCAAGTGTCGGGAAGCCACATGAAGGCCGGTTATCTGTTGTTAAAAATGTAAAGTGAAAGAATGGAAGTGAACGGTTGTTGAGAAAAGCCGAAGGAAGCGTCGTTAACGGCCTAAACGTCAGCGAGCTAGTCGCCAGGTATTCTCTTACCACTACCAAAAGATTGGTATTAAAAGTCATCCAAAAAAAGTTGCAAGAGAATCCGTGATTTGAAGAGTCGTGCAGCCGTGGGGCGATTTTCGAATTATGACATCGGCTGGGAAATCATCGTAGGTCCATAGCAACACGGGTTTTCCCTATCGCTTTCTAAACAGCGCGTGTTTTCAGACTATCCTCTGTGCTTCTGCAAGAGACGCGAAAAAATAAAATAAAGCTCTCCTCTACGAATAGAGCATCAAATGCCTGATAAAAAAATGCAACGTATTCTTACACTGATGCAAACTCACTACTCAGTATTAGTGGTACTCGGTAGTAGTTGATAGTGGTATACATATGTACATTATACAGGATGTATACTTCGCTTTGCCCATTATTTTAATCAGTACCGCTTTAGGGATCAATATATTAATCACTTTACCGAACTGACAGCCTTTTGGGGCGGGCGGCTACATGAACATTTACAGCTGACTGTAATGCAGTCTTCGCACTGACTGAGTATGTATTCCAGTCGCACAATATGCAATATTGTGTTCAAATCCGCATAACGAATTTTATTAATAATTATCAAGAACCGCCGAGCTTTCATGCATAATTTAGTATTTTACTCCTTCTCCGCGTGCAAGTTTTTTTATATTATCTGCTTTGTTGTACTACATATTAATTTTAATTTATGGACAAGCAAGGCCGTATTAATCTCGCTGTCAAACGAGTTCAGGATGGAGTCTTTTCTCTGCGTGCTGCATCGAAGCTGCATAAAATTCCCTTCACTACACTGCGTGATAAGGTGCGTGGGACGCAACGCGAAGAAAAGCGGAGAAACTCCGCCCGTTAAAAAGCCGGTCTAACTCTCAGATGAAACCATCTCTTTTTTTTGGGAAAAGATATTGAGTGATACAGATTTTTAATGGAAACGTTTTTGTAAGAGCGGTGCTGGTCGCCGGTTAATTTTATGACAAAGATGTTAACAGAGCCGGTAGTCTTGTGATGGCTACCGAAATTTGTGTTCGAATTTTTAACTGTTTCTGACGTTCTGTTTTTCTTAATAAATGTTCTTAGGAATTGTAATATCTGTTTATGAGAATCTAAAAAAATATTTTTTAAAAAGGCCTGCACGTCAAAAGTTAAGTTTCGGGTGATTAATATATTGGTCCGTACAAGGGAAGTGATTGAAATAATGGGCAAAGCGAAGTATTAATAATTTTAAAATGTACAGAGACTGTATCTACTCTGTACAGTATTAATGTTCAAGACTGTATCTACAGTATTAAACTTCATTTTCCTGAAAACTGAGTCTTGTTTCTGAAGGTGTAAGTTATACTTTGTAGTTCTTACTTATTTCAACAGGCGGTATCGTAATAAAAAGGGTCTACCTGTAGTTACCGCATATGTATGACAGAAATGACCCTTCGCCGGCGATCGAGGCAGTGCATTGTAACAAGGTACCCAAGTACGAGCTTAGATACAGCAAAACCAGCGCATGCAAATAAAATCATGCAGTATCCGAAAGTTAAGTAAGCCGGGCAACCGGGCGCAACTGCGCAAAAATTAATTCCCTATGCCCAGTATAAAATTTGTGCAACGTGCGGCCGTAGCAGTACTCGTACTAATGACAGTAGCAATGTTAATAGCCGTCCCATAGGGAGTATATTGCGCAATATCGGCTAAGGTGATTGGTTAATGCATCAAATATTAATAAAGCACACTAGCGGTGTAATAACTTGCACCCTACGAGACCCTTCAAAGGTCATCGTACACAAATGCAGCGGTATGCATTTAGGACGATAAGCACGTTTTCCCCACGTGATACCGGTCGGTGAGTGGTGACAGTCCCACGCCTAGATAAAACATCGCATCCTGGTATCCCGCTGCTGTACTGCAGCAGTGGACAGGCCGTCAAATGAACGTTCGGGCATAATTAAGCAGACCTCTCCCGAGTACTTTAACTTGAACACGAGACCTGACGACTGGAACAGTATTTTATGATGAGACCGTGGTGATGCAGTATAGTTACTCGAAGTTATTATCGCGCATGAAAATGCTCCTAGTTTTGTCGGTGGGAAGGATTTTTTCTTGAGCTGATATTATTCATGCTTTTATACATTGCTATGCTTGTTATTGCGTTACTAAATCAAGTTTTTTGTTTTATAAATCAAGTTTTTTGTTTTATAAAACTGCACAAAGAAGGACTGACGTAAAGTTAAGTACGTTTCTAACTATGACTTTGTAATTTGGCGTGTGGTTAAAAATGGAGGCACTCCCTACAGTCAGCTTTAGTACACCAAAATACGGGTGCCCTTGGACAGAAGAGAGCAATGATACCACCGGCCAAGAACGCTCGGAGTACAGTTTTACCATTTGTTATCCCATTCTATTGTTTTTCTGCACGGTTGGAAATTGTTTAACTATCACTGTTTTTGGAGTCATTCGATCACGAAATGCACAAATACAAAGTGCAAACGTTTTATTGCTTGCAGTAGCGGTTGGTGATCTTTTGACACTGTAAGTGTAGGCATAAACGGCATAGTTGAGGACTTTGTAATAACTTCAACATGTTATTACAGAGAATCGTGACAGTATGTACAGATTGTACTGTACCTATTATACGGTCAAGGTTTCTCACTGGTCAGCAGTAGTACACTTTATATGCAGATATATGACCGTACGACTGAATAATTTAGTACAAGGAAATAGCTGTTTTTAAATTTTACAGGTGGATACATCTTCCGGAGTACATATTTGTAGTCAACCCGGACATTTTCAACAGCAATTACATTTTTGATTATGTTAACGACTATGTACAAGGTTTATACATCTGGTTACAGAGCGGATTCCCAAGATTCGCGGATTGGTAAGAGCTCTCTCAATGTGAAATAAGTAATGAAAAAATGGTTGTTATTATTACCTGATTAAAAAAACAATAATTAGGGTTTTGGTGGTGTTTTCCGTCGAGCGGTTTCGTGCCGTCGTGAAACCTCTGTCGCAGCCAATCTCCATCAGAGTTTCTCGGATCAATGTCGTAACTTGCTTCCTGTATGGAACCGTGGCGTGCGTTGATAAGGCCATCGCCCAGTATTATTTGCTGGCTACCCTTGACATTCCGAGTTTCGATGCCGAAACATCACTGGCCTTCCAGCCATCGCTGCCCCAAAGTTTGCAAACCTGGAACGCCATATCAATCTTCTACGGAGTACAACAAACTTCTGTACTATTCTAGTTTGGATTTATTTGTATTAAAGAAATTATGATCTGCAGGTGGTGGAGACATTCGTCATATTCGGCATTCTTCTGATATGCAACGTAACCATCATTTACAAAGTCATCAACCATCGCCGCAAAACTGTCCGGCTACAAGCCGACTCGCATCTCAGGAAACCGGGAACCACTAAAGCGCCACATCGAGCCAAACAGAAAATGGAGGCACCGCTTCTGATTTCCGCCGTTTCGGTGTATTTGATATGCAGGCTTCCACAAGCGGTCAATGACACCCTGGGGCGGCTGTCGCGATATCCCTTCTGCTTTGTTAATTACCAGAGTTATAACGTGGTGTGGCGTCCTGCCGATGTCATAATGCTGATTCCGTATTCCATCAACTTTTATCTGTACTGCGCATTTAGTACGAAATTCCGCAAGGGAGTGAAAGCGACCTTTACGGTAGTGTTACTAAAAACAAAGTTGTGGAAGAATGCATCGTCTCGTGGTCAAGAGGAATCGACGCAGATTCGCCAAGCAACATCTACAAGTGGCCCATACACTCTCCCCAGTTAAATCCAAGCTCAGATAAAGATACCTGCAGTCGACAGATTTCACAGAAACCTGGAAAAAGCTTAAGGGTTTGTTATTTTATGTAGAACAAGCAACTTCGTGCAGCTCGGTTATAAATACGACTACGGATAATACGAAACTTTAGCGAACATTCAACGGGTACACGTACTTACTTGCACCTCCACCGGCGGCTTCCAAATATGTACATACTTACTTTCTTAAGCTAGCCTGCAGTGCAATTTGTATGAGTATCAAAATTATACATAGTATGCATCAATTCCGATTGAAAAGGAACTGGGGAAGGGGTTTTCAATTTACGGATGTTACCGTCCGGCTAGGCAGGATGCTGGTGTCCGGCTCAGAAAAAGTTTTGATGATACTACAACTTCTGTAACTCTGATAAACTACGCTAACGCATCGGCCTCATTCGATTGTTCGTTTTTCTGAAAGTTAGAAGAATAAAAGTCTACGTAATGTGGAGTGCTCTGTAGCTAAATCGAAGGCAGAATTCCATAATCCATTACCCTTTAATTTTTTTGTAACTTATTAGGCCTCGTCCCGAATTCGAAGCGCTAAGTATTTATTAATTGTGGTATGGTGTAGTTACTACCAAGTACTTACTACCTATAGTAAGTTCTTGTTACTACTCAAACACTGATAATGGTTAAAGTATTCTGGGTAAGCCGAAGACCTTTGGCTTTCAGTTAACATGCAACACTACCACAGAAAGAAACTGAGAGATCGCGTATAATCTTGTGCAATCTGAATGTTTTTTTTATACAGTTCATGTTTGATCAATAATCGAAAAAAAAGGATATTTAACACGCTATCGTATATCCTGACCCATGATATTACTGTACATATTTGTTAGCAAAATGGAAACACTTCATAAGCTAGAAATTCTCGTTTGATTGTACGTTTGTACAGAAAATCAAGTACATTGTCTGACAAGGATATTAATTGGTATAAAAGACTAAAGCACATTACTTGGAACTTGGAACGCATTCTTGGAACACACACACTTGGACTAAAGCACATTACTTGGAACACATTACGTTGCTCTTGGAACTTCTAATCATAACTAATCAGATCACTCAAACGTAAACGCTTGTTGGATGGCCAATTCTTGGTCCAGATCCTCCATTTGAGGGCTACCAAACAGACTTTCAAACGCATGTGCGACGTCCCATTCCGCCAAAGCCAAAGCATCCCGTGCTGCCGTCGCATCGCAGCATCCCGTCTCCACCAGCTGCGCGACTTTGCCATCCATTTCCGTGTACTCCGTGCAGTCGGCAGCGTTACCGTTAGCGTACACTCGCAGCCAGTACCGGGCCGTAAGATTAAACTGGCTCCGGTTATTAATGAACTGGTATGCCAGGACGGCATTGACAGGATCGCCCAAAAGCTACATAATCGACGGAAAAAACATTAACAACCCGAGCCTGTATAATGTGCGGCATTGTAGTATAAGACACATAAATTTTATCATTATGTTTACGAGTATCTTACCGGTGAACTGAGCAAACGGCGAGCACACATCAGCAGCGTCTTAATTGTCATACTTTCGCACCATGTCGTACAGAAGCGGGGATACAGCCGTCCGGTGTTGGGGCAGATGTTGGGGTGCCATATTTTGGTCATGAAGCGTAGAATCGGCGGTCGTTGGGGATAGTTTTCCGGAATTTTGATATCCAGCAGAAAATTACCGCCTTCATAGATTGTTCCTGCCGGCGCAGCGATGGTTCCCGTTAGAGCTTCCATGCGGTTCTCAAACATCTCCCAGAATACGACGCCGTGGTTGCGGCCAGTTTCCTTGGTCATATTGGCCAGTTCGACAGACAGACGGCTTATTGCGGCATCCGAAAGTGCCATCTCGAATAGCAAGTTGTAGCATTAACCTATACAACACATCAGAAATATTTCCAATTTCAAATCCAAATGCTATGCTGATGTAATTCAAATGCTAATGAAAGCTGCACAAGGTAAAGCTGAACGTCGTTAAAGGCATAAATAAACGTGAGAGAGCTTATGTTGTCTCACAACGTTGGCCAAAAGGGCCAGCAAAGATTAAGGCACGTTATACTTTACTGATTATTCGTAAGTCATGGCATTATGACATCATAGCAGTAGTGCCCAACTCGATGTGCCTCATTACACATACTAGCTTTGCTGGAAAAATACTGCCCTCCCCTTTGTGGACACATTACCCAAAGCGAGTGTGCCGACACTTTCGCGTGCTTGCGGTCACTGGAAAATGTACTGACAGGGCCTGCTTTGAGTCCATCACAGAGAACCATTTTATCACAGGTATGGGACAACGTATAAACGTAGTATTTATCAGCTCTGACAACGAGGAGGTTTTGCCATAACAAATGACAAACATTTTCAAAACGTTTAGCAGAATAATATAATATACGAGTTCGCTAGATTGTGGTTGCTGTCGGTTTGACATAGAACTATTGTTTATGCAGGTACTGAAGCAGTGGCAATCCGGTGACCCGCGATTTAATGACCAGACATCACTGATGGATAACCCTCTCAACGGTGTTCCTCTTGATTCGCTGCGGAATGTCACGCTGTTTATACTCTTCTGGCATTTTGTTCAGGAAGATCTGCACTACTGGCAAAATAAAGGTTCTTTTCATAAAATGTGTCGCAAAGACTCCGACGATGTATGCAAAAAAGGGGAAACTGGATAATTTAATCTAAAACAAAATTCAGTTTTGTTGATGTAAAAATAAGTTTGCTGGTATTTTCTACCGTGCTGGAAATGATGGAATGGTACGGTACTTCGGCGTTCTACATTTGATGGCTTCTCGGTAACGCTGCACGTTCGTTATTATTTTTTACACTTTATATGAACATGCAGGATTGCCGGTACGATGTATTTCTGACATGAAAAGCCGGGGTAGTTGCATTCGCCAAGACGTTTGTCTGTATTAACACGCGCAAACCCAAAAATGCCACGATATTATACACACAGTAGTACAGAGTTTATTATGTACATCTTATTAAACTCGAATTTGCCAAGTCTTATCAATACGGAGTACGGACACTCCTCTTCTTCCGGCAGGTCCACTTGGTATTCAGTACTATTGACAGTAATTACCCGGCATTAGTTCATTTTTACAATTTTTTTCAAACGCGCAGCAATCGCGTTAGCGTTTATGGAGAGTGCAGCAGGGACATATAGCCGACTTTTTCCTTTCATTCTTCTCCGATTGTACAAAATCATGACGCGGGCCAGCGCGTACAACACGGGCCTTGGTAGTTTGGCTATGTCCCAGCCGCAGCGACGATGCCGAAAATCCAGCCAGTTCTGCTCGCTCTCTTTTGACCGCGGATCCCGAAACCAGTAATTACGAACAGCCTACAAAGACGCGTTAAATTTGAAATAATTATAGCAATAGTGAGTGCGGTCTGAAACGGTGTTTTTATAACGTGCATTTTCGGTGAATTTTGATATTGCGCTGGTAAAGCTGCAACGTGCAGCCAATACTGTGCAGTAGTGTTCCCTTCTCTAAAAGCTGCGTAAGAAGTGCTTACAATGTGCGAGTAGAACCAAAAGATGCTTTTTTAAGGCTCTCCTGAACGCGCTTCTGTATTCGAACGCAGAGAGGGAATCTCTACAGTCTACGCATTGTATATGCTCCTTTTATTGTGCTAATAATACTATCCAGTGGACCGGCTGCCCTGTTTTATAGTCCTAGATTGCACGGATGCATCGCATATTTATATAGTATGTGTACCGGTACATCGGATATATATGTATAAAGTAGTGCAACAGTCATTTATAAGCACATACATAAGCATAAGCCTCCTTACATAAGCAATCGCATTCCATCCCGAATCACTGGGCGGCGCCGCGTCAATCCACTCGGACAACACCGTCAGATCCGGTCCAACAACCGGTAAATTGCAATCAATAATGTCCAGCAGGTCGCAAAAAAGGTCGTTGGAAAGGGGATTGACTATCCCACTGAACAGCGGGAGATCGCCGTATCTGGACCCGTACACCTCACGGTCTTCATTTGTACTACTATGGTATAGGCAAATATGATCGTCGTACATGGCGTCATCACAACAGATCCTACAGTGTCTCCACATCACCGTGCTACAAACCGACGCCAGCTGCTGACACTTGTCGGCCAAATATTTGACTGGGCACTCATACACAATGCCGTCGGCCAGCCAGAGGAAGCTGCAGAAAGCGATTGTGCGTTTCTTCCCAATGGGCTGTTGGCACAGGGCTTGCTCCAACCATAGCAGACAGAGGCTGTCCTTACAGCAATACTGGAAAGTCTGCACACCGGGACGTGCTTTCTGAATGATCAGGCACTGGTTGGATGTTGTCACGCATTTTAGCATGCAGACGGTGAACGTGTACTGCAGATCACTATTGCAGGAATCGCCGCTTAAAGGGTCAAACGTTATCCTGACTTCTTGTGCGTCGTCGGCAAGGAAGATGGCATTCCATAATTGGCAGACGCGGCGCTGCTGTAAGCGGTCCACAAAGTCCAGCATCCGGAAAGTACTGGATAGCAATTCTGGAAGCAACACGGATAACTGGGCGTCGCTGATCTCCGTTGTCATGGATAAATTCCTGTCGGTGTAATTCCCCAGATGTCGCAGGTTTGGCGATAGGTTTAACAATTCTTTACAGATGTTATCCTGGAAAATTAAGGCGACTGACTGATTGTTTGACTTTCTTACTAAAACGTGAACCGTTTTTCAAATAGTATGTATTACCTACTCCAGAAAAATAGTGTAAATTTTAATTTTATAGAATCATTCGTAATTATATCTATGATATCAGTAAAAATTTGCTACGTCACGAAGACAGATTAAGTAATTAAATGAGATCGACGGTCATTTCTCAGCCTTCTGGGAATGCACAAACACTTGCCCAACTAGCCACTAAGAGCGGCTCAGAATTTTCTTGCTGGATGTAAACCAATTTTTTTGCAGACAAAGAAACCGGGAAGATTTGCCACATGCTGAGGATTTTTCTGAAGAGATGGCGAAAATCTGGAGAATCTAATAAAAATTCGCGGCGACGCTTTGCAGGCACCTCCAAACATCTCTTGACAAAGTGGTTTTTGGCTATAATTCGCCGTTTTATAGAATTTTCAGAAGGTCGTATGCGCAGCTGTTTTGTGGAAATGGATTCGGTCAGCAGTACATTGTCAAACTGCACCCGAACGACGGTGTGCGCATCATTCGGGGAAGCACTGTTCATTTGCAAAACGAGGTCCATGGCAGGATACCATGCCGGCGGGTGGGTGGGAAATTCACGAATCAGCACATCCATCATCTCCGAATAAAACGGCGGTGGCCCATGATCAGTGCGAAAGACCTTGCCATGCTCCACCACTTCCGCTCGCCTGCCAGGATATCCGAAATCCACCACGAAATGCCCGTCCTTCTGGACATTGATCACCGCTGCGCGTCGAAAAATACCGTTAGGGTCTCGCACTTCCACCGTGTTCCATCCGCCTCGCCAGGATTCGTCAAATACAGTCTAGAATGTATGAAATGATAAATGAGACATTATTTGAAACCTCTGCTACTGCGATGGGTCAATATTTTACCTTATGTTTTAACTTGTAGAACAAGATATTATGATAAACATAATTTCTAAAACTCTTATAATGGATGTAACGCTACGCGCTTGGCAAGTTATTAATCGACAGTCCATTCTGTACTATTACCCTATAAGAGTGCGGTTCGCTAACTGTTAATGTGATCTAACCAGGGCCCGGTCACCGGCTCCCGGCTCCGAGAAATTTCATTTTTTGCAGGAAGACAAATTAATCCTTGGGTACGATTAAAAAAATATTTCCATCGGCCATGGTTGAGTGGGCGTGGCCAAACTTAAATCCCAGTGGTAATACATGCCATACTATGTAATAAAGGAATACCGTAATAGTGTATCGTACAATGTCAGAGGTTTTCTGTTTTCACAAATGCGTGTAACCGGTAGTCAGATGATTTTCATAATTCTTCTAAAAATTACTAGTGTAAAATAAACCACCGAGAAAAATTACATACAGTATTAGAGTAGTATGTATTGGGAAAATGGAATACGTCCCGCGCACGGTAGAATATCATACACATGTTGGCACAAATACAATACGCGTTCTCACTACTTACCAGTTTTACAATTTTATAAATTCTTCTCTATTATTAACAGCACCAATTTTAGGACGATTAGAAATGCTCGGACCACTTAAATCACTTATGCCAACCTCTAACACATTAGGCTACATTGATACGGTATTCCCAATAAATAGTGCTGCATGTATTAATGCCACAGGAATTAAATTTAGCGCCGCCCACTTCACCATGGCCGATGAAAATATTTTTTTAAGCATACCAAAGAGCTACTCTGTCTTCCTGCAAAAAATAAAATTTTTCGCAGCCGGGAGCCGGTGACCGCGCCCTGGTAAGTTTTATTATACTGGAGATCTTTTTATACCCGTACCGCTATACGGCGATTTTGGTTGCCACTTCTGTACTTCATACCTACGAACTATGTATAGATATATACATTTGTCATTCTACACGTTGACGGTTCCGCTTCTGTACATATTTGCCTTTTTTTTCTGAAAACGCACGATTTCTCGCGCCGAGCTCGAACATAATGATGGGAATTTCTTGACAAAATCCTTGGAATCATATTCGAATTCGGAATTAAAAGAGCGGCTTATTCTATAGTATGTAGTATTCAAATTTCGAAAAGCAATATTATAGCAAAATAAAAGGGACAAGGTTTATTTCTAATGGTAGATATATTAACTTTGACTGGTCTAATGGCATATTAAATGCGTCTACTCCAGTGCATTATATCTGTAACTTTTGGTTTGTACTACTCGTAGTATTCCATCTGCGTCTGAAATTATTCCACAGATTCTGTAAATTGCCGCTGAAGGCTCACTTACAAGGACAGGACCATGATGCACGGCATTCAAACGAAACTGGAGGTTTACTACCATTTTTAGGAACTCTTCAGCCGATATCCAAGTTATATTGCGCGTTCGCTATTATGATTCATTTGTACAAGTTATACAGAGGTACATGTTGATGTAGCGATACAGAACAGCTAACACACGCATATCGGCACATGTCGTCCATATTACAGTATTTTATAGCAAAATATCCATCCAGCCAAAACGGGCTAGTCCCGTGGAAAATACCACTAGAGAAGCACCATGCAGTGAGAGATCAAGTGCAAAGTAAAAACTGAAAAAATAAAATACGCCTTCGCCAGCAACCGGAAATCATGGATCTCTATATCCTGTGCACTAGTGTACGCGTGCATGGTATAACGGTAGCAGAGGCTGCAGAGATACTGTATGCATTATGCAAGAACTCGCTCGTGCTCTGTATTAACGATTGTAAGCAGTGTAAGCGTGCGGAGTTGGTTTTCTTGCCGTTTAATTGATAGCTCGGCTGCGTATTACTTTATCGATCCGCTTCCTTTTTACATGCATGCAGACACAAGTTACTGCTTAATAAATATAGATACATTTACTCGTACACTTTTTTTAGAGGCATACTGTATAAGTGTATATATTAAATCGAATTGTATCGACAAGCAACAAAATCTTCCAGTAGTAATACGTGCAAAGAGTTGGAAAGACGTCAGCGCACGTACTTCCAGTTCTTTAAGCGTGATACACTCCGAAAAACGCTAATATCTGCTTGAACCTTAAGTTTAACATGGTGAACACTTTAGCATGGAAAGTTAACATTGAGGTCTGAATGATGTCTGGATGTGCACGTTTTCGTCGTAACAGTCTTTGGCTCGCGGCGCCGTGGACGTACATAGCGCCGAGGGATCCGTTCGTCATGGCATGATCACCGACACCCATCCATTCCCATCGCGGATTTATTGTGGGTTTCTCGAAGAAACGCATTTCGGAGAAACTCCGAAACTATGAATTCCAGAACCACGGTGCGGTGAAGGTCGTACTGCGAACATCGGGGCAGGATGCGTGGCGCTGGTATCGCGCCACAATTATCGGCAGACTTCTCCATAGGTTTTGTATTGTCAATGTCCAGCGCGAAGAAGTTTGGTTGAAGACTTTGTGCGGTTCGATGCTGTACAAAGCGTCAATGAGGAGCCGGTCCGACGATATCGCCGACACTGTCAACCGTTGTCGGAACACCTGGAAATATTGGCAAGACCGTTAACCGACAAAGATTTTCAGCGGTGGAATTGCTTGTGGGAGGAGGAGATCTGGCTGGTCAGTGTTGAAGAAAACAGAAACTTTGTTTATATTTCATCTTCCGAATGTAAATTTTCGGAGGATAATTTGGTAAAGGGAAAACTATGGTGGCATGCAGTTTTGCGATTTCTCTTTGCAATGCAATTTCTCCTTTAGGATACGCCTTTTTGCGCCCAGAGAAACCCCTTCGTGCGAGATCCGTTCGTGGACATTAAGAAACAGATCCGCTCCGCCATGGGCTTGCTCATATCGCGTCGCCATATCTGGCATATCGTCAGACAGCTAAACAATCTTCCTAGCGATATAACTGACACATTGCGCAAATTACGACAGTCCAACGGACGGACATGCATATAACATCATATAAAAAATCCGAAGGCGTTATGGCGATTGCTCAGGATGGTGTACAACATACAACACATTTGCAATGCCACTACGTACTGCATTTATAGACGGCAATACGTAGCCGGCAGAAAGGTGGACGGGTGGATGGTGACTGTTGTTACGATCGTGGAGGTGTACGATCATGAACACTGGATAGCGTGGATTGCATGGCTGTATGTATCTTTACGGTCGTGTTTGTGCCGAGTCTGAGCTGTATCATTTATGATCATATTTGTGCAGGACATTTATGTCTTTATGGTGTTATGCATTTATATGCATGAGTGTTTGTGACCGATGGTCAAGTGTGAATGAGAGGAAGGCAGGACTAATCTGGCCTGCAGGAGCGGATGTGCAGTGGTCAGATTGGTGCGTGTGTTTTTATAGCTTTGTGGCTATATGCGATATGAGCGTGTTGTGCGAGCATGCATATTGATGTGGTATATAAGTTGATGCAACTGTGTTGACACAGTTGTCGGGAGTGCAGCTGTCATGAAATAAAAGTTAAGCTTTTTCCTGTGGTGTACGTTGTACGAGGTAGACGTAGTGCTGCAGGGTATTATGACTGTTCAATGAAATCGCACCACTCTGCCGAATCGCATCCACCTTTTCCTAAAGGTCATATAAGGTGGATGTGATCTGACAGAAAAGTAACTTTTACATATATGGCCTTTACATATATGTAAAGGTAGCTTTTCTGCCTGCTTTCTTACGTCCGGCTCTGTATCTTTATTCGGCAAAGGCCATCGATATTACAAAATATGCATTCGCGTAATACTACTTAAAATGATCCAAATTTAAACGTTAAAGAAACAACCAAAATCGTTATTGCCATCAGACATTCTAGGACGCATATTCATAGTACCCAACACAGCAGCGGCGTTTCCTTTCACTACAGCTAGACTTAATCTCTGCTTCAAAAACGCAGTAGAACGAGGCTCCCCTGTCACGTCGCGAATCTTTCTGCCAGCGAAACGCCAGCGAAACGTCGCGAATCTTTCTGCCAGGCTCTGTTAGTAGTTTTATCTTTGGGCGGTTGCATCTGCCACATACTTTTGTTCTGCCTGATTTCGCAGCAGTCTTTCTAATAGCGCGATAATCGAAAATAAGTTTTCTCAACAGAAATTTTAAATGATGAAAACATAAAATGCGGGATAACAAAATTCCGAATTTTCGTAAAAATCCACTGTTCCGTTTTTCGTAAATATCGAAGTACCCACTACCCTCTCTTCTCGCTCGGCGCTCATACCGCATTTGTACCTCACCATTTGCCGAGAAGAGAACTCAGACACTTTTCTACCGGACTTCACCCGTCTTTCTACTGGAAGGCGTTCGCGTTCATGCGGCTAGTGTGCCAATGCTTAAGGTCACTGGATGATGTGCTAACAGGGCCTGTTTTGAGTCCATCACAGAGAACCGTTTTATCACAGTTATGGAACATGGCATTAACGTAGTATTTGCCAGTTCTGACCACGGGGAGATTATGTCATGACAAACTGACAAACGTTTCAAAATGTGCGCTATGTAAATTGTGATTGCTGCCGGTGGAACCATTCTTTGTGCAGGTACTGGAGCAGTGACAAGCCAGTGTGTCACGCCTGTTCATGCTCTTTTGGCATTTTATTCAGAAGGTTCTGCATTACTGGCAAAATAAAGTGTTTTTTTTTCATAAAATGTGTCGCGATGACTCCGACAATGTACCATAAAAGGGGAAACTAGATAATTTAATTGCAAAAATGCAAAATTTTGTTGATGTACAGCACATAAAACTAAGTTTGCTGATATTTTCGACCGTGCTTTTGTATGGAATAATATTTCGGCGTTCTGTATTTGATGACTTCTCGGTTAAACGCTGCCTGTTCTTTACATCTGCTTTGTAGTACTGTACATGAATCTTGCAGTTACGATGTATTCTAAACATATTCTTTCTAACTCGAAAACCGATGTTGCTGCATTTGCTGAAAACATTTGTACTAACCAGCGCGTACCCCAAAAATTGGAACGAAAATAAACAGAGTGCATCTTATAATAATTTGTAAACAGCCTTATTACTACCGAGCACGGACATTCTTCTGGCATGTCCACTTGATATTTGCAGTAATTACCATTTTACCCGGCTCTAACCCATTTTTATAAATTTTTTAAAACGCGCAGCAAGCGCGATTGCGTTTTTCTCCCTCATTCCAGCCCGCTTGCGCAAAATCATTACGCGGGTCAATGCGTACAACGCGGGCCTTGGCATTTTTGTTATGTCCCAGCCGCAGCGTCGATGCCGAAAATCCAGCCAATTCTCTTCACTTTCTTTTGATCGCGGATCGCGAAACCAGTAATTCCTTACATCCTACAAAGCGAACAACCGTCAATCGAAATGAAATTCATACATCAGTGAGTGCAGTCTGAAACTTTGCTTTCATAGCATGCATTCGCCATGAAATTTCGCTACTTGAGCTGTAAAGATACAACACGCGATCTTGTGCAGTGTGCCCATCTGCGACAAATGATTAATAAAATGTGCACATTTATAATGAAAAACTAGAGGAGAAAATGCTTCCTATGATGTGCAATAATGGTTTTTATTGTATGTTCGAGCCCAGTGCTTGAAATCCCTGCGCATTGGCTCTGATCCTGTCTCACTCTAATGGTAAGTTGATACTGCTATTTAACTTTTGACGAGCGGTGCCGGACTTTCTACTTTTTTAGTCCTCGATTGTACAGATAGGTGCATCACATGTGTACACTGCGGTACGATCCTCACATTAACAATTCCATTCCACCCCCAACCATCTGGCAGCGCAGCTACAACGTCTATCCACTCGGACAACGTTGTCAGATCCGGCCCAACAACCGGCAGATTGCTGTCAATGATGTCTAGCAGGTCGCCAAAAATGTTGCTGGACGCGGGATTGAGTGCCCCATTATACAGTGGGAGATCGCCGTAACTGGATCCGTACACCTCGCGGTCCTCGCTGGCAACTTTGTAGTATAAGGAATTAAGACCGTCGTACAGGGAATTATCACAACAGATCCGACATTGTCTCCACATTACCATACTGCAGACCGGCGCCAGCTGTTGGCACTTGTCAGCCAAATATTTGACCGGGCAATCACAGGTAAAGCCGTCGGCCAGCCAGAGGAAGCTGTAGAAAACAATTTTACGTTTCTTCCCAACGGGCTGCTGACATAAAGCGTGCCCCAACGACTGTAAACAGGGGCTGTCCAAAAAGCAGTATTGGAAAGTTTGCACATCGGGATGTGCTTTCTGAATGATAAGCCACCGGGTGGATACCTTCACGGTTTTCAGCACGGTGACGGTGAACTTATACTGCGGATCACTACCACAGGAACCGCTAAATGGGTCGAAAATAATTCTGACTTCTTGCGCTTCTTCCGCAAGGAAAATGGCATTCCATAGTTGGCAGACACGACGCTGCTGTGTGCGGTCCCGAACGTCCAACATGCGGAATGTGCTGGATAACAATTCTGGAGGCAAATGGGATACCTCGGAGTAGCTGATCTCAGTTGTTGCAAATAAACGGCTGCCGGCATTGTCCAATTGACGTCTGTGGACTAATGACAGGGTTAACATCTCTTTACAGATGCCCCGCTGAAAAATAAAACAGCGATTACGATAAATATTTGTTTTAGCTTTGTTGTACAACAAAAACATGTTTATGTTTAAATTTAAATTTCAAAACTGTTGTTTACTTAATATTGGCGAATGTTTTTGTCATTAGTATGCTATCGAAGGAAAAATGAAAATCTTAATAAAAATTCTCGACGTTCCGAAGAAAATTACAAAGGAGATTGACGGCTATGTCCCAGCCTTTTGGGTTGTACGAACACTTGCCCAATCAGTCAGTAACAGCGGCTGCGAATTTTCTTGCTGGATGTACACAAATTTGTTTTCAAACAGAGAAACCGGGACAATTTGCCGTTTATTGAGGATTTCTCTAAAAAGATTGTTGGAATCCGGAAAATCTAGTGAGAAATTGCGGCGATGCTTTGTAGGCAACTGCAAGAACCTCTTGACAAAGTTGATTTTCGCTACAACCCGGCATTCCAGAGAATCCTCCGAAGGCCACATGCGTAGCTGGTTCGTAGAAATTGTCTCGGTCAGCAACACATAGTCGAAGTGCACCGGGACGACTGCGAGCTTATTATTCGGAGAACCGTTGGTCATCTTCAAGCAGGCGCCCATGGCAGGATACCAGGCCGGCGGACGGTTGGACAATTCGCCAGTCAAATTCGGTTGGAGAATTCGATCTATCTCCGAATTAACTGCAAGACACGATGGATCGTGGCCAGAGGGAAGACCTTGCCGTGCTCCACCTCTTCTGCAAGGATTCTTCAGATACTGCCTAAATATATATGAAATGCGAAATAAAACCTTTTGTAGAATTTATCAGTTACTGTGGTTGGTCAATAGACTACATTATGTTTTAACAGAATGCCTACATCAAAATACTGATACAAAGAGTCATAATTTTCAAAAGTCAGATAATGTTGAAGCAAGTATATTACGTGTATTGTACTGCACTGTTGGAATACTTCAGCGCCCGGCTTTTTTGTATGTACTGCCAGAACCATGCTCTGGTAGTTCAAATTAATGCAGAACGAAATAAACGAAATGCAAGATTCCTACCCTACTTTAACGAAGGCAGCGTCCGTTCTTTCTAAACGACGACCTACCACTACTGAAACGCGGTTCTGGTCGTACCGTACGATAGACTGTATTAAACATCGGTATAATCTGCAACGACTGCAAGTAAATATTTTTTTAAATCTAAAAGGATTTTGTATACTTTTACCTTTATTCCGGTGATTTTGGCTGCTATGCCTATTTGCTTTTCTATCCGATTCTATACGTCACACAGTATTAGCATTTCATTTTTTCTAAACATGCGCTTTTAGCCTTTTACGTGCACAACACGAACAAAAAGATCCAAATTTTTTTAACAAAACTACTGAAAATTATATTCGTAATTAATTTCGAAACAGAACTTACGCAATAGCAGTACACAATAATTATTATATTCGAATTTCGAAAAGCACTGCTGTATCCAATAAAAGGGACAAGGCTTGCTTCCCACATTTACACGTATGTTAAATTTTAGCCTAATGGCACGCCAGACATGTTTACTCCACTGTATCTTTAGCTTTTGGTTCTGGAATAACCTCGAAACATTCGCCAGCATTTTATATGTATGTACCACACTTTAACCACAGTACCAGCATTTTACGTTAGTTATGTACATATAGATATTAATTTTCGCAGATTCGTGAATGCCTGCTGAAGGCTCACTTACGATGACAGGATAAGGAAACATGAAATTCAAAGAAAACTGGAAGTTCACGTTCACTAGCATACGGTATTTAGAAAGCCCACAACCGATATCGATGTTCCGTTACGCGTTCACTAACGTAAGATGTACTGTAGCAACTGTACACGATGCATGGCACTGATGGCAGCAGACAATAATTATGTAATTTGCCAACAAATTTGAAGGCAACCGCTGCACAGAAATCAGAGAATTTCGTCACAGTGTATCAATTACTTAAATAAAATTGTCTAATGCCGTCGATAATCTTAATCAGAAGTAGCAGTTGTAAAGAGTAGATTCGCACACATTTGGCAAATTGGCAGAACAGCTGACATAGAACTATTATATAATATGCACAGCGGCACGTATCATTCCCAAATCTTATAGGAAAGCAAATTCAGCCATATGGTGGTGTTGCGGAAAATACGAGTAACACCAGAGAGCACCACGAAGAGATAAAGTGCAAAGTGATACCTCACAAATCAAAAACTGCTTCTGCAGCAGCCGGATATCATGGAGAAATACCCGTACCCTAATGATTGTAACTTTGTAAGTACGGTAGAAACGCGTGAACGTCAAATCAGCAAGCTTGTGGAGTCGGCTGCGTACTTTATCGATCCGTTTCCTTCAGTATGTTGCTTGCAGCACAAGCTATGGAATCTTCCAGTAGTAATACATACGAACTACGAAGCATGCAAAAACACGTCAGACGTGTGTACAGCGTACTGTACGTTTTACTTGTACGAAACGTTAAGCGCGGTATACACCGAAAAACGCTTAAAAATCTGCTTGAAACCTCAAGTTTAACATGAAGAATAGTACAACATGGAAAATTAACATTGAGATATGAAAGATGTTTGGATGTGCACGTTTTCGTCGTAATAGTATTTGGCCTCGCGGCGCCGTGGACGTGTATGAAACCGACGGATCAGTTCGTCATGGCATGATCATCGACATCCATCCTCATCGCGGTTTTATTGTGGATTTCGATTATCCAGAGCATCGCGCGGATCTCGTTCCGTTTGATCAATGTGCGCCGAAGAAACGACGATATGACATCTTTCAGATCGGGGATGCGGTGCAAGTCGTCGTGCGAGCTTCGGAGCAGGATGCATGGCGCTGGTACGCTGCCACAATTACCGGCCGCCTTCACCGCCATTTTGTGACTGTCAAAGTTCAGCGCAAAGAAACAGCCGCGGAGGAGGTTGTGCGGTTAGAGGCTGTACAGAACGTCAAGGAAGAACCGCACCGACGATATCGCCAACACACGCAACAGCTTTCGGAGCAGCTGCGGAGATGCTTTCGGAGCAGCTGAGGAGATTGGCGAGACCGTTTACCGTCAACCATTTTCAGCGCTGGAATTTGTTAGGGGTGGCAGACATTTGGCTGGTCACCGTGGAAAAAAGCAGAAACTTTGTTTATATTTCACCTTCCGAACGGAAATTTTCAGAAAATGAACTGGTAAAATCATACTCCTGTGTCCTGGCTTTGTAAAACAATGATGATGATAGGAATGACTTCGCAACGCAATTTCTGTGTAGGATGCGCTTTTCCGCGCCATGCGGAGCCGCTTGCTGCGAGATGGTTTTGTGGTGAGTTGGAAAAATATCCGCGGTGCGGGCTCCTTGTTAACGTCGCGGCGTCATATTGTCAGTCGGCTGAATGATCTTCCTGACGATATAACTGACATATTTCGCGAATTAGGACAGTCCAGCGGACGGACGCTTCAGAAGCACGTTCGTGGAGGCGTTTCGTCACTTTTGCTCAAGAGCGACAAGCGCCGTGTTTACTCTCTACCTGACGAGTTGCTTCGTGCGATCTTCCAGTTGTTAGAACTGCGGGAACAAGTGAGCTGCCGCCTGGTTTGCAAAACCTGGTCTTGGTTGATCAAGCAGATGATGGGCTCGCACATTGAACTCAATTTAAGTAAACGCGCGTACCATAACGATGCACTCCTCATGGCTTTAGAACAGGTCATCAGTCGTCGTACCAAGGTAATTCTGTTCACTTTTCTCGGATTTCCCAGTGATCCCTTTGGGATACTCTTCAGCATACTGAAATTTAAGCGAATCCGAATCCCGGTGATCGTCTTGTCAAATTTGGACGTTTGGGCTAATGATATCCTGGTATTCTCTGATTCATGGACACTGCGGTTTCGTTCAGAATGGGCGGAGGTGTGTGATAAACTGGTTCTACACAAGACTACGGTTCGGGGATTGCCGTACATAGATGTAGGAACGTGCCGGTGTTGCCTGAACGGTTTGGAAAGCGACACAAATGATTATCTGTATTACATTGGTTGGCCCTTCTGTTTTTGGGTGGATCTGTATAAACATGTGAATATTGAGAAAAGCGTTATTGCCACACAGAACGTAGTGCCAATGGAGTCAGCACTGGGTTTGTTGGAAAAGTGTTGTCCATCCCTCTGCTGGGAGCAACCTTGGAAGTATTCCGACACCTCCGCATGTTTAATGGCGTTGAAAAACGTGCTGTCAGATCCTACTCCATCCCAGAATATTATTACATCTCAGGTGCGGTACGGAATAACCGTAGTGTTTGTCAGTTCTGAAAATTGTGAGATTAAGTAATGTCCATGTTAATTCTGGGTGTTTTCGATTAAACAATTCATTACGCAGGTACTGAAGCTGTGGCAAAGAGGTGATCCGCGATTTAAGGACACAGCAACATTAATGGATAACCCTCTCAAGGGCATACCTCTCGAATCGCTGCGGAATGTGACGCTGTTTATACTCTACTGGCATTTCATTCAGGATGACCAGTATTAAACGAACATAAAGGTCCTTTCCATAGACTCTATCCCGGTTTCTCCGACGATAGGCTAACCAAAAAAGACAAGAGATAAACTGAAAGTCTGGGGAACATGTTCGATTTTGTTGATGCAAAAATGCTAGCTGGTATTTACCGGTATTTGAATTGTTTTTACCCAGTGTTGTATGGAATGCGTGGATCGATGCCACTTCAGCATTCTATTGATGACTTGTTCTAAAATGTTTTACTGCGAGCATGAAAAACCGATTGAGAGCATGAAAAGAATAAAAAAAAAGAATTATCTATGGAGAATGCATCATCCAAATATCATTACCAAGTGTGGACCTAGAAAGCACTACTACAAATAAAATAAACAAAACGGTTCATCTACTACAGCTGTCAACATTACCAGCCTTAATGTTACATGCGGATTTTTGGGAAAAGTTGTACAGGTAACATTCTGCGAGTAACGCGACCGTTTTATTTCTGTGAGGTGGATTTTGAAACAATCAACAACAACCAAACAATTCAAAACTATTTAAAGCTATCTAGCTTAAAAAATTGGAAAAAGATAACCACTACAATGTACATACATAGCTTTCCAGACTGCATAGCCACATACCACAGACTACATAGCTTTCCAGTTTTACTAAAACTAGTAAGTTAGTAACAATCCTAGTATTGGTTAGTGCTAGTAAGTTAGTTAGTTCGGACAGGCAATCCACCTCAAAACTTAAACTTAACGGTAATAAGTTTTAATCGATCTTACGAAGTACATAATCCTATAAACTTTTTAAAACCCGCAAAGCGTGATGGTTTTCGTTTAGGAAGAGCAGCACGATTAAGTGCCGGGACTAGCTGGTTTTGTCTTTCCGTTTTATCCCGATTGATCAAAATCAGTATGCGGGTCAATGCGTATAACAAGGGCCTTGGCAATTTACTTAGGTCCAAATCGAAGCGACGATAGCGTATGTCCAGGCCATCTGCCTCCCTTTCAGCCGGCTGCGAATCCCGAATCCAGTAATTCTTTACAGTCTACAAAAACAACAAAGTTCTATCTTTTGCAATCCCTAAAACGGAAAGTGCAGTCTAGAAAATTATTGCGTAGTTCCTGTTCATCCGTGCATGTACGGATGTACCGTATCCATTTACTGAATTAACTTCCATGTGCCTGCATCTGTAAAATCTACATCAAATTTGGCTGGCCACTTTGATAAGATCCTTACTCGAACAATTTCATACCATCCCGGATCATCATCGGGCATAGCAACAACAGCGTCGATCCACTCGGACAATGACGTCAGATCCGGTAGAACAAACGGCAAATTGTTGTCAATGGCGTCAAGCAGGTCGTCGGAAATGTTGCTGGAAAGTGGGTTAAGCGTCCCAGTGGTCAGTGGAAGATCGTCGTATTTGGACCCGTATACTTCATTGTCAATATTGTCGTAACGGGTAAGGTCACAACGGAGTCTACAATGCCTATACATCACCGTGCTACAGACCGGCGCCAACTGCCGACACTTTTCAGCCAAAAATCGAACCGTGCAGTCAAAATTCACGATGTCCGGGAGCAACAGAAAGTTATAAAAAACGATTCTCCGTTCCCTCCCAATGGGCTGTTGGCACAGACTCTGGATCAGCCATTCCAAACAGTTGCGGTCAAGCCAGCAGTAAGACTGATTCTCTAAGCGGAGATGTTCTTTCTGGATGATAAGACACTGGGTGGACGTCTTCACGCATTTCAGCAAACAGACGATAAACATATACTGCAAATCACTGCCACAGGAATCACCGCTTAAAGGGTCGAAAGTTATCCTGACGTCTTGTGCATTTTCGGCAAGGAAAATAGCGTTCCATAGTTGGCAGACACGGCGCTTCTGTATGCGGTCCAAAAAGTTCAAGAGCCGAAAAGTGTTAGATAACAATTCTGGAAGCAATCAGTGTTGCTTTACTTAGTAAAAGTAAATAGTAAACTTTACTTAGTAAGCCGTTTTTGCCTTTTACTAATTAAGTAAAAAGTAAGTAAGCAGCAAAACGGAAAAGTAAAAGTAAAGTAAAAGTAAGAGCAGTCGAGGCTTGAGAAGTAAATAGTAAGTAAAACTAAGAGGAGCGAAACGGGAATAGCTTAATTAGTAAAACAGCCTTTTACTAAGCGTCCGCAACAGATAAAAGTGACGGGCATCATCAGAATTCTGCTGGACATGCTTTTTTCCATAGCAATAAAGTTTGGCAGTACAAGTTTTCTTCTGAATCGCTAAAATTTCGCTGCACTGCAGACGCTTTCAACCGCTTAGGTGGGCGAGTTACGTGACTGCCAGGCGTATTAGCTAGTGCTGCTTCGCTGCAGTACTTACCTTGGCACCGGATACGGTGTAATGACTTTTGCTAATTTTTGTCAAAAAATAAGTACTGTAATTTTACACAGAACCAAATCGCTTCATTGAAACAAATTTCTGAGCACAAATTAAAATTAATCGGTGTGCACACTGTCCCAAAGTACAAGCAGTTATTTTTGTTTTAGATACGTAATATGCTTAAGAAATGCATACTTTATGGCAATATTGAAAAATTTTGTTGCGTATGGCGATTTATCGCAAAACACTTATAGTAAATACTATTTTACTAGTAATTACTAAGTTAGTAAAAGTAAGTAAGGTTACGATAAAAAAAGTAAAAAGTAAGTAAAAGTAAGGAAGAAAGATTATGAAAAGTAAATAGTAAAGTAAATAGTAAAGTCAACAGCCAGACGAAAAGTAAAAAGTAAGTAAGGTTTTGGGGCAATAGTAAATACAACACTGGAAGCAATAGTGAAAAGTGGGAATCATCGGTCTCCGTAGTTGCAAGTAAATCCCACTTGGCATGAGCCGGAAGACACCTTAGAGTTGACGACATGGTCAGGGTTTTTTCACAGATGGAACTCTAACGAAAGAAAAGTTAAAAATTAGATGTTTTTGTTTACGTATGTACAATTTCTAATAAATTTCTTTAACACTACAGATACGGAGTATTCTTCAATGGAAATTGTAAAATTAATGATCTCATGAGAGTAGCATTATGCGAGGTTAAGAAGAGAGTCAAGAGACTAATACAAAAAGGATTCACGATCTTTTGGGATCGTACGAAGACTTGCCCAATCCTCCAGTAAAAGCGGTCGAGATAGACGTTTTTGGACATAAACAATTTTTTCTGGAGACAAAGAAACTGGGTAAATTTCCCAGTTATTAAGGATTTTTTGGAAAAGATGACGGAAATCGGGAGACTCCAGTGAGAAACCGTAACGAGGTGCCGGAAGCAGGTCCAGAGATCTCCTGACGAAATGGTGTTTTTCAAAAGTCCGCTGTTTCAGGCTAAGTTCAGACGGCCGCATGCGCAGCTGTTTCGTAGAAATTGTCTCGCTCAGCAGCACGTTATCGAACTGCACTCGCACATCGGCTTGCTTGTCGTTCGGGTAACCGTTATGCATCTGCAAGCAGGCTCCCAGGGCGGGATACCAGGCCGGAGGACGGTTGGGAAATTCCCGGATCAGCACATCTATTTCCGAATAAAGATACGGCGGTCCGCGGTCTACGCGGAAGACCTTGCCATGTTCCACCACTTCCGCTCGTCGGCCTGGATACCCGAAATCAACCACGAAACTCCCGTCATTCAGGATATCCACCACAGCTCCGCGCCGGAAAACACCGTTGTTGTCTTGCACTTCCACGGTGTTCCATCCACCTTCCAAAGATGGCTCGAACACAGCCTGGAAGCGTCAAATAAACGAAAAAGATCTTTATAGAATGGTACGTACTACCGGCGCGGTACTAGCTTATTTAATTCGAATTCCTCCCCGGTTATGGGTTATGTTGAAATGCCGGCTAATAACATCAAAACAATTAACTCACTCAAAATTTCAAAATCTTTATAGTTTTTCACTGGGGATTCTGAATATACTAATGCACTATCTGTACCTCTGTTTACGCCTATTGTTGGAGGAACACATAAAGTGTATTATCTAACACATAAAGGAACACATAAATTAAAGGAACACATAAAGTGTACATAAAGTGTATATCTTTATCTATAATTTATATACAAATGCCTTTATATCAAATTTTGCCGCTTAGTAGTAAAAATTACATTTTTCTTCGCGCACACTGCGATTTATTTGCGAATGTCATTATGCCAGGACCTGTTCCCTGACAAAATCATTGGACACAATACGCGAAACTCAAAAAGCGTCGCACTTTGTACCAAATAAAATCGAAAAACAATTGCTTGCCATCTGATAAATTCTTATGCAGTAATATATAATATACGAGTACTATGTACATATAATCTACCCTGTAGAATCGATTCGATCGAATAAATGTATAGATATCTACAGACTGACTATAAATATAACACACACATGTAAGTTTTTAGACTAATGGTAAATATAATGATTACTCATTAGAGTTTTTAGCACTGGCATAAACCGCAGCATTTGTAAGCAGCGATTCCTAACACTTCTTAGATTACTTCTTAGATTCCTAAAACTCGTATTTCTGTTTTTGGTTGGAAACACCGATCTAGAAACACCCGTCTAGATATGCATATTTAATACAGTTTACTTACGATGACAGGACAATGAAATACGGCTTTCAAACGAAGCTGCAAATTCGCCACCATTTTTACGACGTTCCCAACCGATGGCACGTTGCACGTCCAATCTGCTATGTACTACTATTTCATGATGCGGGCCAGTAATAGTACCCAGTATTGTGGATTGCTATCCACTTTAAAAAAAGTCGAAAGCAACCATTTCAATGAAATCGGAAACATCGTCAGTAGCCGCATACTTAAAATACAAATTTTCGGATATAGATATTAACGAGTCTTCCTCGCTGTAGAGCATACTTAATACTACATTTACTTACTAAGTAGAGAGCATTATTATGATTTGCATTTTGCAGCTTCAACATGGTCATAGCATTGCCCTTACTCTTAACTCGTTGTGGGTTACCAGGCTTTATGATGAAAGTAGTTGTACTGTAAGTACGGGTACGCAGGTACAGTATGTACATAGGCATGCAGCTGTTCCTGCAAGTTGCATGGTTGATTTATTTTGTTATAAATTTTAACTATGAAGTAGTGTGTCAGCGTTTGCAATTATTATTATTCGGGTGGCTATTGCCCAGTAAATTTAGGCTTATATTAAATTACACATTTTTGTTATAAGGTTTGAGTGTCGATTGTACATGTCGTGATCCACAAAATGAATACAGCTGCATACTGCTGTACCTACCCGATATACAAAGGCACTGCACTCTAAGGCGGTGCTCCGAGTCCCTCTGCGGTCGCGTCGGGACTCGGATCCGATCCTTGACCACGTGGTTGACTTGGAACGTCATCGTCATCACGGAGCCGCTGCCGGAATTTATCGACAACGGGTCATTGCTGTATTGTTAACAGAAAGTAGGCGAGTGTTTATTGTAATACAAGACCATCCTGTTCGAGCCATCTGCAGTATAAGGCTGCATGTGTATGTCAGCAGTACTGTATTGGTTACCACTTCCGGTTGGACATTGTATCGCGGTTTTTCTACAACGTAAATTTGTATGTAACCGCTCTACGATCGCAGTGTATCAGTAAAAGTACTGCAGTGTACTACGATTGTAATGACATTGTATGTATTAATTTACTTGTTTAATGCTATGGCAGCGCAAAAATCGTAGTCAAATGACTGTAGTGTTGTCGTCCAAAAAGTTGTCTTCAAAAAATGCCATAGAAAAAACTGCAAGCTTGGTTTATTGGTTTCGATATTTTTTTGCAGAACATTGGCGATAAGAAAGAAGGTAGGGTCTCCACTGCACACAAATGCGGACGGCAAAGTTTTTTCTGATTTTTTTGTAGATGAAATCGCGGTCGCAAAACTTTTTCCACGAAACAACAAGCAGGCACACAAACATCGAATTTTGCCAACTTTATCGAAATCTGACAATGGAACAACGATAAAACATTACTTTAATCCCCTACCAAAAACACTGCGATACGGTATTTCTCAGATTTCCAACTATGGAATGCTAATAATTTATAATAAATGTCCCCAGATTGATAAAAAATCATCATAAACGACATATCTCCTTGGCGCAACAGACAGCAACACCAATCAGCCGTTTTACGTGGTGCAGAACAGCTGCAGCAGGCCTTTTGCGTACGACACAATCTCCGTCCCGCCCAGTTTGGACTGCCCGTACAGGCGGTCCACGAAGGTGATGGGCACTTCGGCCACCCGCATCCCGGCGCGGTTGGCCCGCACCAGCATCTCCATCTGGAAGACGTAGCCCTTGGAGATGCAGGACTGCACCAGTTGCTCCAGGACTTCCTTCTTGTACAACCGGAAACTCCCGGTCAGGTCGGAGGCGCCCGGACGCAGGAGCAGCTGCGCCAGGAAGTTGGCGCCGCGGCTGACCACCTTCCGGCGAAGATCCCAGCCGTATACACCGCCGCGCTCAATGTACCGGGATCCTGTATTACAACAGAAGCGATGGTATTATTTTCATGAATTTTACGATTTCCAGTTTCGTTTTCGGTGCTTATCCAAACTGCCGCAAGCATGATAAAAACATCCTGCTTCAGTCAGCCCTGTTTTATATTTATAGTTTTTTCCCAAATCAATATTTTTAAAAACATTTTAAGTAGTACCGTTTTCTTGTATTTTCAGATTTATAAAACAAATCAAAGCCTTCAAATCTTCACAATCTTTACGAATTAATCTAACGCATGGGTTCTAGAAAGCAACGGTTCTATCAACACAAAAGTCGTAGTACGATGGCAAAAATTCCCATTGGGCCAATCCCGCAGTCCGGTAATGAAACCTGTTAACGACAATGAGTGTTCACGGACCTAAAAAATTTTGCCTTTTTTACTCCAGAACATTTAGAAGGCGCGGAAACTAATCAAATTGCTATCACATTCCTCACCAGAGAAAAGCAAGAAGAAATACTAGCAAAATAATCGAAAATATTGTTTATTCAGCTTTCTCATGCTACGCAATGTAAATTTATCTATCGGTCATATGCAAAGGCGAGCTATTAAACTGCAGGAAATAAATTTTAAAAAAAGCATCTAATCGTTAACACTGGTAAATGCGTGAATAGTACAAAGTCTGAAAAAATAAGCTGGCAACACACGCCAACATACAGCCACGTGGAACATCGGAAAGCGCAAAAAAATAAAAAGTCCACGCGACATTTTTATCACTTTGATTAACCCTAAAACTTGCCAACTTATGATTTTAATCCATATTTTTGGCAGAAATAAACGGTAAAGTTATCTTAGAAACAAACTTTCAGTGAAGAGGAAGGGATTCCCTTCAAGGGAATCACGAAAATTAAACTGACGAAATACAGCAAAAAATAACAACTTTGTACTAGATACACCGTACACATCTTCCGTTTTCTAATTGCTGCTTGCACAAACACAAAAATGACAAAATATAATTAAGGGTACATATAATAAAATTACGCTAACGATGAAAACTTTTTTATTATATTATTTTTATCACAGGTTTTATTTCTTACAACGCGAAAAATAAACATGGATGATAAAATAAACTTGTAAAATTATAAATATAGATATAGCCAAATAACACAAATTCATAAATAAAATTACTAAAAGTATTGACAAATCTGCATCACCTGTGACAATATCATAATCCTGCTCCTTCTGCTTCTCAATAAACTCCATGATAAATTTGGGATGGTGGGACAGATCAGCGTCCATGATAATCACGTAATTCCCCTTGGCGTGCTTCAGTCCGTGGATGTACGCTGTGCCCAGACCCAGCTTCTTCTCGCGGGGCAGCAGCACGATGCGCTCCTTCCCGTACAGCTTCTGCAGCTCCTTGGCCACCTCCAGCGTCCCATCCGGGCTGCCGTCATCGATGATGAGGATCTCGAAGGAGACATCCAAATCCCCCGCGGCAAACTCGAAGCCTTCCGCGTGAAGATATTTGTGGATCAACCACACCACCAGGGGCAGATTGTCGCGCTCGTTGTACGTGGGCAACAGAATACTGTATTTCACCATTGCTGTGAACAAGAACGATTAAAATTATTGGAAAAAAATTTCAAGCAATCAAATATGTATTGCTTTTAAGCAAAAACTAAACAGGAAACTGAAAAAACGGAAATTAACAGCGAATAAATTATAAATACGGCAAATTTTATTTTTATTTCGGATTTGATTTTGCTGGCAAGTCAAAGTGACATATTTTGATTTCTGCTAAGAAATTCGAGACCACGCACGTTGCCTGGCTAAAGTAGGGGCCATAATCCCCCAAATGCGCGCTAGTTATTCAGTTAATTGGGCGGTAAGCGTTAGCGACTCAACCTTACTGCCTCCCCTTGAATCAATAGCTCCACCCGCCACTAGCGACTTTTAAACGGCATTTGCCTGCTTTCGCTGGGATTAGGCTGCGCTCGCTACGCTACGCAACTTTCTCTGATGCAATCCATTTTCGCCGTGCTGTTTGCGTATTTTGTTATTCATTAATCATTTTTAATCAGTTTTGTGAGCTTTTTAAATTTTAGTTTTCTGCAGAATCTGGAATATCAGCAACTCCGGAAGGTTTACCGCGTAGTTTCTCGATTCCGATTTTTGCAGCGAACTTTCAGGATGACGATGAGCCCGCGCTTCATCGGCCCGACATGGAGAGCGGTGGCCAATTGCGGGATGTTTCCCAAAAACAGCATCTTAACGACTGCGCCGCGGAATTTCACCGGTTAGTTTCTCATCTAACCGCACCTAATGATATTGTTCTGCCGTGTTTCGGTGGGCATGTGATTGAGAAATGTATTGCCTACAGTGTCGGCTTGCAATCTCCTATACACCAAAGAGGCCATGGGACTCAGCAACTATGAATATGCCCGGGAGAAAACGGCGACCCAACTGGGCACGATGAAAGGTTCGTCGGACATTTTCCCCTCGTATCCCGTAACGGTTCCGTTAAAATTTGATACGAATAGAAAAAATCATGACTAAGTAATTTTCTAACGGAATCCGGGTGGGTGTAGATCGTTTCAAGCAGCGGATGGATCAGTATCTGAGCGCCGACTCGAAATCTCTCATCTTCACGGAAGATCTTAAAAATATGTGCTATCTGGCCGAGGACGATAAGGATTTGCAGATGGTCAATAAAATGCTGAAAAAGTATGGATGCTTGCCACGAATGAGTGCACATTGCGGTGCAATTTGACCGTAGGATGGTGTTTTGAAAGGATTTTTGTTGTGAAGGTATGCCAAGCAGAATGAGCAGATGCGCTTCGGTTCCTTCGTTTTCGGACCGGTCCTCATGCGTCTGCATCATTTCCTCGATAAGCCGGATGAAGCGTTAGCCTCCATTCAAGATCCCGTAAGTCTATTTGATCTGCAAGAGTAATATGCGAATTTATTTACTGGAAAAGTAAATAACTACTTAATCTGAAATTGGGTAATTTCACTATTTCATTAAGTAATCATTAGTTATGTGATTTGTGTGTGCCTAATAATTCGTTTTTGAAAAAAATACATCGGTAGTTACAATTAAGAAAAAAAATTAGATAATCAAAATAACTGAAGTTAAAACAAAATTGTATTATTCTTTGAAAAATAGGTTGAGAAGTTCTCTGCATACAGTAAAATTAATTAGAAGTAAGTAATAAGCTGGTAATTTCAGTGAGTTCAGATGAAATTTTTTTTAAAGTGGCAGTGGCATTAATCAGTAGCCAGTAGGTACGAGGTATCTGTTTATAGTCAGAGCAGAACATTTTTACGTAACGTTTTAAACATTGAAGGACCAGAATTAAAATAAAAATAAAATTGAATTGCGAAGTTTTCTTCCAAACTGTGTTCGCTTCTGTGTTTGAGTGTCCGACAGTTGGATGAATAAGGTAGTTATTTTTCTCGGATGTGTTAAAATGGTAGCGCTTCTCTTCAGGATCTGGGGCAGGTGTATGACCAGCTGACTTCCTACATGGTGGCGATGGATCTCCTGTACAACCACCAGCGCTACGACGACGTCCTGAAACTGTACAAAGCCATGACGCAGCGCCCGTTCTTTGCTGAGAAAATGCCCAAAGAGAATCTGGTCCTAGCCTGTGCGGCGTGTTATAAACTGGTACGAATACGGAGCTGCATTCTTTCTTTTTTTGGGAACCGTGGAATGACATTCCTGTCAATATAAATTGCCTAAATTATGTGGCTGATACATCCATCCGTTAAAAGGTTGTAATATTTTGCAGGGCACACCCGAAGCGTATAAAACGGCCATGGAGTTGGTGAAAAGCTGCATTGACAAGCAGGCACCGGTTATGCGCAAAGCGGTGTCCTTTGCGGCTGCTTTAGCTCTGAAGAACGTAAGTCGATTCATCGAACAGGGTTGACGGTTTAGAATTTTGCTGTATTGATAATAATGTTTCCCTGAGCGTATCTCGTTATCGAGTTCTAAAAATGAGGATTGCTATCTAAATATTAACTCCGATATTTCGTATAATATGTGTATGTTTAAGAAACGTCAATTACAAAGCAGAAATACTGCAGTTTTTTTTATCGGATTGCTTTCGTGACTGTGCAGTAAGTATTTAAGTCTGTGTATTATGCGAGATTATGCGATTCGCTCGCGATATTCGTTGTAAGTTTTACTGTCGGAAAAATAGTCATTTTAGTACTCGTACTCTACTCAATAGGTCGGCCTTTTTTTTCGTACAAGTACGTAATTGTGTTCCCGTTTTTGTACTCACACGAAAAATTATCGTCCAGACTCACAATTTTTTTGTAGAATGATGCGACTGGTGCATTGGAGCTGCTGAGTATTCCTCCCAATCAATCCTACGTGACCATCCGCAATTTGCGAATCCTCTGCCTCGTCAAATTGGATCGTTTGGAGGATGTTCTCCCTATCCTGCGCTCGATGATCGAACAGGATGTGGGGCCTAAACGGATTGGGCATGGCTTTTTCCAAGATGTGGTACGTTGTGCTTTTACATTGCAGAAATGCTTAAGTACACCATCTTTTTAAAGAATAGCCTGTATGTGATGTAAGGGAAAAATTGTAAACTATCATTACAGCGGAAACAAATATGTAGAAAAGGAAAATTTTATAAAATAAAAATAGAAAAACAAATATGTGAATAGTAAATAAAAATGAATTAAAAACAGCAAAATTTTAAAACAAATCAAAAAAATAATTTTTACGATACAGTAAAGAAGAGTTATTTAAAGATCCCGCTGGCCTGAGCGTTTTATGAAGTCTGAAAATGTGGTTATCTAATTCTGCTCAAATTATAGATCGCGGAAGTGAAGAAAGCCCTGGAAACCAAAGAGGACAAGGAGTTGCGCCAGGAATTCGAGAAGACCTTCAAAGCCCTGGAGCACGGCGACCAGATTGACGCCAAGACCCTCCACGAGTTTCTGGAGCGGCCCATCGAAGACTACAGTAAGCGGCCGGATTTCCAGGGGCAGGACTTCAACGACCGCCGGCTGACCAATACCTCGCGCTTCCAACCGGAAGGCGCCCCGGCCCCCTTCCGCCAGCGCGGCTACCGCGATGACTACCGCTCCCCGAGCGGTTTCCAACAACAGGGCGGATCACGGTATGAGTCCGGCGGTGGACGGTTTGATTCCGGCGGTGGACGGATGGGCGGGCTGGACGGCACTCGCTCGGGGGGCTACGAGTCCGGTAGCAGCGGCCGGTACGGGTCGTACCAGGGCAACCGGGACCGGGTGGGACTGTCCGAACAGGGTACGCGGTATGGAGTATCGCAGCGGGCGCGCGGGGGCTCCGACAGCGCCATGGATGAGGGACGGGGGATGCGTGGGGGCCGCGCGGCAGACGATGGGTATAATCCCAATCGGGAGGCCGGGTACCGACCGCGTGGACAGTTCCGACAGCCCAGTGGCGGGGCGGGTGGAGCGCAGCGCCAGGGACTGGCGGATTTTGACGATTGAGGAGCGGTCAGTGTGGAAGGCTTGTTAGGTTGTTGTTGCACGTGCTGGCGTTGTGGGTATGTGGTTGCGTTGGCTTGTAATATTGGCAAGTGTGTTTTTGTACTACGGCAGTTACGGTTGTTTTTATTTACCACGGACTGTGGCGCTGTGGTCTCCTTTTTTGATACTTTGTCACTTGTATTTAATGTGGCTGGAAGTGCGGTAATATCCCGTGTTTGAATAAATAAAATGAAAGCAGAAAAATCAAAGGGCATTTTTTTCGCAGTATTGAACAGACAAACATCGCTCACAACAACACGTTCATACGTTCAAAAAAAAATTTGTAATCATGTAAAAAAATCGAATACGAGCAAATCATGTACTCGTAACCGTCATTGGTTTTAATTTAGTATGTATTACCGCAAGTGTAAGAATTTTTCGATCATCTCGTTCCGATGGATAATAATTATTTTTTAAAGAGAATTGCAGTGCGAACATTTTTGTTGAATATTAAGTGATTATTAACTTCCAAAAAGAAACAAAATGGCACAACACCTAAAAAACAAAGATATGTAGGCCGCAAAACTACAGCACTTCTTGAAATAGGTACAAGATTACAAGTTACGTAAAAGTTTAAAACTACAAAAAGGGTTGCTCGACACGAAGTAGATAACGTAAAATTAAAAAAGGTAGCGCAGAATACTGTTGGCACATTTGATACAGTGCAGAAATCAACAGTGCAAAAGCTGGCTGTGTAACGCAATAACGCGTGCCAATAAACTGCTTATAACTGCAATGTAAAACTTCAAAATTTATCAATAATCCATAATTTTGTGGCATTGCGTATGTGAATTTTTACGATGCTCTGCACTTATTTATTTAATTCTTTTATACTTTGTATGTATTAATATATGAATACTTCAATGTACAAATGTACTGTGAATTTTTGTGACTAAGCAACATTGAAAACTGCTGCAGGTTTAAGCACAATGACTGAAAATCGTACCGATGTTTTGAAAGGTCAAAATCATTAAGGTCGCCAGATGTCATGCAGAATCGGTACCATACCAACGACAACCCGAGTACCGGATCCACACACGATCCCGACGATGCCTCCGATAGCTCCGAACATGTGGTGGTGCCGACACGCGTCACCTTCACGGCGGATCCCGAGGTTGTCGTCGTACAGAAGAAATCCTGGACGGCACTGCAGCGCTCCTTGGTCATGTGCCACGAAATGGAGGTGTGTGGGAAGATCACGCTGGAGAAGCTGGCCGAAGCTAGCACCAAGTTCCAACACATTGATGACTTCCATTCCAAGATGGAGCGCGATCTGATGGAGACAGCGGTGCATCTGGACGATATGCAGAAATGCTGCTTTGGACTGTGTACCAACCCGTGGGCGAAAAAGACCGCGCCGATAGCACGGCAGGCGCTGGAAGAAACACTCGGTACAGGGATACTAAAGGTCACCAATTGTAAAAGATCACTTATTTAAACAATTACGCTAATGGTCTTTATTCTTTTTAAATGGTTTTCCACTTTTTAAATGGTTTTCCATTAAAGGTCACTTACTTTATCTATTCACAGTTCACAAACAGAAATGGATGTTTATCTCCGTTTGCGAATAATACAGTAATTAAACTGATGTTGCTGTAGATGATATGGTGGCGGGTAGAGCGAACAATGATCAAGTGACACCGACCAATCAGCAACCGGGTGCCAAGGAGTTCCCCAAACTGGAACCGTTCATGCTCATCGCAAATGACACGGTGGAGAAAGAGATGGAGGGATGTCTGGATAAAATGGACGGTTATCTGGACAAGCTGGAAGATATGTCGGAGGACATCGGCAATCGGCTGAATGGAGAGCGCCGGGTGATCGATGCGACGACGGATGCCATGGACAAGAATATCCTCCGGGCAACGCTGGCGAGAAAAAAGGCGTTGGCAACATTGAAGGCGGTTTGAGAAACGCAAACCGCGAAAGCTTGCATTTCGGATATTTTGCTGTCTGATTGATACTGTATTTGGCGCTATTTTATTGTTTACAAATTGTTACGAGTACATGTTTCAAGTTTCGTCATATACTCATAAGATATGAGGAGGCCGGTTTTAACTACAGTGTACATGCAACAAGTGTTCCCGAGACGGTATTTTCTGTACTTGAAGTATAGTTCATTTATTCATTACGTAAAAGACTTGCTGCAAAGTATCCACACGCTGCTTGTCGGAAATAGTTATACTTGTCGGAAGATTTAATTTGATTTAATAAATCAAAATACTACACATTTAATCCCCCGAGGTGGTATTAGTCTAATAATTATTTTATTGAATATGCGCCGACTTCGACTCTGCTGGTTATTATTTTATTGAATATGCGCCGACTTCGACTCTGCTGGTTAGGGTACTTGAAGTGCTTCTACAGATACTCGAACTTATGATCTTATCACAATTCACAAGCACAGCTCACAGTCACTTCACATAGTCTAATCTGCCAAAATTTTTACTGATGCCTTACCATTTGAGTGATCTGTTAATGTTGCCCATACAGCAGTTTTAAGCTTTCAAGCTACATTTTAAGAGTGTTATTAATTAATAATTTTGTGACACCAAAATGCGATTCTATTACTATGAACATCCCATCACACCACAGCGCTGGAGGGCTGTGGATGTGCGGGACGGTAAGGGTCTCTTGTGGCACGGAGTCATAATCAACGTTGTGGAAGCGGGTTTAATTGTTGACTTTCTGTATCCCGGAAGGCGCTCGCAACTGATCGAATTTGGCCAAGCGTTCCGCTGCAAAGGCTGCTTCTATAAGTCGTGTTGCGATAGTTCCAAAGTCACATTCCAAGATCCGATTGAGGTCCTTGTGAAGGCTTCTCCGAAGCACCCGTGGACTTGGCACCCAGCTAGGTTTCTGGAGAAATGTGTTATCTGGAACATGTTTGTTTTCGTGCAAGTAGAAGTGAATGGCACGGAATGGAAAGAGCTTGTTCCCATTTGGCAGGTTCGTCTTCGACCGTCCACAAAAGACTTGCAGGAACGCGTCATCGTGCAAGGCCACATCAGCTCGCGGTCGTGTCGTTTACCTAAAGGATACCGTGAAGGCCCAGTGGAACACGACGTGTGGGAGGAATGGAAGCGAGAAATGGAAACGGATGGATCGAAGGCTTATCCTGTTTGTGTCCTTGGCAATGTGCAACGCCGATTTATGTGCAACGCCGCGACACGTCTCCCATCGAGTCCTCTTATCTGGAAGAGCTTCAGGTTGGTGCAGTAACCCTAGGCGAAGTACTTGTACAGAATGTATGGTTTGTGCTGTACAAAACAGTGTTGAAGTGCTCCTAGTCATAGACAGAGCAGTTTATTTTTGCTTCTGATGGAGTACTGTACGTAAATATTTCACAATAATTATGCAACTAAATGTTTTATGTTCGCACTACACTTACAGTACTTGCCATAATTTATATCGGTACGTTCACATGTTTCAATAGTGCGGTTTTCCAAGTCAAAACTTGCGGGAGAAAGTCTCACACTATTTCACATAAGTTGTATTTAATAGAAATGTTTACTTATAGGAAACTGTGCTTGATCGTAGGGAGACGTTGGCAAAACACTTGAAAACTGTATCCGCCGCTCCGGCCGTTATTTCTGATGGATCTGTGGATATGCAGTTCTCCGCATTGAGTCTGAACATAATCATCGATATATTCCGAATGCTGAGTACCGTAGACCGCACCAAGTGCCGTCGGGTCTGCGGTCAGTGGGATGCCATTCTGACGTCGGGGGGTACCATGGGCGACATTCGAGTGTCGTTTGCCACCAGCTCAATTTGGCCGGAGACTCAGTACATCTTCTTAGTCAGCATTCTGAAGTCCCTGGACCCGGCTACGAAGTGGATTATTATCAAGAATTGCGAGCATAACCGAACTTTCAACAATCTGCTAATTGAGTGCGTGTCATGGATTGCTAAGGTGTCCATGGATACAAACGCCAAGAAGCTGCAGATAATCATCCACAAATGCTTCTTGGACGACTGGGATGCTGACGATGTTCGGGTTTTCATTTTTGACTATCTCCGTAGCTTCGCTCAGCAGCTGTTTGATGTTGCGAAACGCTTACGTGGCACCGTTCTGGTGTGGAGTAGTTGCACATATCGAGCGCCGTTAACACTTCCGAATGTGCACACCCCAATGGGCAAAGGATCAATGTCGTTGTCGTCACAAACTGTGGATAGTATGGAGGCGACGCTGTACAGTTTATTTGAGAAAGACCTGCCTGTTCTTGTCCCGTTGGACGAACTTTCCACGTGGATATCTGAGGTTGCTATTGGTGGACCGGAAGCTGTGGAAAAAAGTGGAATTCTGCCGGTGCGGTGGTGATTCATACGATAATTGTCAATTTAATCTACTTTACCATTTTGTGGTTATTGTGTCGTAATTCTGAAGTCATGAAAGTTTTTTCAGTTTCCTCAGATTATAGGCTTTCGCAGTACGATCCCGGCTTTTTCGTTGTAGTCAGCGGGTTTTTTTCCATTACAGATTCTGAATTATTACGGATCGCTGGACTGCCGCATGAAGAAGCTGGGTAAATTTGTAAAGTCAACCGCTGGAAATTTGAAAGGTTTGGATGTGACGAAACTGCCGAAATTGGCCGTGTATGTCTTGGGTCTCAAAATGATGTCGTGCCAGGCCAACGTCGCAGTGTGAAGATTGTAATATCGTTATCAAGTAGCAATCAAAACACTTTCTGGCTCTTTTATTATGTTTGTTTGGTTGTTATTAATGTGACCTGGGCCGCTAACCATGTCAACGGGGAATCTCGCGCTGTGGTTTCACTTATTTTATGGGAGTTGTTGTTCCTTTTGTTTGGAAGTTATAACTATAAGTACTTGTTGCTCACTGTATGATAACAATCTTAATTTTTCTTTTAAAATGTCGCAAAACCTGTCATGCAGGCAATAAAAGGTCCAAAATTTCCTGCAAAACTGTGTTTTTGCTGTCTCTGTAGTCCGGAGTGGTGTTCGGGTACTAGTATACAGTAACCGCATTAAATACGAGTAGTTCTCGGCCAGTAGAAGTACGATGCAATTAAAGGAATTTTGCACTGGTTATAGACTTATAGTAATACCATAACCGTAGCGTCCCACACCTGCATGTAACTTTATCTTGTGCAGAACTGCTAGTATTATGTATCTCGTCGTTGATAATGTTACAATGCTGTTAATAGCGCACCATTATTGTTTAGGCGCAAGGATTGGTCAACATTGCATAGTTGTTATCAAATTTTTTAGAAAGTTATTGGTGCATGGTCGATATTTATTTATTTCTGCGGCGATTGCGAATAAAAGCTTGCGTGGCGCCTAGCGTATCCAAAGTAAAAATGTTGGCTTGGTTCCCATTGGTGTGCCTTTGAAATCATAGTGGCGTAACATGAGATCATTTTGAATCGCGATGATCACTGACGCTCAGGATGGCAATCTGACCAGTTACCGCCTATAGGATGCATGATCTTTCTTACGTAATTCCAGCATATACGTAATATTAGCATTTTCTTTAACTTGATTACATGAGCCTAGGAAGGCGGTTGCGCGATGGTGTCATACAGTCATTACTTACCTTGTATGACTGTATGACTGTTACATTGTGTATCGTGTATCTGCGGGCGTTGAACCGATCGTAACACAGAACAGGATGTTTATACTGTTAAGTATGAGGCAACCGATATCATAATACGGCATCATGGCCGGAAACCTTTGCTGCTTCTGCATATTTTAACGACATCATACACGCAAAGATGACGTAGTATATGGCAGAGATTTCCGCTCCTCAAACACTTCTGCCGCTGTCAGGGTACCATGTGAGACATATAAGGAGGAATGAAATCTCGTCATCTGTACACTGCTGGATATTTTTTGAAGAAACTACGCGACGCTTCGTAATGTGTAATACCGTAACTTAATGCCACACAACACGAAATTATGGCCGAATCAGTTTGCTCGTCTAATCAAAACCCGTGTTCTACGGAAATCAGCGCCATGCTGAGCGAAAGCGCTCAGGCAAAGATCTTTTTGGGGAAGCTTAGTGACTGCGGAAAAATGGTAGTCGTGAAGGTACCTTACCTGGATCACGAACAAAGCAAACGTCAGTGCGACGTGGAGCTGCTTGCACAGGCAACGAAAAGGGTTTTATCATTTCATCACGAAAATGTTGTCTGCCATCTTCATCACGAAATCAGCATAATTAAATCGGCAGCAATTCCGCGGTTCAGTTTGCTGGATAGCCAGTTTAATCGTGTTCCACAGTATCAGATCGTAATGGAATTCTGCTCTGGTACGTTTCATAGTTTTTCACTTTGTGTTCACGGAAAGGTCAATGAATGTTTCCCTAAATGGGTTTATTTTGTAGGCGGTACACTACACGACCTTTTGAAGACGTCCTCGCTAACCGCTCCTTTGCTACAAAAATGGACGAAGCAGCTGATCAGTGGACTCGCTTATCTGCACGCCCAGCGGTTTGCCCATAAGGATCTCAAAGGTGACCACATTTTCTTATCGTCACCGGATGTCAACACGTGCAGCCTAAAAATCGGTGGTCTCGTGAATCTCAAACAGCTTTTACCAAATACAGCGACTTCCATGTACAGTGGTGACGTTTCTAATAAATCCAGTTCCTTTGCGTTCATGGCACCGGAGATCATAACGGGTTCTGAAGTGGAGATCGAGCCGGTTGGGGAAGCGAAGAAGCTGGGGCGTCGAAGTGATATCTGGAGTCTGGGATGCGTGATAATTCAAATGATAACCCGAAGCCTTCCAAGGTTTCTTAAGCAAAACGATCATAAGGTCACGGCAATAACGGGAGAACTGGCGATTGTGTACTTTGTCGGTAGTGGAGGCTCGCCCACGGTCCCCAGCAATATCCCGGCTTTCGTGCAGGATCTCATCGAACAATGTCTGGCGCGGGATCCTAATCATCGACCGACGGCTGCTGCACTGCTGGAACATCCATTTTTCAGCTACCCTGCAGATGAGTTAGAAAAATGGATTTTGCCTTTGCAGGCTGGATAGCTTTGACTTTCTGCGATCAGTGTGATGTACAATACGCACTCTGTAATCCGCGATACTACCGTAGCACTTATATCCCTTTGATACTATTATCAAATCCAGAAAACAGAGTACTTCTACCAGTATATAGTGATTGTCAATTTTAATTATAGCTTACTTTGCTTTTGATTGTGCGTTTGATTGTACATATTATAAGTGATGGAGAGATCCGTACGATAGGAATAATTATCGTAAATAATCTATCCTACCGACCTACTCAACGACAGTGAATGAGCTAATAATCTCAATGTGGCATAGCTGAGTCTAAGAATCTACGCGAAGCGAGAACTGCATCTCCGACGATATTTTAATTAGAAACTCCGAAGCTGCCAAAACTCAGAATGCTAGAACTGATCCTCAAAGTACTGCAACTCTCGGACTTATATAGACACGGCGCATCCGTGTAGAAACAACCAAAAGTAAATCCGAAAACAAAAGAGAAACGTCGACAAAGTGAAAGAATAATAGAAAGTACGAGTAAAGCCGTCACATTACGTACTGTACTGCTATGTTCCGTCATAAGTACATTTTTTGGAGGCTTTCCGTATAGTGTACTGTACAGTATGGTATGTGTGTGGAGAAATAGGTACAAGCCCATCCAACAATTCTTTGACCGCTGTAAGCGCAGCGCATATAAATCGCGCACAGTAATGCAAATACGCATCGTAGTGTAGTGGCAGATATATTTATAAATATTCAACCAATAATAATATATTAGATCACAATTAATAGACCATTATTAGACCAACGTGGAATCAATCATCTTTAGCCCGGGCATGTTGCAATCAGTAATTTGAAAGTAATATGGATATTAAGTACCACCGCGATATTGTATTGCAAAGCAAAGATAATACTGTTACAAAAGCATAAAATTAATATAAACTATGATGGCAATAAATAATGCTAAACATATTACATTGTATATCACAGATACAGTAACTGCAACACATGCAGATTTGTTGCTTATTTACGCTGAATACGCAGACCCATGTGGCGTGACGTGTCGAAGCACATTAAATGGTTCAAGCCCACGTTTCTTTAAATTCCCGCTTACAGCGGTCGAAGAATTGTTGGATGGGCTTGTACATATTATAGTACTCGTAATAACTACCGACTGTCGGATTGTCATTTAATACTTAATACTAGTATTATTTCAATGGAACGGAAAACAAAATTAAAACATCTGGATACTGATAACAACGAAATGTGCGTACATCGCTGTACCGTTTTGTAAATCGCCCTCATTTTTATTTTTTTTACATGGCGAAATATCGGCCATTGCTAAATTGGCGCTCTCACTGAGGCTAATTAGCTACGCGCGATAGAATTTGTTTTTTTTATACTGATAGACGAAGCAATCGACGAGATTAGATATGATGCAGCAGCATTACGGATAATAATTCTCTGATCACAACTCGAACTTAAATAGCGATGTCTCTTCGCTTAGCCGGCAGTTTTACGGCTTTCTCCAACGCTTCGGCATCTTTTGCGGAAACGCGAACACTCTGAGAGGTCATCACCGTCTTAGTACGGGCATTTTTTCCCTGAGCTCTTGGCGGTTGCTTTAACACTCCCGTGACAATGATTTCGGGAAACCATTCCCGAAATTCTCGGTCAGGGCTGTAATTTGTTTGCCCTGCTGGCCTCACAGTAAATGGAGGGCTATTCGGGCGTTCGACCTGGTCAGGATGGAATACAACGGGGATTACTCCGCTACGCATGGTCTCCCCATAATGTTGCAATGCCGCTAGTTCTCATAGGCACGATGGAAATAGGCAGATGTACAATTTCCATCATGCCGTTGAGAAGATTGAGATGAACGTATGCTTTGCAACCGCTCTTCAGCGTCGTTGTGACTTGTGATGGACTTGTGGGTTATCTGCTCGTCCTTCCAGTGAGGACGATATTCGCCTCCCTTCTTGCAAATTAGTCGAGCGGAGCTGTATGGGAAAGTTGCATGGTGCGGATGTGTTTTCGATGTCCGTGCGTTTCCTCCTGGGTTTACGAAGACTTGATTAGTTAGCTTTCCCCAGTCTTGGACAGCTTTTACAGCTGCTTCGTAGGACCTAAATCGGCCTCCAGTTTTAAGCAGGGTCGAATCCATTTTAGAAGGGTAAATAGTACAAATTTGCAATTATAACCGTTACGAATACCGGTAGGTAGCAGACATAACTGTGCCGACTGTTACTGGAATACGAAATTATGCCGGCTAATACACAGTACCGGTATAGTACACGTCCTAGAAATTATTCGGACAATAACAGAATATTTTACTTTAGTTGTTATGGTGTTGGTTTATAAATACCTGCCGCATGGCTTCGGGGTCGTTTCCGGCCATGTTCGGCATAAATGCCCAAATGAAGTAAAGTTCCGAGCCCACATTCGGTTTTCCTCGTGTGGCGTGTAGGAGTAATTCGATTTTACAGTATATGCTCCACAGTTCACACGTCGATGGCGCTGCAGTCAGAGCATTTTGTTGTCGCAGTTTATGTACTCGCACAGTCCATCAATGTTTATTGTTTATTGTACGTACGGCAGGCAGGTAACCCATTGAAAGCTAGGATCGAATCTAGCGTGGGAATTTAAACCTGGCTAAATGACAGACAACATTATGAATTTAAAGCAAAAGCCATTAATACAAGAGAATTACTAAGAAAAGGAAGGCAGTCAGGCAATGGTAACATGCTTCAGTGCATTACGAAAAACAGCAAGCGAACTGCTACTAAGAATGTCGTTTCCGGCTTCGGTTAGCCGGTTTCTGATGTTGTTCAGTCTCCACGCCAACGTAGACTTCCCCGTCCTTGTGGCCGCGTCCGCTTCGATGAAGGTCCTGTTTCCGCTTCGAAGACTGTACGGTTTGGATTGTTGCTTTATGACGATCATTTCGGTGAGGTAGCGGGGCACTTGGAACTTCTCCGGGTGCAGAATTTTGTAAAGCCATGTTGCTTCCTGGCGTTTCCATCGTTCAGACAGTGGCGTAATCCCGTATTGTTTCATCAGGCTGGTGGCAGATACTTCGGCATACAGTAGTTAGCGATAGCTCGAATAGCTTTTCTTTGCGCAGCAGCCAGCGGCTCCAGCGTGGACACAGGCGCACCGCTCCACACAGTGGAGCAACGGTCCAGGTGAGACTGGACGAATGCGTGATAAAGTCGGGGCGGGGCGTTGGGGCAGCGGCAGTCCGCTCTTAACACTGTTTACGAGAGCGATTCCATGGTAAGCACTTTTTTGGACCTTTTTAATTTGGTCAGTCCATTTCAAATGCTCATCAGTTATCACTCCCAAGTGTTTGACTGACTTTTCGGTTCAGGCTTATGCCCGTTCAAATCAACTGACACGATACTCTTATCACGACTGTACGCAGAAGTGACCATTAGCAGTTTTGACTTCTTTTCGTTGACAAACGAACGGTAAGCCACTCGCATATTATTGGGAGCACTGCAGTTATTTTGTCTGCTGCTTCCGACTTCGTGTCTGCTATCGCGTAGCAGATCGTATCATCAACAAAACTTTCTAACTGCACATCTGGGCAATCAAATTCGATTTTCAGCAGTTCGTTTAAATAATTTATGAAAAGTAAAGGACCAATGACACTAGGAGTAGTCGATCAGCGAGACCGGATTACAAGTATTCACCGGCATAATGCATGCCGCTCATCGGTATCCCGTATCACCACCAGCTTTCAATATGCGCAAAACAGAATGGAGCAGCAGTGCGGGAAGTTTTCGTTTTATCGTTCGTTTTTTACGTTTAACCTTTTAGGTTTAATTTTATTGTAACTCGACACAGGAATGTTCATGGGCTTCGTGACACCACAGATATACTGTACTTCTTTGTACATATGACCATAGTCGTCACAGCAAAGCAGCAAAACAGTAACGACAAATAAAAATACCAGCGCAGTCTAAAAACAACAGAAATGGCGCACGAGACAATCGAAATCTAAATAGTGCGGTAAGTAACTGCCCTTAACTGTCATTATACTACGGTACATGCAATAATATCTAGCAAGCGGTGCAGTAATCGTACTGACAGTGCACTCGATTGCAGCCCAAATTACGTAAGTACTACCAACAAGTTGGACCCATTGACGTATAGGTCAACTGACCATTTTACATCCACTGAGAAACTGGACACATATTTCTTATAAACGGATTTAAATGGGACTCTTTCTCGTTTATCGTTACGGAGCTCCGGTTGACACCGTTTGTACATGGCGGACTAATTTGGCTGCTTCAGTGCCGCGATTGCTAGGCAACATGCTACTGCACCTGCAACATAGCAGTACCGGCGTCCTGGTCCCTTTGCCTTGATGGCTTGATGTAGTGCGCTTGTCGTGCTTACTTGATTGTTTTATTGCATTTGTTTTAACCAATCATAAGCGAATTGTATTAAGCAATGCAATTGCATCTTAAATAAATGGGAAGTTATGGTGCAAGCTATCGTGAACAAGTGTCAATGCGCTTAAAGTGTTAACAGTTCTATGTTCTTGACCTTAGTACAATATACAGTACCACTCCATTATATGCTAAACTTAATTGTCTGCACTATTGAAAATTGAGATAGAATTATCAGTTTACTTAAAGAAACATGTACGTATATAATGTATGCAACGGATTGCGTGGTCCAGAAAGATGGCGCACGGTGGATGTATACGGCACAAACGGACTACTGCAGCACGGTGCAGTCATTAACGTTGTCGAGTGCGGGCTTGTTGTGGACTTCTTTTGTCCCGGCAGGCGATCAGAGCTGGTGGAATTTGAGAAAGCATTCCGGTGTGAAGGCTTCTTTGTGAAGGGTCGCGGCAAAGCCATCACCGGGACAGATAACGTTGAAGTACTAGTACAAGTGTCAGCCGATCAGCCTTGGACATGGTACCCAGCCAATTTCCTGGATCATCACATCCCTTGGGCGGAATTTGCCTTGGTCGCCGTGAGCGCCGGCGGCAGTGTATCCAAGAAAATTGTTTCACTCCGGCACATCCGGGTTCGGTCGACGGAATACGAGTTACTAAATCGAAGAGTTGGTAAGCGGGACTTTATCACCGGTACATACCAATTGCCGGACAATGTGCCACAGCCGTTGGACCCGCGAACGTGGAGGAAGTGGAGGGAAGCGCTGGAATTGAATTTTCTGTGTAAAGTGTGTCCTGTCTGCTTCCGGCAGAATGAGTTGGTATACCTACAACCCGGCATCAACTCTTCGATACAGTCTGACTATTTGGTAAAAGCAGCAAATGTAATCTTAGTTACAGCCGCATGTACATCTAGCCTTATGGTATTCACCGGAGTACGGAGGCCTCCGTGCTTTATGAGAAGCATATCCAGACGTAAAAACTGATAAAAAGCACAAAATACCGGTTAGAACGAATAGCGCCGATATAGTCAGCCGGATAGAAGACTATTAAGTAAAACCTGTATATATGAAGGCAGGATCATAGTATGTACTATGTATGTACTTACTGAAAATCATAAGCCAGTGGCCTAATTTGTAAAGTACAGTATTTTTCGTCTCGACAGGCAGTCGTGATCGAATCTATTGTAAAGAAGAGCAACAGGACCAGGGAACTGCGTACCCAACCAGTCAGTTCCGTGGCTGATCCGGACGACATACGGTTTGAGCGTTTATACCATCACTGGGAGGTGATGATGGTGATTTTCCGGCAACTGACCACTTATAACCGAGCATACTACCGCCGCGTCTGTTCCGTGTGGGACGCCCTGTTGCAGTCAGACAGCACTTATAAGGCCGTCCATGTCTCGCTAACCGATCGTTCGGACTTCCATGCTGCTCTGTGTATCTTGAACGCACTGAATTCGCAAACCGAGTACGTAATAATTGCCAACGCCGCATATCATACAGAGATGTTGGAAGCATATTTACTGTGGATAGACGCTGTTCTCACGGTTGCGTCAGACTGTAAACCATGTAAAATAATCTTCTACGAATGCCGGTGGATATTTGACGATCCCGCAGACGACACTGAGAGTCTCAACCACGTTGTGCCGAGGTTGAACGGCACACGACCGACAGTCAAAAAGCTGATGTGGGTCAGTTGTGCGTATTCATGCCTCCTTTCTCCGACATCTAAGAGATCAAAGTATGCCACCTTGCCTATGGCTACCGGTTCCATTCGGATTCCGTCGCCTAGTTTATCTGAAAACTTATACTTTCTACTGGAGAAGGACCTTCCGTTGCCTTTGCCGAAACTGTCAAAGTGGGTCACCGATGTAGCCGATAGCGGTCAGGAAACTTATATCTATGATACCGATATCCAAACGGTAAAACTATCTCTTTCCGTTCTGGATATTGATTGTTAACTGGGCATCCTTCTGTAATTGGAAATTTATTACAGATTCTGCGAGACTGCTTACTTTCTGAGAAGAGGAACACGCTTGGTGATGACTGCTAGTCTGCCGATATCGCAACCAGTGGGATGTCAAAAGATCTGCATACTTTAGATGTGTCAACTGTGATGCGAGTAGCCGTGCATGTTACTGAATCCTACGCTACCAGGGACAAAAGGTCAGATTTGTGGAAAGCTGCAAGCACTTCCTGGACGCTTGTTCCGGAACTTCCTGAACATCCTTGTTCTCTTGGCGAAGCTGATGCTGCATCGAAGCCTTTTGGGAGTGCCGCACATGGACGTTTGGGTTGAGTTTGAAAACAGCAAGCTTGACCTCAACAACCAAAAAACAGCCATTTATAATTTTTTTCTGTTATTAATCTTATTACACTTATATAATGTCGCTCTGTTATTATCGTTAACTACAAATGCACGCTACGGTTTGCTTGAGTGTGAGCAGTTGCGAGCGCTATGGTTGCACAATGGAGAAAAATCATAAACGTATGTACTCTGTACAGATACTATGTAAAGTGTACAACAACAAATATTAATTATGGTTGTACGAGTACATCACACTAATATTACAAGTAGATTACGGGAATCGCGCCGGGTTAAAACGTTACGCTGCCAACAAAGCGGGTTTGCATGCTATAATTATTATTTATATTAACTTTTGTTGCGGATAGGTTGTTCAGTTTCGTTCGCTAAAGAACTGCATCCATACAGAAGATGAGAAACGATTTTTCATACATGTTACACAAAATAGCAAAGCAAGGCGAGTAAACTGGATGAATTTCGTGCAGTGCTTAATTTTTTCATTGACTGCTGAACCAGCCAATTTTTATCGCTGCGTTCTAATTACGCTGCATTAGGTTTGTTCCAGTTGATGAAATTACTGTAAAACAGCTGTGATATGTTCGAAGAAAATTCCGCCTGTCAATTCTAATCGTCCACTATTTGACGTTTATGTTCCTCACAATTGTCTGTGTACTTCAACAACAAATGTCGTTTAAGGTGTGATTCACCTGAAAACACACTGTATTGTCCATGCCGCCACAGACCCGGATATTTATTACTGTGAACTAAATAGCTGTCTTTGCGATATCAGTTGCCGGCTGCCATGCATATTCCCGGAAATAGCAATACGATTTTCAATGTAAATACACCAAGCATGATCGTAAGCGTTGCGCGTTGCACTTTGCTCCAAACCTGATTTTGTCGATATTCGTGTTGCGACTGGTTTATCTTTCCACTCAGTCCAGTGTGGTTAGTACTTAACAGTCACGGGCCATGTTATTATTTGCACACAAACATTCTTATAGATTGTCTGTAATTCGCGATGTTGGCTATTTTTCTTCTATTTTAAGTATTTTCGAATTTCTGTAAATGGCAGATTGTCCAGACGTCAATATTATTCCGCGTTCAGAATGGGGTGCACGAAATCCGGTGGCCGGATTAACAAATTTGACGCTTCCGGTTAAATATATGGTTTATACGCACACTTTTGGCGAACCATGCAATAATCCCACATCTTGTTCATCCATTGTTCGAGAAATACAGAATTTTCATATGAATTCGCCTAATAATTTTGCGGATATCGGATACAAGTGAGCAAGCATTTTGCTTCTAATACAATTGCAATATTTGGATAACTCCATCACTGGAAATACCAATACATCCCTTAACATTTTCAGGCGGCCTCGCAACAGTTATTTATTACTAGCAATAGGAGAAAGAAAGATTCATTTTACTGAAAGAAATAAGAAAAAATGTTTTAATCGGCTTGAGTAACATGGAAATCTTACGGAAACCATACGTAAATTTCAATTAAATGTGCTAGTCTTTCATGCATGATATCTGCGGCTAATCTAGATTCTACATTAATTTTTTATTTACAGTTTCCTGATTGGGGGAGATGGGTCGATTTTTGAGGGGCGTGGTTGGCATACGAAAGGTGCATATAATCCGGATTACAATAGCAAAGGATTCGGAACGGCCCTGATCGGTCGATTTCCCCCGGAAGGTGAAAGAACTATTTCAGAATACTGGAGTAAGAAAGCGCTTCATCTGATTATTTGGTTTGCAAACTTTGTACTTGGTATTAGGGAACTACTTCAGCGATCTCAGCTACGCCGCCGCGAAATCAGCAAATGGATTATATAAGTGCGCACTGAGCAAAGGCTACATAAGTCCGGCTAACGATTCCGCCGTTATTACGTCCCGGATAAATCCCGTTATTCGAGAGTACGTTTTAAATCCGGACGTGTTAATGCGTAAGTGCACCGTGAAGGAATTACAGGATCCGTTTACTGAGACAGTTTGTATCACTGCAGCCACGACGACAACAACAACATCAACGACTACAACAACGATTTTATTCAACACAACGAATACAATCGTTTCTCCAACAACTAGCACCACTCCTGGTACAAATTGTTTGCCTGCATTGCGCAGATTTTAAAAGCAAAACGCAATTAAGTATCATAGCGTAATGTAGCATTTTTATCAAGGTTTAATTATTTATAGTTCTCACCGATGGAGTTATTGCGGCCATTGCAACTGGGGTCGCGATACCACTTCTGTTGGCTGTGTTGTTCATTGTCTTAATCTGCAAACGCCGCAATAAGCTAAAGGTCAGCATATCAATGCGCTTCTTGTTCCCTTAGGGTAAAATAAATGTTGTTCGTTTATAACAGACAACGGAAGATTATCGAGCGGCTATTCAGAAACTCATTCCACAGACTACGATGGCGTATTATGAACGTCCCCGATGGTCGGTGGATTTAAGTAAGCACGAGCCCGGTTCTTTGCACTGTGCAGTACCCCATTATACAGCCACAGCTGCAAATTATTAACAGGTGCTTTTCACAGGAGACGTGTGCCTAGGAACAGGACAGTATGGACAGGTCTTTAAAGGTTCTCTAATGGACAGGAAACCGTCGAAAACCCTGGGTCCAACGCTGTCGGGATGCCGTCCAGTTGCGGTAAAGATGCTGCGTGAGTCCTGCTGTGATTATCAGGGAACAGCGGGGTTTTTGGCGGAAATGAGCATCCTGATGAAGGTCGGCCGGCATGTGAACATTGTTAACTTGGAAGGTGTGGTTTTACGAGGTAAATAAGCAAACTGTTGCAATAAAATGTTTGAGGTGCTTTCAAAGATGATTCACAGAGACGATAAGACTTTATCGTGCTTTATATGACTATAGTTATAATATTATCATTTTAGGGAAGCTGATGATGGTGATGGAACACTGCGAGTTAGGATCTTTGGACGCGTATCTTCGGAAGTTAAAGGAGGACACTTTCGCACCACCCCTTGATGTAAATAACTTGGTCCGCTTAGCCAATAGTTATGTCGCCTTTGGTGTCGGGGACAAGCCACAAGCTACGGTTGCGACTGGATCAGGTCCAGATGTATCAGAACTGACAAACATCGCCTATCAAGTCAGCCGAGGAATGGAATTTCTGTCGTCAAAGCATGTCATCCACCGTGACCTGGCAGCGAGAAATGTCTTACTGACCGCGGATAAAACAGCAAAAATTGCCGACTTTGGGATGGCAAGGGAGCAACCGGAATATATTTTGGAAAGGGAAAAGGTACACAGGCAAAGCAGAGCGGAACTCGAATAGTTTTCTCAGCTTGCAGCGCGATTCGCTGTTTTAACAATGGAGACATACTGCAAAACGAAATATCGAATACCTTTTATTTTTTAGGTTCCTTTACCAGTATGTTGGATGGCACCAGAATCCATTATTCCCGGTCGCGGAATTTTTCACATCCCCAGCGATGTGTGGTCGTTCGGTGTGGTTCTCTGGGAAATATTCTCCCTAGGAGAGACACCATACGCGATGGAGTTCCCCAACGGAATTTTATACGCGCAACTATGTACGTTTCTGCAAGAAGGCAACAGGTTACAAACGCCTGACCTTTGTCCAGAACCAGTGTAAGTGTAATATTGCTCAGTGCTACCCCAATTATTAATGGACGAAGAATCAGAATGAGGTGTCGTTTCAGTGCGTTATTGATGGTGAAGTGCTGGGACTTCCAATCCGACAGCAGACCGGATTTTTTCGAGCTGCGTAAAGGACTGGAGGCCCTGTTACCGGTTGCTGACAGAGCGCGCTATGTGCTTTTCGATGAGGAAAATGAAAAGCTCAACAGCTGCTTAAAGTGTCCGGCGGAAGATTCAGGCTGTGCATCCGAAACCGCGTCGTCTTATATATCGTATGCTTGAGAATCTGATAAAGATTTTTATTACAACTTTGTTCACATTGAACTTTACGCGTTTGTTAATTAAGATATACTTGCAAGCAAACTTCTCATATTGCGCATGCCGCAATGAATTGAACGTGGGGATTTAATTCAGCGTTAAATGGATTTCTTTAAGCATTCAGGGATCCGAATCTGCTTACTGCAGATACAGTACGCAGAAATTCGACGACAACGAAATCTGCAGAATTACGGATATGTCGCACTTCATACGCCCATTAAAATTGTAACGTGTTTGTGTATTGCGCAAGCAATCACGAAAACATTAATTAGACGATTCGGCCAGCCGATAGTGCATTTGTTTATGGCGGACCTGCGTGCTAATTACAAAGGCTCAAAGTAAGATATCGGAAATATTGTCTTGCGTATAAAGCCGACCAGCGTCATACGGTTTATCGACATGTATGTCTCGACTGGCTTGAACGTTATGAACAGAAACGTAAGCGGCAAATGTTTACTAATATGGAAGTGATGTTATGATATTTTTGTTACCTAATGCAATCAGCGATAGCTGATGTATGTCAATTAGACATTTTTCGCAACTGCTCCACTTAACCATAGCACTACACTTAACCATACGCTATGGTTAAGTGCGAGCGTATGGTAAATGCGGATACCATACAAATTCGTTGTATGGTAGCTGACTTCCAAAGGCTCCTCTTAGTTCCCATACACTTTAACTTCGTTAGAGCTAAGCTTTTCTAGCACAGAAAACATCGGAGAACTTGAATTTTGATGTTCTAAAGGATGCCATACCGTGTAGCACGAGAAAAAAAAATAAATACGAAGATCTCTAGAAAACATCTGCGCTGGTTTTAAGGTATCCTGTACACTGTCACTCCGATGGCGGTGTCTAGCTACACGATAAGGTATGGTTAAGGTATGGTTATGGTGTCTTTTGCGAAAAGCCTCTAATAATAGCGTGTACAATTTTAAAGTATTGTGCAACAACAAACTGTTTATTCCAGGTACAAATGTGTTAGACGCAAAGCGAATACCGTTAGTTATCGCGAATGTTACAATTTCATGAACAAATCATGCATCAAGGAAAATTTTCCGGCAGTTAGTTCCAGGAAGTGCTCATTCAGACGCATAGTTATCGGTGACCCCATTGATAGTATGGCGGTAAAAACAGCCTGTTGACTCCATTAAATATGGGTTGATTGTGTCGGCGGTATTGCCAGACTCATAACAGTTAGGTTAAGCAAAATCATTGTAGGCAATAAAGATAACGCGTTGATGATCTAATTTAAACCGACCATAAATCCCGATAGTTACCTGCTCGTGTTACCGGCTTATGCAGCCGTTTTATGCAATAAGATCATAAGAGCGGCTTAATCAATAACCAGCATTGCTCTTTTCTCTCGTAATATGCACAAAGTATTGTCTCGGGGAAATGGCTTTGCTAACAAGCACACCCACAATTTTTGAAAATGTGAAGCATAGTTAGCAATTTTTACATCAAAGATTTCACTTCTTTACCAGCATAATGTAAAACAAGTTCTTTATCGGTATAATTATTATCACTGTTGAACATCATTTAAGTAAAATCTGTGCGACTTGAGTAACGAACAATGTCAGAATGGCGGAATGTCCAGGAGTTGCCATTATTCCGCATTCTGAATGGAGTAAACGAAATATCACGGGAAGCCACACCGCTCTTAATTTACCCGTCCCATACATGGTGTTTAGGCATACCGAAACATCGCCGTGTGTCACTCTAGCTTCTTGCAGAAGCACCGTGGTTGCCATGCAAAAGTCGCATGTGGACGGAAACCAATGGGTGGACATTGGATACAAGTAAGCAATGCGCATTTACGGATGAGTATATTAAATGTCACAAATGTTTTTTTTTGACGTGCCCTTTCCCGGGCCTTTACAGCACTATAATCAGTAACCACAGTATATTGCAGTTTTGTGATTGGTGGAGATGGATCCATCTTCGAGGGTCGAGGGTGGCATAATAAAGGATCGGTGGCGAAACAGTACAACAGTATCGGGATTGGGATAGGGCTTATCGGTAGGCTCAAGACCAACGGTGGGTGAATTCTTGTTATTCCTTAATGATTATTTAGACACAGGCACGCCATTGCATGGGTCGGCGCATTAGTAAAAATCCTCCTTATGGTTGTGGTAGAAGTACTTTATCACCCTCAAAAGTTACGTTACAATTTCATGTCCCAACCACAATCCCCATTCTTGCTTTACTCTAGTTAACGACCAATCAACGACTTTATACAGCCATAGTCTTTAACATGTACTTTTCACAAGATATGTAAAGTAAAACCTTATTTGTTTCTATAAAAAAGGCGGAATAACAATTACAATGTTCTATTGATATTCTTATGGCATGGTATAGGAACTCAGCCAGTGCTTATTTTCAGGAAGCGAAAATCATGGATTTCTGTACGCTGCTGCCAAAGCGGCCAATGGTCTCTTTTACTGTGCGCGGGGGAAAGCTTATATTAATCAGACAGCGGATGGTGCTGTTGTTGCCTATGACATTAACCCGCTGATCAAAGATTTTATCTTGGATCCGGATGCAATGTTAAGTTAGTATAACCATTTCTGGTTTCTGCTCTCTCATAACTATTCTTAGTACACGGGTGCGTTAACGGCACACTGGAGATTTTCACGGCAAACACAGATTTGGAAAGTACTGCATTTAGAAACTTGTATGTACGAGCATTTGGAGGCTTTTGCAGCGACAACGTTTCCTCCACCGTCGCCAACGCTGCCTCCAGATCAGTCGATAACCACTCTGCCCACAACAACGTCGGCTTCGACAAGCCAATCATCTTCGGTTTCTCCTGGCTCCCGAGGGTCCACCACCTCCGCTTTCACAACAACCGAAGCATCGGGTGCGCCTTACGCAATTTAACGAAGCAAAAAGAGCAATCACTTTCGCTGATGCAACTTGAAGAGAGATCGTTAACATAACGCTATACAGTTAGATTACTTACTGTACTCTATTCCAACTAATGCGACACTTCGCAAATGTGTATAAGCACTTTCAAACTGGCATGATTAAACGAGATTCGTGATACATTAATATCATCTTCAAAAATTAGCGGTGAATATTCACGGCTTAAAATACCGTACAATTATTTTGCTACGAAAACAAATGCGCATTGTTTTGATTGTACGGTTACAGCAATACCGGGAGAAATAGTTGCCGGAATCGCTGCAGGATTTGGAGGCCTAATTTTATTGTTTGCGGTTCTTGGGATTCTGTTTTACAAGCGGCGCCTTCGGCTAAAGGTCTTGTTATTGGTTACCGGTAATTGGCTGTAAACGGAATAGAACAGGAATCTACTTCTTACGCAGACGAATGACTACCGACCGGCCATTCGAAAGCTGATCCCCGAGAATGTGATAGCTTACTACGAACTTCCACGGTGGTCTGTTGAACTGCGTACGTACAGTTTCAGTAGTAATCTAGATTGTTTTCCGTTGTGCTGTACTCGTATGTGCACAGCCAAAAGGGTTAGTTTTGTCGATTTTGTCTCTTTACAGGAGACGTTTGCCTTGGAGAAGGGCAGTATGGGAAAGTTTACAAGGGGATGTTGCTCGATAACAAATCACGCAACGTACAACGGCGCCGGTCATCTGAAAGTCGTTCCGTAGCGGTTAAGATGTTGCATAAACTGCGTCACGATGACCACAGGCACGCTGGTTTCATTGCCGAAATGGGCATTTTAATGAAAGTGGGTCGTCATGTGAACATTGTTAATCTGGAGGGTCTTGTTCTCAAAGGTAAGTGACGGCGTTCTGTGCATACTCCTATACTACTGTATGTATGTACATAAAACTTTCGAAAATAATGGAAAAAAACTTTTGTCAGGAAAATTGCTCATGGTAATGGAGCACTGTGAGCTCGGATCACTCGAACGTTATCTCCAAAGACTAAAAGTGGAAGCGGCTGATGTTCCCATAGGTAAGTGATCTGTGCTCGACAATCACGCCGAATCGTGCGAGATTTAATACAGAGAGTTAACGGCAGTGCTGATATAGCGGAGCTAACCAATATGGCGCATCAAGTCAGCCGCGGAATGGAGTTTCTAGCGTCCAAGAATGTCATTCATCGAGATCTAGCGGCTAGAAACATCCTACTGAATGCTTCGAAAACCGTGAAAATTGCCGATTTCGGAATGGCGAGAGAACAGCCTGCGTATATATTGGAAAGGGAAAAGGTCAGCCTGCAACAAATCAGTAAGCAGATTATCGGTTTGTTCCTACTAGTTTCTCTCTTACAGGTTCCACTGCCGGTTTGCTGGATGGCACCTGAATCCATTATTCCCGGGAGGGGAATATTCACCACGTTGAGCGATGTGTGGTCGTTTGGTGTTGTACTCTGGGAGATATTTACCCTGGGTGGTGTGCCCTATGCCAGCGAGTTTCCCAATGGGATATTCTACACACAGTTTTGCCTCTTCTTGCAAGAGGGTCAACGATTAAGCACACCGGAATTATGTCCAGAATCATTGTAAGAACGTACCAGAAGTATATTACCGGGAGATTCACAAACATTTCCTGCCTATCTATTTGACAGTGCGATACTAATGATGAATTGCTGGCACTTCCACGCGGAGGATCGACCCAATTTTTCCAGCTTGAGGCAAAGCATAGAAGCACTATTGCCGGCGATAGAAAGGGCACAGTACATTGCTTTTGATACGGAAAACGAGGCACTGAATAACTGCCTCAACAATCCAGCAGATTGTTCTAGCTCGTCCACTTCTTCATCGAGCACTTCGTCATCTAGTCAAACCATCGCGAAGATGTAACGCGATTTCCTCATTGCTGAAATTCTGTTTCATGAAACACCTTAGAATTCTTTTGTTTGTTTCTCGTTTTTCTCGGTTGTGGGATCAGTTTGTGTATCATGACTGCCGTTGGCCCGCAAATAATAAAATTAAATAACTTATTCGGCACTAGTCGCACTACTGTCAAATCGTAGTTACAAGTTTTATAAGCTGATACTGTTGCTCGTGCTCCTCATTATTCGTAATCACCAAAAAAGCACATTGTCCATGTGGTTAGTCAAGGATGATGTCAGCGACGAAACTCTTGCACTGCTCATCCCCATCACCAGGAGCGCATCCTTGTCCCAGCTGCATGTCTTCCAGAAGAATAAGATAATCAATGGGGTGAGCATGCAGTGAATCCAGTAAGGCCTTTATCGCGTCCTTTTGCGGCACGATTTTATCCGCGGTGTAGGAAACAGTGTATTTGACCAGACGACCTCCGTTAATCGTCTTGTCTTCTGTCAGCTTGGTTTTAACATTCTGTACTTTCGTCGGGCTCAGTAGTTTATCTGCAAATACATAGTGCACAAAAATGATTCCCTTAACACACTGGTTCCCTGTTCCTTCTGCTCCTCTATAAGGAAGCCAGGAATTTAATGTTGCAGTTCACTGAACATAACATAACATAAGGAAGATTTTGGCAGTATTGTATCGTTTTACCTAATGCCGATTTCCATCGTGTTCCCAGCGCGTTGAGGACCTCAGTGTTCGTGTGATTGGCCATGGACAAAACCTTATGATTAATAACATCTTGCTTGGCTGCTGTAAATAAAAAATCGAAGTAGATAGCTTTTTGATTAATATTATGTATAATTTTGTGCAAAACTGACGCATTCAATCAACATGCACCTTCGCTCGGTGTTCCTGTAGCAGCTATGATTGCAATAATCACAATATACCCCAACATTCTGGTGGTCCAGGACAAGAGATACGAAGGAGAAAAAGGCAGAATGATTTTCTTTAAAAGATAAAAGTTAGGGTTTGGTGAAAAGGTCGGTATCACGGGTACGTATGCACTACGCAGTTATCATAATAGTAAATTATTACAAGAATAGGGGTGCGCAACTTTGTAAGGCAAAGCTGAATTAATGGACAAACTTGAACATTACAGCCGGCAGCAAAACTTTCAAGATTTTCCACTTCAGCTTTTTCAATGTCCGGGGTAGGCTGGCAGTAGTTATGTAACTTACTGTGTTCTGTTATGCTGATCAGCGTGGTACGTATAGTTTTGGACGTATTGCATACGCTTATTTGCACTATTTTTTGGTAGGAGAGTGAAAAAAACATCTGCACAATCTACCTCAACACAATCGCCATTAGCCTTCCTCCCTTTCCCTCGTATCGGCTACAGCTAAGGGTGTAGAATACAGTATTATGGAACACTACTAGTACTTGTACTCTGTAAGTACGAGTAGCCGGGATTTGGTTTGGGTTCGTATAAATATATCGAGTAACTTGGAATGTGTGCACGGCTAGCCGTTCCATTACTTGCACGACATGTTTCTAATTTCATGGATATTACCAGCAATGGTTTCCGGCAGGTTAGTTGAAGAGGATGGCCGTTCAGACAGAGAATTATCGGTGACCCCGTAGATAATATTATTGCGTTGAGTACACTTCATGTTGATCGAACCGGAATATTTATCACAGGTAATGCTGATAACATGCGGATGATCTAGTTGTGGCCTAACAGAAATCCGGAAATTACCATTCTCGTTTGACTTAAAGCATTTTCATATTGTTAACCAAAGCATCTCAATTTGCGAGAAATTGCAGTACATATAACTAATATTTTTGACATTCAACCGTGCCAAAATTTTTGTCAGTATGCGCATTTGAGCACATTTGTAATTAAATTTAAGAAAATGCAGTTTACTGACCGGCAAGCAAAATGACTGATTGTCCAGGAGTGACTATTATTCCGCGGTCTGAATGGAACGCGCGGAATGCCACGTCCGATCTCACCCGTCTGGATCTTCCGGTTCCGTATATGGTGTTCAGAAATAGCTACACATCATCATGTTTCACTCTGGCGTCCTGTAAAACCACTGTTGCTGAGATTCAGAATACGCACATGGAAAACAATTTTTTCGACATACCATACAAGTATGTTTACTCTCACAGAAAACTTCCACAGACCAAATTTTTTTACTGTACTCTGTACATGCGAATTTATCCCTTAGCGGCATGGGTTACGTTAAACATCCCTAGTTGACCGTTAATTAAGCGCCTCGGTTTACAGGCGATATTACGTACATCTAGCTTTGGACTTTGGAAAACTTTGGAAAACACAGAGCAGAAAGATCTGGTTGCGGTCAAATGTCATTGTGCAGCGTTCGAACAGAAAAAATCGCATATGTGAATACGAGTACAGATACAGTACTATCTGTAACTGCAGAATTTACTGCAGTACTTACTGCAGAATTTTTGTTTCACATACAGAGTAGTGAGCAAAAATAGTTCTCTTACCCCTAAGTAATTATGCGATAAGGTTAATGCTCACCGTCAAATGACTTTGAGCCAATAAAATTCTCGATCAGACTAGAACAGCGCCGCCGCGAGAGTACTGTACCGCAAAAACGCCACCAGTCTTCCAAATACCGACGGTGTTTAATCAGAACCCGTTTTAGCCAGCTGCAAAGAAATCAAAGGCAGAGAGATGTGTTTTTGTTTAGGAAGTGAAGATCATGAGTTTATGTACGTTGCTGCCCGGGCGGCCAATGGCTTACTTCACTGTGCAATGGAGAAAACCTACATTAACCAGTCAGCAGATGAAGCTGTTATTGCCTTTGACATCAACCCCCTGATCAAAGATTTCATATTGAATCCGGGTTTGCTGGGTTAGTGTGATGCTATCATTTTATTGTTTGTTCTTAATTAGCGTAAATTACCGGAGGTTTGAAGTACTGATAATTATGCTTACTGCGCCCGTAACTGCGGTTAAAACTTAAAAGTCTGTAGCATTCCCTGATCATCCGTGTATAAGACACAACCATTCCTCGAACCTCGAACTTGGTAAGAAATTCTTATACCCGTACCTACGACTGATACTGTAGAACTCACGATTGACGATCGGATTTGACAAGAATAGACGAGAGAAAGAATAGGTAGACGAGTTTGGCATGACGTAAACGGCTACTGCAGTAGGGCGTTCGAAGTACCGCAAACCGCAGGGTAATGCTGCTAGGAAACGGCTGAATGTACCATGAATTTTGCAACAACAGCATTTACCGCAACGTTCCCTACAGCTTCATTATCCGCAGGTCAACCGACATTCTTGCTATTTCCGACAACCACAATGTATCGGTCTCCTTCGACGTCTTCTAATTCAAACAGCAGTTACAACACTGCCACCAATGATTCTTCACCAATCATAATGGAACCGTCAGGTACGAGTACCGAAAACATATGGTCATACGAGTCTCATACCGTAATATTATATGATTTGCAGTAATTAGGGGTGAGGTGGTGGCTGGGATTGCTGCTGGATTTGGTGGTTTAATTTTATTGGTTGTCCTAGTGGCGATTGTGTGCCTCAAGCGGCGCAACCAGCAAAAGGTCAGCTAATTGCATGTGCTGCGATAATCGCAAGAACGAAATGCAGAATATTTTCTTGATAAGCAGAAACAAGATTATCGACCGGCTATTCGCAAAATGGTTCCCGAAAATCTGATTGGCTACTATGAAATTCCCCGGTGGTCTGTTGGATTGCGTACGTGCCGTTTTCCCAGCCGTGTAAAGCGTTCTCCGATGTATGCTGTAGAAAGTTATTACATGCATGATTCTTGCAAATCAATAGGCGACGTTTGCCTGGGAACGGGGCAGTATGGAACGGTGTACAAAGGAGTCTTGCTGGACAACAAATCACGCAAAGCGCAGCTGAGCCGATTATCCGAGAGCCGTTCGGTCGCGGTTAAGATGATGCGTGAACAGCATCCCGATGGGCACATGCATTCTGGCTTCCTTCAGGAAATTGGCATTCTGATGAGAGTGGGCCGACATGTGAATATCGTCAACTTAGAGGGTCTTGTTCTCAAAGGTCAATGGAAGTTTGAATCAAACTAATAGTCTATCAATGTTTGCTTTATTATTTTCACTAGCTCATCATAATTACATTTTCAGGAAAGCTCCTCATGATAATGGAATACTGCGACCTGGGATCTCTCGAAAGTTATCTCCGAAAGATAAGAGCGGAAGGGTGCGATATTCAGAGCATTGACATTACTGAGTTAATCAGCATTGCATACCAAATAAGCCGCGGAATGGAATTTCTCTCTTCGAAAAATGTCATTCACCGCGATCTGGCGGCTAGAAATATCCTTCTGAATGCTTCGAAAACTGTCAAAATTGCCGATTTCGGAATGGCGAGAGAGCAACCTGAATACATCTTGGAAAGGGAAAAGGTTAGCTGGTACAAACAGCACTACGTGCGCTTTACGAAGACAGTTAACCGCTTAAGGTATTGAGTTTTAGTTTTAGTTTAATCGCTCGAGTTATGAATAGGTTCCGCTCCCGGTTTGTTGGATGGCACCCGAGTCTATCATTCCCGGCCGTGGTATCTTTACTACGCTCAGTGATGTGTGGTCATTTGGTGTTGTTCTGTGGGAGATATTCTCTCTGGGCGGTGCTCCGTATGCAAGCGAGTTTCCCACTGGGATCTGGTATTCACAGTTCTGTCTTTTCCTTCAAGAAGGTCAACGATTACATACGCCGGAATTGTGCCCAGAGTCAATGTACGAGCATACTACCTGTGGTTGGGCTTTTCCTAAACATTTTACGTGCATTTTTTGACAGTGCGACACTAATGACTGCTTGCTGGCATTTCCACGCTGAGGATCGGCCGCATTTTTCCAGTCTAAGGCAAAGTATAGAAACACTGTTATCGATGGCGGAGCGGACGCGGTTCATTGGTCCCGATACGGAGAATGAGACACTTAATGACTGCCTCAACATCCCAATTAATTGTTCCAGTCCATCTGGAATTGTTCCAGTTCCAGCTCATTCTTCGCCCGGATCTGACACTTCTAGTCAAATTGTTGTAATGATTTAGCGAGACATAAAAACGCAGCATGTGCATGATGCCTATATTTTCAAGCGCTCGAATATGGCGGCTGTTCATAAGTGAAGCGTAAAACTTCTCCTAACTAACGACATACTATTGCAAGTGCTTCAATCCTAGGGTAGCCCAGTACGAGTATGAAAGCAGCTTCGTGCACACGAACACGTGCAAACCTCGTTCGCGGACCATGTTTTCTTTTTTGTGCATTTTGACAATCCAGAGTTTTTTTTGAATGAAAATCAGGAGATGAACGAGTACAGAAGTATATTATATGGAGAACACAAAATGAGGTCACTGCTCTGTTTTTTTTTTAAAATTTAATTATAATTTACCGGCATACGAAATGTTTGCTACATTTCGCAACAATATCAAGATGTCGTCCTTCGATAGGCCTTTATTTGCCAGCTGATCCATAATAAGGACGTAAGTTATCATCCCGCCGATTAGCTACAAAAAACAGAAAGTAAAATTATTTCTCCATTAAACACTTTTGAAACTTTGGAAACCGTTTTTTTGGCAAAACGAATAACGCATCAGTATCCAACTTACGGTTGCCACGAACTGGCGGTTTACGGTGAAGAATCCACCAACAGTGAACGCCACGCTAACGGAGCTGACCCTTCTGATTAAAAACCTAAGTATGGAATCATCGTTTGATGCAGCCGATGGTGCATCGGCTGCGATATTTCGCATGGACTCTTTGATATTTTCAGCCTGAAATGACAAAAAAGGGAAATGCCATAATTCTGCCTGTACGTGCGCTGGAAAAGGGCAAAAAATGATCATGCAGTGCAACACCCACTTAACAAAGCAGCGTGCACAATGTTGGTTCCCGTAGAGTTTGTACGCTGTCAACTACTCTGTACATATTTTTTGAAGACATAATTCGATTTCTTTTCAAGAGCAGAGAATTAGCACGTCGGATGTTTAACTGCATAAAAACTCTCCGCCCCCTTTTCACAGCATATACACGTGCCCGACTGCCCGTACGTAACTTTTTACGTAATTACAGTATTTCATTTACCTGCTCTAGCATGTACACGGGTGTCCATGTGCCGAAAACAGCACAGAACACTAACGAGGAAAGATTTTGGACCACAACAAGTGCTCCAGTTCTCAAACGATCAATATACGTTAGCAGCGTAAAAATCTGATAAGCATACACCAGCAGCAACGTTAATGATGACAGTTCACTCAGTTGGCGTATAATTCGAGAGAGATTCACATGATCATTTATGATGGCCTCGATTTCTGTCACCTGCTTTGCATTTATCAATTTGCTGTTGATTCTGCTGAAGCATACTCCAACCGTAAAGCAAATTACCATGGGGATCGATTGAATCAAATAGAACACCAAATCCATAATCCACTGGCTTACTAATTGAAAATCCTTAAAAAACCGCAGAGTGAGCGACGTTGTCGGCAGTCCATACCATCGACTCATAAACTGTAGAGATCCGATACGCGCTGCACCGCCCCAAAGGGTATCCACCATGTAGCCGGCACCAACCGCGTTACACGTATGTATGATTAGTGCGAAGAGAATGACAATGGTTTTATCGCGCTTCTGTAGGTACTTTGTGCAGAAAGGTCCCGCTTGACGAATTGCTGCTACGTAATCAGAGTAGACATAGTGGAAGTACGCAACGCTAATTAAGCGTGTAATTGTCCGCTGAAGATCGGTGAAGAAGCTGAGGAGAGCGCCCGTCTCACTGCTTAATTGTGATTGCGATATTCTTATATAAAATGCTCCAATCGTAGCCACATAATAAGTGGCTAAGAGGCTTACCGCCCAGATAAGATGGAAACTTTTCCATATTAGGGACAAATTTCTGGTACCCGGTTTTCGCAAACTGGAGAAGATGCCGTATCCTGCCAGAGCGCAAACGAGTAACCATGGTTTTATCAGCTTTTCCAAAAACGTTAGGGTATGCGTATATTTCCCGAGAAAATGGAGCACGTTATGCAAGCATTGCAGCTTTGCCATAAAGAACCGCTGTCTTTTATAAACCAGGCAAAATCTGCTATAAAGCAAGATGGTGCCAGGCAATCGGCATTGTCAAAGCTCAGTTGTCTAGTTCTGTTTTATATAATATCAACATGATTGAAATTATATTAAATTGCTGGTAATCTGACAGAATGCCCATATTGTCAGTTATCTGCAAATCTATCTGGTTAACGCTTTCCCAAACTTGTATGTCATTGTCTTCTTGAAAGATGCTGAACTCACGGCAAATGAACTGCTTCGTAACTGTTAATGTCGACTGCAATGACGCACAGTACTGTACTGTATTAGCAGTACTGCCAGTACAGATCAGATCATACATACATACGTACGTACTGTATGCTATATTCTCATAGCTAGAGCGTATTTGATTTTATGATACAATAAAAGCATGCTGCATCCACTGCGTAATGTGTACTTAATTGAAGGACTGTAATTCTCACGAGAGCTTGTGTTGTGTTTTTGTGTTTCGATGAATACACAGTCAGAGTTCAAACTGAGTTCGCCAAAGGAAGCAAACTGGGTGCTCCCAGTTCAATTTGCTAGGCTTTACGGGCTGGAACAAAGAATTTCTTAGTTAAAAATGAGATTGTGGAATATGATACAACAACTATTTGTTTCCGGTTATGCCATTAAATTGTTGAATTGTACTCGTATCGCTTGCGAAAAGCGAGTAATTTCCGGGTTGTGTAATGTTTCAAAGTTCATGAATACATGCGAGCAGTAGTGTTTTGATAAGTAGGTGTGTTCCAGGCTCGTTCAGGCGCTCATTCCGACAGAAGTTAATCGGTGACCCCGTTGCATAGCTGTAAAATGGTCAATGTGGGTTGGGTCGTGTCTGCGGTGTTGTGATATTTACAGTGAAGACAGGCAAAGTTATCGCAGGTAATATGTAAAAGATAACGTGCGGAATGCGGATGATCTAATTCTTGTTGATTATAAACCAAGACAGTATACGCTCGTTAAACTGGTTGAGCGGTTCTGGCTGGCTAACTGAAGTGCAATTTTAAATTCTGGAGAATGTATTAGTATTTTTCGCCTTTCAACCGCCGCATATTTTTGTCGCTATGCCACCTATACACATCTGGAAATGTAATTCTTATGGAATTGTGGAATGCTATTTAGTGAAGGACGAATAAAATGACAGATTGTTCAGGAATTAATTTTGTTCGGCGTTCCGAATGGAATGCCCGTAACAACACAACCGAGCTCGTTATTCTCGATCTCCCGGTCCCGTATATGGTGTTCAGGCACACTAACACGTTACCGTGTGATACTCCGGCTTCCTGCAAAGCCGCCGTTGCTGGCATTCAGAATACGCAGATGGCAAGCAGCTTTTTCGACATTGCGTACAAGTATGCTTATTTTCATGCGTTACGAATAAATTCCGGTATATCAAAGCTGTTTATATTCGTATGCGGAATGCTTGAATAATATGTGGTCACGTTAATCATCTGTAGTCGACAGCATTTGCGATATGTGCTATGTTTGCAGTTTTGTAATTGGCGGAGATGGCTCGGTCTTTGAGGGACGAGGTTGGCACCATAAAGGATCCGTGACCCCAATGTACAACAGTAGAGCCATTGGTGTTGGTCTTATCGGTTGGCTCCAAACGAACGGTAGGTAACGCTTTAAAAAAAAAAATTTTGAAAGCCCGTCAGAATAGTAGTTGTGTGGTTGTACACACGATTCCAATAGTTGTAACCATCTTGCTCACAACTGTAACAGTCGACAACAGTCAAACCCCTTCGTTAATTTTCCCCTGTTTAAACGAAAACTGGTTGCTTAACCGAAGCGCCTTTATTAACATTATTCTAGCCCGCTCCTTGCAAATCAGATGAATGTGCTTATCTTCAGGAAGTGAAAATCATGGATTCATGTACGCCGCTGCCAAGGCGGCAAATGGATTACTTCATTGCGCGCTGGGGAATGGTTACATTAATCAGTCGGCTGATTACGCTGTTATTGCTTTTGACATCAACTGGCTAATCAAAGGGTTTATACTGGATCCCGATTCGCTGCTCAGTTAGTAAAACGACATGTTAGTTTATACCAGTTGCACGGTTCATGTGCCGTGTGCGACATTAAATCGGAAAACTTTGTCAGCGTTGTCTGCAGATCCGTCGACATCAACGCTGACTACGACAGCTTCGCCATCAACAACCTACCGATCATCTTTCACTGTTAACCACACTCGTGTGAACAGCTCTTCACCAACCGAAACGGAACGGTCAGGTACGTATGGGATGGTACTTTAGGTTTCGATATCTTTATCAACTAAGGAAGCTGCTGCTTCTCGGCGCATCTTTGAAGTTTTACACGATCTCCTGTTTCAGAACTAATTTCAAAAAAAGAAAAATAACGCACAAGATTGCTCGTAACGTGTATCTGAATGCATTGCAGCAATAAGTGGTGAAACGGTGGCTGGGATTGCTGCAGGATTTGGAGGCCTAATTTTGTTGGTTGCCCTAGGGGCAGTTTTGTTTCATAAACGGCGCAACCAGCTAAAGGTCAGTAGTGCATTATTCGCAATAGTTGCAACTTGTCCTGACGGCGTGTATACTGTTTTATTGAGCAAGCAAAGGATTACCGACCGGCTATCTGCAAACTGATTCCCGAAGGTGTGGTCGCTTACTATGAAATTCCGCGCTGGTCTGTTGAGCTGCGTACGTGCCCGCTTTCAACCCCATAAAACCGTTTACGTTTTAAAATTATGCGTTTTAAAAACTAAAAACCATAGCAATGAACTGTTGTCTATAAACAGGAGACGTTTGCCTTGGAACAGGGCAATGTGGGAAGGTTTTCAAGGGAGTATTACTTGATAACAAATCGCGCACAGCACAGCTGCGTCGATTATCAGAGAGCCGGTCCGTAGCTGTTAAGATGACCCATGAACAGCAGAGTGACGATACTACTACCCACACAAGTTTTATTGCGGAAATGAGTATTATGATGAAAGTCGGTCGCCATGTGAATATTGTTAACTTGGAGGGTCTTGTTTTAAAAGGTCAGTCGCAGGAGAACGCATGTATAAGTGTAAACTGCACAGCTTGTGTCCATTTTTCGTGATTTGCTTACATTTACAATTTTACATTTATCAGAAAAGCTACTTATGGTAATGGAAAACTGCGAACTTGGATCACTCGAAAGCTACTTACAAAAGGTAAAAGCGGAAGCGATTGATCTCTTGAACTTTGATGTTATGGAGTTACAAAGCTTCGCGCATCAAATATGCCGTGGAATGGAGTTCCTGTCTTTGAAAAGTGTAATTCACCGCGACCTGGCGGCTAGAAATATTCTTCTCAGTGCCACAAAGATTGTCAAAATTGCCGATTTCGGAATGGCAAAAGAACTCCCGGAGTACATCTTGGAAAGGGAAAGGGTCAGCTTGCCATTAGACACAGAATACGTAACTCAGTAGTAAAACGATGCTCTTAAAGCATCTTAAAGCAGCTTAGTCTGGCGACCGCGCAGCTTAGAGCAGCTTACGACTGTTCATACCCAACCTGGGAAATCGAACCCAAGACATACAATCTTAAAGCCAGACGTACTACCAGCAGGCTATGGGCAGATTAACATAAATTTGGTTTTATTATTTTTCCTACAGTAGCCAACTTATTCAGCGTAAGCTGATGAAGATACGTATCTTACCAGGCTAATGGAAAATTTTTTTGGTACATTTTGAAAATTCAGTGTAAGCTGATGAAGATATCTTACCAGGCTAATGGAAAATTTTTTTGGTACATTTTGAAAATTTTATACTTTTTTTGGTTTGATTTTAAGTTGTGCATTAGCTTAACGGTATCCCGTAGCATCTTGCAGCATTATTGTGCATTAGCACCAGCAGCAGCATTGCTCCGTGTACTGATAGCACGACTGTTTCTTCATTTTTATTCGTAGAAGCAGAAGTGTTACGCAGAATAATGCTGCGTCAAATTCTTGTTCGAAAGTAAACCTGTATATTATAGGTTCCGTTGCCGGTGTGCTGGATGGCACCGGAATCCATCATTCCCGGTCGTGGAGTCTTCACCACGCTGAGCGATGTATGGTCATTTGGCGTGGTTCTGTGGGAAATATTCTCCTTGGGCGGTATTCCATATGCTAGTGAGTTTCCTAACGGGATCTTCTACACACAGTTTTGCCAATTCCTTCAAGAAGGTCAACGACTAAGTATACCGGAATTATGCCCAGAATCAATGTAAGAGCCTTCCGGAGCGCGGTCGCCTGACTTTTTACGAATTTTTTACGCCTCTTCTTGACAGCGCGGTACTGATGACAAATTGTTGGTCCTTCCCTGCTGTGGATCGACCTGGTTTTTCCAGTTTAAGGCAAAGTATAGAAGCGCTACTGCCGATCGCGGACAGGAATCGGTATATTGCTTTTGATATGGAAAATGAGAAGCTGAACAACGGCATCAATAGCCTGGCCGATGGTTCCAGCTCAACCGGTTCTTCGCCCAGATTTTTGGCATCTGGTCAAATTGTCGTGAAGATCGATTTACCGGAAACCTCGCATTAGGGCATTTGGCGCTCGATTCTTTGCCATTTTTTTGCCTTGTTTGTAATTCGCGTCTGTCGGATGCAGCCAGTTTTAGGCCATATATAGCAAGCAATAGCTTCCGATCAGCAATTCTAACGTTTAGCACTTTATTCCAGTTTCCTAATAATACGAACCGTAATTATCTTTTAACGTCCTGATCACAAATTAGTTGGTGGCTGGGTTACGTTTATCTGACCGGACCGTCAATATCCATAGCAAATCGCAAGTGAGGGCAGATTTGCAACTAGTATATGCGGGCCACATCGTTTATCAGGGTTTATCAGGGTTATCAGTCAGAAGACAGCGACGAAGTGGATTACATAGTAGACCTTGCACAGGATTATTGGCTGAAGCTACGATGTAAAATTTTGTCAGTACAAATTTACAAAAAAACTGATATGGTTATTGCAGTCCGATAAATTTTGTATGACCTTGCGTTAATCAGAACGGCAATTGTCACTAAAGAATCTAGCAAACGGTTCAGAACATTATTTAACCGTCTGTTAATGTAAGCAGAAAATATTTATTCCCATTAAGCACTAGGACAATTCGATCAGAACAGAATCTGTAGAAGTACAGATCATTTCACTATTCAGTATTGCATTGATGAAGTAAAATATTCACATGGCGTAGACGAATGATCATTGGCCAGATTTCGCAGATCAGGTTGAACACCACGGAAAACATTCACCGGCACCCTATCCAGATTCCAGGGACTCCAGGGTATGAAAGAGCAGAATATTACACGCATCCTCTGTCTACGCTGAAAACACCTTCGCATTCTATCATTCTATTCATTGCATTCTGGTGCCATATGATTCAAAATGAGGAGGCATATGTGTTGGCAGCCAACTGGCAGCCGTAGATGATATTAAATATCATCTACGGTAACAAACCAAGATAAAATTTTTATCTTGGTCTGTTACCAGTTCCTCAATGGTGAATCCGCTGAGTCATTATCGTTACAGTGTTAGGTGTGGGAGTCGCACACCAATTTTTTGGAAAAATGCATTCCGAATAAATACATGTACGATGCGCAGAATCTGGTCTGCTTTTCCAATACAGCACAAAGCGCCATGAACCAAACTAACAAAATGCCCGCTGTTACCAATACAACTTCACCATCATTGATCACACAATCACCATTTTGGGGCATCTTTTCAGTGTCCATTCTCGTCATAACGATTGTCGGAATCTTGTCGAATTTGCTGATCCTGATATTGTTACTAAAATCTAATCCCGGACAAACGCCGTTCAACATGTACCTCATCAATCTGATTTTAGCCAACTTTTTGCATTTTATCACCGCGGCACCTTTGGATCTGAGCACGACATTAATGGGCAACTGGCCGCTAAATTACGCCGCCTGTACATTCTGCCTATACGCCGGCTACATCATCAACGCGGCCATCCCGCACAGCCACATGTTGGTCACCCTCAACCGTATCTGGGCCGTAACCTTTCCTGTCAGCTACCGGCACTATCATACCGGAGCCATGGCTGCCAGCCTTTGCCTGGCTATGTGGCTGTACATTCACGCGCTGCTGCCGCCGCAATTGATTCGTGATGCATTGTATTATCGTTTTCAGCAGAATGTGCCATTTTGCTGGCTGAATGCGGAACATCCGGCACAGTGGCGGCTGGTGCTCTTCACCGAGTTCTGGTGCTACATTGTACCGCAGACCGTAATGTTTACCGGTTATCCGTACATTATGTACAAACGCCGTCGGCGTTTGCAGTTTTCAGCAGAGCGACGGGACGGTACACAGCCTAGCGGGACGACAAACCCTCCTGCGTCAAAGAACCTGGTGGCCGCGCCAGCTAGTCGCCCATCCACCGGCTACAGAGTGCTGACCATCCTGACTTTAACGGCATTTGTCTGTTGGATTCCCAGCATGGTGTACTTCAAACTGAATTTATTGAACGGATATCAGAGTGCTCTTTTCTATCAAGTGGGCGGGACAATGGTGTTACTGCAGGCTGCAGCCGACCCATTGTACATCGCCCTCAGCGTAAAAGGCATTCGTGCAATATTGAAGACCATGATTTGCTGTGGAACATAGTTCTGGCCGTCAGGATCTCAGGTTTCTGCCCGGGCTAAATGAGAAGAAGGCAGTGGTCGAACAGTATCGAGGCAAAGATGGATTTCGAATGCAAGTGGCGGCTTTGCGGACTATGTTTCACCGTCGGGCGTCATACACTTGGCTTTGCTACATGTCGTTGCACCTCTATGTACTTCATATGCCTGTTCAGTGATATTGTATCATGTAACGATGTAGCAAAGTTTTCATGCAAAACATATCGAGTGTATTGTATACAAGACGTATCTGTTGCGATCGACTGCAATATTACTTATCAGTTTTATTAAAATGTCCGGCTGTTGCATAATGTACTGCGCCACAGGCTCATGCAGTGCTGGTTAAGGGCATGCGCGGCACAACCGACAATTTGCTGACCGCTATCTTGCTGACTGTGCACAGAACGAGGTGTTCTACTTCTTGTGGACAGTGAAGTCTGTTTCTTGCTGACATTATTTCGTTATAGGAGCGCACCCTTTTGCCGACTGTACATAACCCACCAAAATAAGAGCATTGTGGAGAAAGGAGAAGAATTTACGCTTTCACAGCTCTGATTTTTGGAATATGCGGACTCCAGGCAGCTACTACATACCAAATGCCAGAAACTGCTAGCGGTTCAGAATATACCAAGGATCACCGTCTAAGTCTTTAAAAGTTAATGGCAACTGGAAACAGAAAACAAGGTCGTATACTCCGGTTCTTTAGACAATGCAGTTATAGTTTACCGACATTTGAAGTATTAGTCACATTTTGGAGTAAAATTAAGATTTCCTCCTTAGAGATGCTTTTATTTTCCAACTGATCCATGATTAGGACGTAAGTTATCATCCCGCCGATTAACTAAAAAGGAATGCAAGGTATTGGGTAATCCCGTAACGAGCACAAAACGCTTGAGCACGGCTCACGTCTCAAACACTTTGTTTCATTACCTTCGCAAGCTGAGCATAGCTAGAGCATTTTGCTAACATTTACAGACGTACAGATATATAATCATTAGTAGTACAAAAGGGTTAGTTAGTTGGGGAATAGGCGAATAGCTAACTTACAGTTGCCACAAACTGACGATTTACAGTGAAGAATCCACCAACTTGAAACGCCACGTTCACCGACCCGACCCGTCTGATGTAAAAATCAAGTATGCGATCGGTATTTGATTCCGGTGCGTCTGCGGCGATATCCCGTAGAGACTCTTTAATTTTATCGGCCTGAAAATTGGCAAAACAATGGATTCGTTTTGATTCGAATGATGCTGCTACGTGTATGATAAAGGTACGGTGGAAAACCTTGGAAACTATGCTTTTGCATTTATTCGCCCAGTTGGAGCATTCACGCAAGCACACCCGGTCTAAACTTGCCTGTTTCCTTACCATTTCGCTGGTCGTCGACTATTTCTGTAGATCTGAATCATCTGATCTCGTAAACGTTGTACTTGTTTGTTAAACGATTTTTAAAAATACAGTTTGACTTCAAAGATTGATTGTTTTTATACTAACTTAACATGCAAAGAAAATTTCGGGCGTAAACAATCGCAGGAGTGAGGAGACAAAAGTAGAGCCTATTCTGTCTTTGGCAAGCCAGAAACTTCGAATTCGACACTATCACGGTATAACGATGCGCGCTTCGAACCACGCTTGATTTTTCTACGCATGACCAAGTTTCGCCTGTTTTTCCGTCAACAGGACCCGGTAAGTAATTTTAAATCCTAATATTACCTGCTCGAGCACGTAAACCAGGGTCCATGTGCCGAAAACAGCGCAAAACACCAGCATTAGAACATTTTGCGGCAGAACAGGTATTCCAAACCTTACTCGATCAATGTACGTAAGCAGCGTAAAAATCTGATGAGCGTAGACCAGCAGCAAGTTGAATGATGACAGTTTGCCCAATTGGCGTACAATCCGGGAAAGATTCACATGATCAGTCACAATGGTCTCAATTTCTGCCACATGTTTTACACCAGTTAACTGGCTGTTCATTCTGCTGAAGCATACTCCAACCGCGAAGCAGACCACCATCGCAATCGACTGAATTAAATAAAACACCAAGTCCATAATGAACTGATTGACCAGTTGAAGGTTATTAAACAAATGCAGAGCAAGCGACGTTACTGGCAGTCGATACAGTTGTCCAAGAAAGTGTAAAGATCTAATACTCCCTGTACTGCTCCAAAGGGTGGCAATCAAGTAACCGGCACCGAACGTGGTGCATGTGTGGATGAATAAGGTAAATAAAATGATGACAGTTTTATCGCGCAGCTGCAGGTACTTTGTGCAGTACGGTCCCGTTTGACGAATGGCTGCTACGTAGTTAGCATAGACACAGTGGAAGTGTACTACGCTAAGGAAGCGAGTAACTGTCCGCTGGAGATCGGTGATGAAGTTTAGGAGCGCGCCATTCTCAGTGTTGAATTGTGACAGCGAAATTCTCATGTAAAATGAACCAATCGTGCCGACGCAGTAAGGTGCTAACAAGCTTATTGCCCACATTAAACGTAAACCTTTCCATACCCGGGGGAGATTTCCTGTGCCCGATTTTCGCAAACCGGAGAGGATGCCATATCCTGCCATGGTACAAAAGGCCAACCATGGTTGTACCAGTTTTTCGAGAAATGTTAAAGCATGCGTAAAATGCACTAAACGGGCAAGCATGTTATGCCAGTTGTGCGAATCTGCCCATAGAAAAGCGATACCTTTCAGCAATAAACGAAAAGCTACTAGAACCCCGGATGATGACGGCTAATGGTTAATTTTGGAATTAAAGTAGTTTGCGCTGGAATCAGAATAGAAAACCAGAATTTTATTGCTGGGCAATCCGGCAGTGCGCCAATATAATTTAGCAAATGTCCTTATGTACATTGATTTTGCTAAAGCCTTCACATGCGCCATTAAAATTTATACGTACTCGTAAAACAGATTATGAAAGTATGTAGCTTTGCCTAATGTCGGTTACAGAGACGCAGAATAAGCAATATCACTACTGTAGTGTCTACTGAAGTACGCACGAAGGCTGACAGAGCTAACAAGTAACTGCACTGGTACCAGAAAAATCTGATCGTTCTTCCATGAGCGGCTGATTGAAGGACTCTATAACTCTCGTGAGAGCTTGCGTTGTGTTTATACAATTCTGTAGCATAGCTTCTACACAGTCTACTCTACACAGAACTCAGAAATTAAAAATGCTTGTTAAAGGCAATGTTATGCTAGAAAGGTTATACAACTCAGAGGTTTGGTCTGTCGGCACTGAATACCTCTTGCAACTCCTGCTTATAAAGCTCCTTGACAACCTTTTAAACTGGAGTACAACAGTCTCATGAGAGCTCGAGTTGTTATTTTTGTTTCGATAGCCTCAACTGATAACTTCTGCTTTAAAGCTTCCCGATATCACAACCTTTCCAAGATTCGTCTGACAGTAAGCGTACGCAGATGCATAATTGTACTCGGTATCCTCTGGTTTGTTTTCTCGGTGCATACTTTTTTGGCAACAGAATAAGCAAATATATATGTATTCAGATATCGCCGTGCGGCATTAGATTTGCTCTACATATCGGAACAGAGGCAGCCGACACCCGGTCAGGACTTACCGCACCGTGCGTTAAATTTTTCGAGATTAAACGAAACTTTTATTCTGGCATAAATTTCGCTACGATTCAATACAGCTTTATTGTCTGTATTGTCTTGCGTATACTATCGCTGTTGATTAGTGATATCTGTGCAATCTGCGTCACATCAGTTAATAATATAATAATATAAGAACCGGTAGTAAGTACCGTAGTGTACCTATTTGAGCTACTGCAACGTAAGTATATCTTGGGAAAGAACAGCTACAGTTTGCAGCTATCAAAGCTTGTTGGTGTCACGCGTGCCAGGCGAGAGACTGCGGCAATCAATGACAGATAATATTATGTACACTACAGGTTCATGATTTCATCAGACTCACCTAAAGGCAGGCGCTAATCCAACAAGGTAGCCAAACACTTCCGCTAGAGCCCTGCACGAGCAGCAAAAGTGCTGCTCAACTCGCTCGTTTCTGCTTTTTTAAACTTCCTGCTCGCTCAACTCGCTCGCTCCCAAACCGCCGCTCGCTCAACTCGCTCGTTTTCCAATTTTTCTTTGTTTCCGCTCGCTCAACTCGCTCGTAATTTTATTTTGGCAAATCGGCTCGCTCGTGAGATCGGCAAAAATTTACGTAATTTACGTATCAATTTTTTTGCACGAATTACTTATACCAAACGTTTCACCAACACAAAGACTCAGTAAGTGTAATTGGATGTTCAGAGACAGTCACTTATATCTCCATACTGGTAGTCCGTTTCATTACAGTTTTTCATTTTTTCGCTAATACATTTCTCTAATTTTCAACTGGATGTAGTTTTCTTAATTTAGCCTGAAATAAATACATAATTATAATAGAATGCTAAAAAATTAAAATGCACCTTTCTCAGGAAGCATTCAACTGATTCATAAACCCGTCAAATAATGTTTTTGTTATCTACGAGTACAAAATATCAAAGGTTAGTCCTGAGTCCCAACCGGTCTAGGAAAGTTAGGAAATCACTTCGCGCGAAGCGCGAAGGTGACGGTCGTTTAAGACCTTTTCAGGTCGGTCAATATAATTTTGTACTAGAAACTTCTCCAGTTCGCACAATGTAAGCCTGTAGGCTCGCGATCGCTCGCACCTGACCATCCCGCTCGCTCGGCTCGCTCGCAATTTTTTTTCTATTGCTCAGCTCGTTTGCAAATTCGCAAAACGACGCCTGCTCGCTCGAAGTGCTCGCGAGCGCCGAGCGCTCGTGAGCCGAGCCGAGCGGCTCGGCTCGTGCAGGGCTCTAACTTCCGCTACGCCAAACTAATACGGGTAAATAGATCCGGTATGATATCGCGCTACTTTGACAGAAGGAAGTGATAATGCTGATTACTCCGGGCTCACAAGAGCGCCCTCTGACTAGCTTAAAATAATATTGCATAAGACCGTAAGAGTCCATAAGCAAGCAGAAACCATCAGATGCCGGAAAGTTTACCGTGCTAGTAAATTTTGAGACTACGAAGCCAGCTAACCATGAAAGAAGAAAACTGCACCGACATGCATATCGTGCGCAGGTCAGAATGGAGTTTATATAGAGCGGCCGATGGACTGCCGGCGTTGCCGTTACCGACGGACTACATGGTGTATACGCATACCTTTGGAACAGCATGTTTTGACCGCGATTCCTGCGTGTCGATCATCCGAGAAATTCAGAATTATCACATGGCCAAGGCTTTCAATTATTCCGAAATAGGCTACAAGTATGTAATGATTCTTTTGACTGTAGTGTAGCAGGGACTGGTACCAGTGCACCTAATAAATGCATGGACTTCCATATAAGTTTGTTGTTTTATAGTTTTCTAATTGGAGGAGACGGGATAGTGTACGAAGGACGTGGTTGGCATACCAAAGGAGTTTTCAAAGCTGACATCCATCGTGATGGGATTGGAGTGGCATTCATCGGAAAGTTATCCTCTGAAGGTAGTAACATCTGCGCCGTTTTGCAAAAACAATTGTAAAAATCGCATTGTACAGCCCTGCTCAGCCAAGTTGGGGGAGTTTAGTTAAATAATTTATACATTATCTGTATACACTGTTTTGTTTCTTATTTGCAGTTTTCTAGTGTAACTTTTTACTGCAAATTCGTTTATTTCAAAACCGGTACCCTTCGGTGTGCCAGTAGGGAGCCGAGCACTGGTTAAGGGGGTTGGGTAGTGGTCACTTTTAGGATGTTTACAACTGTCCCTCTGTAGAACACACCAGCAGATATATTTACGAGAGATTTTTTGGAAACTGTTCAGTGAACCAAAGACTGTCAGGTATGCGGTAACAAAAAAATCTAGCGCAACCAGTGCTCGAGCTACCCACGAAACAACGTGCACCTGCCATAGGCTTCTATGTTAAGAAGTACCTGTTGAAGAATGCGGTTGCCAAGCGCACAGACCTAGGTAACTTCAAGTTGATTTTATCCATGGGTAAAACATGGATCATGTAAAGGATTTTCATGTTACGGCGGTCATAAATTTCCCAGACGGAGAAACAGGATGACCGGAGGAACAGAAGAAAAGAAATTTTAAACACGACTACTGCTACCAAGTTGGGTGGGTTGAGCCGCTTTTTTTCTCTGGCCTACTCTGATTATGACTTCACTATTATCCGGCAAGCGTTCTCAAAGTAAAACCTCCAAGCGCAAAAGACGTCGGAGACCCACGGGAACCAAGAAAAAATTAAATAAGAAAGTATTTTATGACGGCTGACCAATGCTAATTTTTTGAAAAAACTGCCCCAACTTGGCTGAGCAGGGCTGTAATTAAGCTTGTTTAAAAGCATATTCCTCAGAGATATGGTATCAACGGGCGAAATTTTTTGCCCTTGTTTGTAGGAGACTGCAACGGATTTACGTATGCTGCGGCGGCCTCAGCACATAAGTTACTGAACTGTGCGATCGGCAACGGGTTTTTACGTACACAAAACCAGTCAGGATCGGTGCTGCCGTTATTAATAAATCCATCTCTGAAGGAATATATTCTCAATCCAGCAGCCTTAAGATGTACGGTTCTTATATCTTGAGCTTACAAGCATAAATAAAGCATGACATTCATAAGAAACGTATGGATCTTGGCTTACTAGTAACATCACGCTAGGCACGTTCGTATGGTAATCAGTCCGATGCTTATTTAACAAGGTTCGACATTTTTTTAACCTCTACGTACTTTTGCCTCTATGTACTTACGAACTGTACCCCAAACTTTTAACCAAATTTCCTAGATGGAAACCCAGCATGTTCAGAAGCGGTTATCAGCAGAGAGGTTTCTAGTTCGCATCAGTTTCAAAGTAGGGTTGCTTTCCGCTCAAGTTTCTTGAAAATATATGCTCAGGTGTTGCCTTTTATACGCTTTAGCATTTCCCAACGTTGCTGGATTCTCCGCTGGAATCATTCTGCCAGTATTTTTACTGGCGCTGCTCGCATTTGCCGGTCATAGGTACCGAAACAGACTAAAGGTGCGTTAAAATCACACTCCGTAAAGATCACGTTGCTAAAGATCACAATTATGAAAACGGGTAGCGTGATAGAATTATGATTATTGAATACGAGGGGATGACAATGGTCTCCCTCCCTTACTACCGTCACCTGGCTGAAGGATGACGTTTTATGTGATCATACTATAGTGCTTATGTAGCGCGCCAGATTTAGCCGTATGTCCTGCAGCAACGTTTTTCTCCAGTCAGGTACTGACGATAGCAAGTGCGAGAATTGCCGTTAACATTCCCTCGTATGTACAGTAGGCACTAAAAGTTGCATCTTTTTCTTTAGAGCAGAGTAGACCATCTCTATGCCATACAGAAATTAATCCCCAAGCATGTCGTCATGTACTATGATCGGCCGCGGTAGTCAGTACATTTAGGTGGGTTGGTTATCTGTTGTCGTCAGAACATATTCCGGTACCTCTATTTGTGGATTCAAATAATAATATATTTCGCAGAGAATATCTGCCTGGGTGTGGGACAGTACGGGCAGGTGTACAGAGGAACCTTATCAGATGGTGTTGTCTCGAGGTCATTCTACAAAGCAAGTAGGCGACGTGTGGTGGCAGTCAAAATCATGCACAGAACACTGCGTTGTAGCAATCGAAGAACCGAAGACTTTTTGAGAGAAATGAGTGTTCTCATGAAAGCTGGACGGCACACGGATATCGTTAATTTGGAGGGCGTTGTCCTCACAGGCAAGTAGTACTCCATTTGGAAAGCAGCATAAAGCGTAGTACAATTTTAGCGAAGTAGCGTACAGCATAGACAGCTTTTGGGCATTCGGTTATTTTTTACCGATATGTTGTGTTAGATACATTGATGATCATGATGGAATACTGCGCTCTCGGATCGTTGGATGTATGGCTTAGGGAGCTAAAACCCGGGAACGTTAGATCTACTGCAGATATCTGTTGCGAAAAGAACAGTGAACTAACGCATATCGCATATCAAATCAGTCGAGGAATGGAGTATCTTTCTTCCAAAAGTATTATTCATCGTGATTTGGCCGCACGTAACATATTGTTGGATGCCGAACAGACAGTTAAGATTGCTGATTTCGGCATGGCACGACAGCAAACCGAATATATCTTACTTCGTCAGGTATTTGATATTTGGCTGTACAGAATACATACTTGATGTTGGGACCTTTGCACTAATTATAGATTCCACTACCAGTCTGTTGGATGGCACCGGAGTCCATTATACCTGGACGCGGAGTTTTCACGCCCCGCAGTGACGTGTGGGCCTTTGGGGTCGTTCTGTGGGAATTGTTCACTCTAGGCGATATCCCTTACGCCAAGGAATTCCCTAGTGGATTAAATTACGAGCAGTTTGTAACATTTCTCTCCCGAGGAAATCGGTTGCAGATCCCGGCTTCCTGTCCAGAAGCAATGTAAGCTGCTTCTGTTTAGCGCATAACTGTTTTCTAAGTATAGTAACGCGCTATGCGTAGTTTGCGCGTATTACATACGTGTTATGACGTACGTGTTGTGTATTCTGTTACGTACGATTTGCTGTTCTTATCTAACGGATTTGATCGCTAATTCCATCCATGATTCTGGTTTAATGAATCAGTCTGAAGTTTCTAACTTCAACTAAATCTGTGAGCTTGTTTCTAGCTGAAAGGTCGTGTGACTCTAGGTTAGAAGGAAGTTCATATCTCGCTCTGTTCTGTTTGCTTGGTCGTTCGGTTTGGTGATTAAACATTTTGGAAGTTCCTGAGTGTTTCGGTTTCGGTAACTTTCGTTAGGCACAGCAATCCGCTCGTACCTAGCGGAAGTAGGCAGTAGTTCCACTTACGGAGTCCAGAGCATATTCCCACTCTACCGATTGAGTAGGTTTGGTCATCTAGTGCGGTTGTCGCGGTGCGACTTCCGCATAGCATGTCAATAGTTATTCTATATCTACCTACTGCTTCGTTTCAGCACGACCTTAAATGAATGATTGTTGGGATTTCCAACCAGACAGCAGACCGGATTTCACGTATCTACGAAGCCATTTTGAGATGTACTACCCAACGTGCAAATCTCTATACATAAAACTGGATCATGAAAATAACATGCTGAATAAGACTCTGATAATTCCCACAAACTTTTCGTCTGCTTAAATTTATGTCATGCAAGTCATCTGTGGGGTGATTCAAAAACAATGGACTTCATTAACTGTCCTGACAAAAATTTTTTTAAGGAAAGTAAATCCATACGAACTACTTTCGGCAGTCCTATGTCTTGGAACAGAAGCCAAATGAACACTCATGCTTGGGGGGAATTAAAGGATTGTACAGCTGTTAACGTCCTGGTAGCAAACCTGTAGATTTAAACAGATTCAGAACTAATACTCTGCCCTCGTACTTGATATCATTTTTGCGTTGTTTAATGTTATTACCTTGACGTCTTTGAAGCCGGGAGAATAGGCTGACAGCCCAACTCCCGGCGTAACCGAGAATCGCAGCATTTGGCAGCAGGTGCCACTTACGGCGCCTGTAACGGGATCGGTCGAAACAGTGCTGCCGCTGGCACACACCGGTAGACCTCCATTGTTTCCGGCACCGTAGACACCAGTGGTCGCGGTAGCTGGCAAACCGGCTATTATGTTCATGTTACTAATCCACACGCCGGGATCATCGGAGCCAGGAAGAGCGGTAGGAGAATTTATGTATGCCCCAATTTGCCCCCACAGCTGTGCCGCTTGGAGCTCCCATACCGCTTATTGGATATGCATCAGATGCCAAGTCCCAAATTAGCGGAAAACCAGGCGGGGCGTTTGTGACCTGGAAACCGAACAGAATCACGTTGAACAAGGACTACATGACGTTTAATGAATGTATAGGAAGATCACAACGTACCGCGCATGTCAGCTGAGGATATGTGTTGTACGGTCTTCCGGAAGGATCAGTTCCAGGAGGGTAGCCGACACACACCGATGCGCTATCCGGGCACTGTAAAAAAAGGGGCGTTGATCCAGCTGGGGTGGATGTTGTGACTTGGCACGGCGCATATCGGAACTGCAATGCAAATTTATTGTTATAACTTTGATTTTGGTTGTTTTTTTAAGGGAAGTGGCCCGGTACATGGTACCAAATTCGTGTACATGCACGAAATCTTTCACTTTCGCGCACTCCCAAAACCTTTTTTCTCTTGTTTTATGACATTCGGTAGCCAGATGATTTGTATACACTGGCGTGAAAGCCGTTTGTGCGCGCAACATCCGGTTCGAGAGTTATGGCTGTTAGAAATTTCCAAAAAGTTAAAATGCATTCCGGTGTCCCAAAAGTCTCATTATGGACCGATCTCTTTCAGATTTTGCATGTAATTGCACATGGCCATGAAGATCGTTTTTACACCGATCCAGACTTCCATGATTTTTTTTTTAAATTTTAAAATGAATTTTAAAATTTTTGAAATTCATTTTAAAATTTGAAAAAGATGCTAGAACAGTGGATCGGTGTAAAAACGATCTTCATGGCCATGTGCAATTACGTGCAAAATTCGAAGGAGATCGGTCCATAATGAGACTTTTGGTACACAGGAATGCGTTTAAACTTTTTGGAATTTTCTAACAGCCATAACTCTCGAACCGGATCTTGCGCGCATAAACGGTTTTCACGCCAGTGTATACAAATCATATGGCTACCGAATGTCATAAAACAAGAGAAAAATGGGTTTGGGAGTGCGCGAAAGCGAAAGATTTCGTACATGTACACGAATTTGGTACCGTATACCGGCCCACTTCCCTTAAGTTTTAAGCCATTTAAATAGTGCATACGTGTTGTTATGAATATTCAGAATATTGTTAATAAAAACTACGATCGGTTACAACTACAAGCGATTTGCAATTCTTATGGCTTATAGACGAGTTCATGCTCAAATAAGTACCGTAATAAAGATGGGCTGTGAGGCTGCGCGACTCTGCGTGCCGATGGCGGTGAAAGCGACTGTCTGTACCATTCCATTGGCCGGCGCGGTACCGTCATAGAATATTGTAGCGATAGAAATTAGATGTACCGCCAGTAGGAGTGTTAATTGCTTTTCTCTACTGATTATTGGTTGTTATGTTATGAAGATCAGAATCCTAGTTTTCCTACTTTTACCGACCGCATCTCACGGTCAGAAACATCTTGAAATTAGTCTTGCTGCAGCTTGCTCTGAATCTTGCCCCTGTGCTTATGCACTTCTTGCTAATGCGCTTCCCGTGCTTCTTGCTCCCGTGCTTATGCACTTCTTGCTCCTCAGCTTGCGTTGCTCGCTGATTCTTGCTACGTTGTACTTGCTAATAAACACCTGCGATGACCTTGTGTTGTGTTGCGTAATCGCTATGGGATGATCGTGCATCTCCCATCATTGCCACCATGTAAACGGTAGTCAACTTCCGGTCAGCATCGCTGCCGACCGTGCCAGCCTTTCCCACTAACAGCCGACAGATCGTGGTAAGGTGGATTAACCAACCCACTAGAACAGCAGTCAAACCGGCTGCTGTTACAATATCTGCTCCGAAGCGGAATTGGAATTGACATACACGTGTCCGCTGGCTGTTAAATATTCATCGTTCGAAGATGATACAAGGTGTTGCTGATATTCATACGTCTGAGGACCGCATGTATCATTCAGTACCTGCACGATAAAGAGAACAACGCTTATAAATAGCATAGAAATGGGAAAATTTCCTGCATTTACGTTTAGAAATACGGCCGGCAGCGATCCAGTGCCAGTGCCCCAACACGGCACATCGACGACATAATTTATGGGACTGAGAAGAATGCTGCACTGCTTTGCATTTTGGCACTAGCATCCAGAGTTGGTGCACGGATTGGGTGGGTTTGGTGGACAGCCACCACCGCAAGGTGGCGACGCGTATCCGGGAGGGACAAAGTAGGGATCAAGCCATCCGGGATGGGCCTGTACAGCCGATAGGCTAATGACCAATATTGCACCGATAAAATTAAAGTGACCTTTATGAAACATTATGAATCTGACGTGCGTAATGTGCGTAATCCTGGCTCTAGACCTGTAAGCCAATTTAGCTCAAGGAAACGTTTAATCGTGTGGTTGTACTCGTATCTAGCGTTAATGCAACAGAAATTCTACAGGTAACAAGAAGATATTTTAATCAAGACAAGAAGCAAGATCGCACGTTTTTATTCAACATTGTGGTCAGTCGTACTGTTTCCGAAATCGTCGTTAGGGCGTTTATTCAATAATTTTTATTACGGTTGTACACAATGGTTTCTGCCGATATCCAAGCTTGTAAAATCGCGAAATGGTTTCCCAACCAGACGGTAATAAATTTTTATCTACTTGAGGCGCCTTCTTTACAGCCTCGGCGGGAGTCATACACGAGATCCAGAGATTTTAAGAGTTAAACTAACGCTTTTAACAACACACTTTGCGAGTTCTTCATAAGTGTCTTAGAAGACATAAACGGCTTCCTCAAGCAAACAACTCTCTTACTTCTTCCGGTCACATTTTATTGTTGAATTGACTATATTATTTTGTGGATTTTCAAACTACTGTAGTTATTTTCTGCGTTTTTTGTTGGTTTGTAATGTTTGCCACCCTTTTTTATTTCTTTTCCGTTGAATCTCGAATCTCCATAGCCAAGAAACTAACGAGAAAAAGCCAAATTTGCAATATTTATGGCGTGCTTAAATATTTGTGCTCCCATCACCATTTCCAAACACAAATACACTAAATTACAACCAAGTTTGAAATTGTGGAAGCACCAGTTTCAGTTGTGTCTGCAGTCGCAGATAACAGTTGCAGTTGCTAAACGATGGTGCAGGTGGCCCAGTCTTGGTAGCATACCTATCAGAAAATCTTTTTAATTGATTTTTTAAAAACGTTTTGCAGCTTTTTATAACGGAAACATCCGTTAAGCATGGCACTAATATTGTAAAACTGTTATAAGACTTTTGTATTGTACCTTAACGTCCTGATACCCGGCGGTGTACGGTGTGATCATTACGCCCGGCGACACCGAGAAGCGCAAGGTCTGACAGCAGTTACCGGTGACCATGCCTGTCACTGGATCTGTGCTGGTGGTGATAGGTGTAACACCAGGGCACGGCAGAGCACCGTTATTACTCGCACCATATATGCCGACCGTACTCGTGCTGGCAAGACCGGCGATGGGGTTCATACTACTGATAAAGACGTTCGGTTCATCTGAACCAGGAAGAACAGCCGGAGAATTGATGTTCCAGTTCTCTCCTGGACCGAGACCATTTGGTGCACCGAAGCCGCTGACTGGTGCCGCGTTAGATGCCAGATCAAAAACCAGCGGGAAGAGCGGAGGTGCATTGCTGACCTGTGCAACCAGAGACAATCACAATCAATCCATCATAAAATGTTATCATTTACTGCGGTTAGTATGGCATGTGGCTGGTGATAAGCGTACAACGAACTTACGGAGCATGTCAGCTGCGGATACGAATTGTACGTTCTCCCGGATGGATCAGTGCCTGGAGGATACCCGGGGCACACCGAAGCGCTCGTAGGACATTGCAAAATAAGCGCGGTTTGCCCAGGAGAGGATGTGGTCGTTGATCCCATACATGCCGCAAATCGGAACTGAAAACCGTGAAGTTGTATGCTATTCGATGCATTTATTATTTAATTAACAGTTGTACCATTAATTTTGTCTCTTATAAAGGTACAATTCCTAGCTAAAAACATCATCAGAATCGCAGACGATAATTAGTATACCGGTTTTGAGTTGAATTTGTCCGTGTTGAATTCTGAGTGGAATTGGATGCATCCAATTCACGTATCATGCATATACATGATACGTATTGTAAATTGTTAGTAGGTTGTATATGAGTACCGTTATGAAGATGGTCTGCGATGCAACACGGTTTTGTGTGCCAACAGCGGTGAATGCAATCGTCTGGACCAATGTGCTCGACAGCGCAGAGGGGTTGTAAAATATCTGCTCGTTGCCAGTGTTTCCGGTTACATAAGCGTATGGCGTAATGATGTCATCATCGGATGAGGACACGAGATGCTGTTGGTAGTCATATGTCTGCGGTCCGCAGGTGTCGTTAAAAACCTTAACACAAAACAAATAAAACGATATGTATAGTAAGCTATACTGTAATTTGCATTAGGGCTTTCTAGGTTCTTTACGCTGACGATGGTGGCAGGGGATGAACCTTGTCCTTGAGCAAAACACGGCACTTCCACCGTCCATGGAATTTGATTCAGCAAAATGGAACAGTGTTTCGAATTTTGGCACTGGCATCCCGGATTGGGGCAGGGATTGGGCGGAGGAGGTGGGCATCCGCCACCGCAGGGCGGCGACGGAAATGGCAGGTACGGCACCGGCGGAAAGTATGGCTCCAGCCATCCCGGAAAGGCTTGCACCACTCCGAGACAGCTCATACCCAGGCAGAGAAGAGCGAGACAACCTTTAAAAATCATTTTTCTAAATGGAAGACGGAGCAAGGCCATATTAACAAACTAGTGCAAAAATTGGGTGCAGGACAGTTCTCGTAATATATACCCGTGCGTGCGTCGTTGATGGTTTCTTGTGGGAGTTTTATTGCATATTTAGCCTTGGCATATTTACAGTATATTTAGTGTTCTTTTAAACGTAACTGTAAGCATGATATTTGTGGTAATTTTTATCGTTGGCGTCTACTTGATGGGCAATAACACCAGACCAAAGATGACGCTTTCTTCCAATGTCACAATAGAAAGATTTTTGTCAACATTACCGGAAGTTTCTGAGGCACTTGCCACAGCACGAGAGCAATGAAAAAGTCATTGATACCTAGAGTAGGAATTTAACGGTTGCCATACGTCTGGGATTTATGAGTGTAAATGTACACACGCGTTTACGTTATACGGCATATTAAAATAACAGAATTATGGAATGCCGTATAATCCAACGCAGCTGCATGCTACAAAAATTGGAATCGATTAATTCGAATAATTTAGGCCATGTCTGAACTGGAATCTTAGCGTAAACTGAATTAAATTCATGATAATTAAGTACTGTACGGTAGAATACTTAACTAACGTGCTGTAAAGAAATTAGCTGAAATAAAGGAGCTAAACGTAGACTATGTACAGGCCGGGCTCCAACTTTTCGGAGGAAAATGAAGAGATGGCTTTGATATACTTTGTACTTGGGGAAGTGTGCACGTGATTGACCGCCACCTCTGCCTTAACTTGCAACACTTCTTGCAAATGCCAAAATAGACAGATTTTGTCAACATTGCCGGAAGATTTTGAGGCACCGGTCAACGCTTATTGTCCAGTCAAGTTTCGCTCCTTCTGCTCTTTTCTTCGTCCAGTACTGCCGAGTGAGCAAAAACAGAATTATTATTTTTTTCTAATCTCACGTAAGCGTTCTTTGGCACAAAAGTTAGGCTTGTTTTGCTTTTTGGTGCTGCCAGCGTGTGGTGTCAGGGCGGGCTTATGATTCAGCCCTTCTCTCATTGGTTGGTTTTGGGTTTTTTCCTGTCTGGGCATTTGCATGCGCTTTGATGGCTCTATAAGGCAGCTGCGCTGCCTACAGAGACAAGTGGGTTCTTGGCTTGCGCGCAAAGCGCGGTGTGTGTCAGATTTCGGCATTAAAGCCTTCATCCGGGTTTGCTTTTGTTTCGCCGTCGATGGTCGATGCGCGCCTAGTCAGCGCCATCTGATAGTGGTTTTGATAAACGGAATATTGTTGCGACATTGTGCGCTAGGTGCGTGCTATAACTATTTTAGTAATATTTTCATTCTAGCAGTTCTTGCAACAACATACATTTGGTTTAAAAAACACTTTGTAATGGCCTTGAAGTGGATAATATCTACATATTATATTTGAAAAGCCGATACATAAAATATCAAGAACTGCATCGCCAGCATTAGAAAAAGGTTAATAAATATTAACTGATTATTTCACCTGACCGTACCAGACCACCGTCGGTTTATACGGTATCCTCCCATTTCGCCAAACCGGACATTTCGCCAACCGGGCATTTCGCCAATGGGATATTTCGCCAACAATATTTTTTTATTTTCTTGGGTTTTCTTAGTCTTCTTAGATTTCTTAGGTTTCTTAGGGTTTCTTAGGGTTCTTAGGTTTACTTAGGTACGTTTATAAGGTTTTCTTAGGCTTCTTAGATTCCTTATTTTTCTTATGATTCTTAGGTTTTGTCTCATGTTATGATTTCGATTTTAACTGTTTCTGATAATTTTGATTCGAAGTGCTGACATAGCGAAATGTCCCGTTGGCGAAATGGGGTGGTAGGTGAATTTTCTACGGAAAATGGTGTTAGTGCGGATTTTGTTCAGCCTGAAAAGTGTGCGCAATAGACGTTGTAAAAAATTTGGTAATTTCAACTGTCAGCTGTCATTCGACATACTCACTTACAGTAAAGCGTGTTTGAAGAATCGCTCAGTTCAGCCTTCGCTCAGTTCAGCCTTCGTTACTTCACATATATGTGCAATGTGCGACGAACCGACGTTACGAATGCCTCGTCTACGCACTGGAATCCAACTAAAAAATTAATAATCATAATCGTAGAAGATGGCATTTACACAGTTCGACGCGGCATCCGTATTAACTGTAATCAGAGAGATGATAACTGTATCTTAATAATTCTTTCCGTCGGAGCACAGAAACTGCGTCAGGGTTGTGCGTCAAAGACGAAAATCGTTTTCGTGGACATATGCCAGAAGGGTATACTACCGATTTCAGTGTTAATACAGAGAATGCAGGCTATGGACATGTTCCAATTGGTATTACGCAGCTGCTGTACTCCTGATGAAAACATGACAGTCAGCCCACATGGCATGGAAGTGGCTTTGGCGGCCATACTGCCCGGGACAGATGGGATTCTACGCACAACCCTGACGAAATTTCTGTGCTCCGACGGAAAGAATTATGATGCCGACGTTACAACCCTGACGTTACGAATGCCGACGTTACGAATGCTTCAAACGTGCGACAAACCGAAGTCTGTGGGGGCCTTCTACGTGAATCAAGTAGTTTTAACAGATCACAGAACGCTGCCGCTGACTGAATGATACTTTGTTCATTAGAAACGGACTCTGGAAAAGGCCCTATGGAATATGGAGCGACATGACATCAATGAACGGATCTTTGCAAATTGCACTTGAACTGTGGTTTTTACGACGGACGAATAAGGCTATTAAATTGGATAAAACTGAGGTAACGCTGTCAGCGCTACCGATGCATATCATTACGGAAACCATCGGATTACTCGCCAGCCTAAAGAAGTTGAAACTTCGCGTGTTTGTGGACTGTGGAAATATTTAGTGGATACTACGATTGGCCAAGAAATGGATTTTCTGGTTTAAGCCCTCGCCCTCTATCCCACCGGAAGCATACTACGCACTACGGACTTAACTTGTGCTAACAAGTAGCACTTTGGTACGCTGCGCATTGTCAAGATATTGGGTTTTTTAACTTCGCGAATGCATCAAAATGTACGGCAGACACATTTTTTTATAATTCAATGATGGCGTACTAGGTGTTCAATATAAAATTTTCGTGAAATGTTCGCCATACGCTAGCTGCTAGTTGACTACAACGCCTCAAATAACATAATACTGGGTTGGTATGGCTTAAGCCATGTTTACCCGGTAAGCGCTACTGCAAAGTTCACTGTAAACTGCCGCACTTTAGCCACGCCCCAGCCTTTAGCCACGCCCCAACGCGTTAAACCAGAAAATCCATTCGGGTGTCGCGAGTGCACACTATGTTATTGTGCAGAAGTGGAATTTTAATCAATTTTATTGCTGATTTTACTGCCATTGCACCATTTGTGGACCCGTTTATCCACGTAGAAGCGCATAAGGGGGACAGCATGGCGACAGGTTCTGGATTGAGTTTATTGACGCAATAGCTGCAGACAGCGACCGATGAAGTACTGTAGTAAGAACTTAATTTAATACTTCTGTTGAAGTTAACTGAATTTTGAGGTGAATTTTGTACAGTTTTGTAAACTGCCGCAGTTGCAAAAGATCTGAGATGATTGTTAAAGTCAATTTGTACTTCAGCATTACATCATTATGTGGCCAGCATTAGATCATTATGACACAGTGTCATTATCTCATGGCGTTTTCCAAGAGGAACACGGGTCGGTGCAGACTATGCAGTCCCCGTCGTTAAACAGTATTCCAGAGACTGAAGTTGAAGAGCACCTACTTGTTATGGAGACAACCTCTTTGGGCTATGCCACTGATGGTAAGTAGACTTACAATTATGACGGTATTTATAGCAACAATACTTCTCGAGCATTCTAATAAATACTCGTAGGCTCGTACGTAACCAAATTACAATAGCATTCTGTACATTGTAAATGTTCGCTTTCTAAAACAGTCGGTCTGATTTATGTATTGCTACTCGTCATTCTAGCTATTGCAGATTAATTAAAATTTATCGCGCTCCTTGATGTACACTACGATAAACGCTAGGAAAGCTATTTGCAGGGAAACAAGAGACCTGCTGTGCCGTTAGTTTGAAATCCCCATGCGCAATGAATTACGGCGTCCTTACTTGCGATTTGTGCAGAAAATTTTTCAGGACAAACTGCAACAAGCTGGTGAGTGTATGGCTTTCATGCATTTATAACACTGTTGGTACCTGTCTTATTTAGAAACTGAAATGCAAAGGAAGAAAAGGCGACTGTGTGGTGCAAAATGTTTACCAGCCATGCAGTTCGTGTCGTATGAAGAAGTGTCGGGCACTTGGTATGGACCTTTTGGCTAAACGAAAAGTACACCAACAACTGGACCGCGCTACCCTTGAATCGAGGCTCATCAGTTTGCGGAATCATCGAACTCCCAATGTTTATGTACTGAAGGCTGTCAAGGCTGTTGTTCGCAAGTGCGAAAGTGCGGAGGACGTGAACAAACTACTTTACGCAGTGGAAAACGGAGAAGTGGAGGAGACAGAATGTGTGCGGTTTCCACACAAGTCCATTAAGGTAACAAATAATATTTTTAATTCAGATGTTTTGAGTTTTACATTTATTTGTATTTAATTTTATTTTCGTTTCACATTTATGACTGTTTAGATCGACAAACATGAACATCTTAGTCATGTGCTTGTGGCTAAAGCGTTTCGCTGGAACCGAGTCAGTGAAGATAAAGTCGTTTCTTCGCACAGCTGCAAAGTCAATCCCGGATATGTGTGCATTAATCCGTACCATTACCGCAAGAAGAAGCAAGGACCAGCTGGAACTGTTTGCGTTGTTACTAACTGCAACTTTTCTACAGTAATAAATCCCACTGTTGGATTTTTTCGACTGCCGGACAGAGAAAAAAGCAGAGAGCGGTATCTGAAATTTTTCTCCGCGTGTGCCCGACAAGATTTGGACAAATCGGGTTTCAGGAAGCATCACCGAATCTGCGGAAGGCACTTTTTGGAATCGGACTTTAAGTTTTTCTTTTGTTCTAATATCAGGGATAGCGACGGTCTATTCAGAGAAATTAACTAATATTAAACTTTCAGGAAATGAAGCAAGCTTTGTCAGAGTTGCAGCCGTCTTCTAACAGGAGAAAATCTTTGCCAAAACCTACATGGACTGGTCTGCACGTTACGGTATACGGGTCCGAAGAAGTGGCCAGGCGACTTTTAAATTCAGGGTTCCAGTTTGTTCTCCCCGGTAAAATGACCAGTGACCCAATAGAGGTAATTAAAAACAAGAAAGCCAGTTTTTGTTTCATCTTGTCAAGACGGCTGTTTCAGTGTATATGCATTTATTTATATATCATTATGTAATACGTATGTAATACTATGTATTTATTTATGTCTTATGTATTTATTCATGTCTCATTTTATCAGATTGCTGATTTGCAACTGTTTTTAATCTTGCAAAACTATTTTTGTTCGATTTTAATAGAGGCTGTTTTCGACATTTAAATACGGCTCCGGAAAGGTGACAGTTGGGAAAGTCAAAGAAGAAGTTAAAAGGATGGAAACACTGCAGCACCTTACGGGCACTACTAATGTTAGTCGAATGGGGCGCCAAAAGCGGAAAAATAATGAAGTAAATTTTTCAACTTCCCCGCTGAAGAAAAAACGTAGGCTGGACCAGCCACTACGCACGGCGGCCTTTAATTTTGAAACAGAACTCAATTACTTGCGCTCGCTGGGAGATTTTTCTGTTCAGTCGCCGTGCGATATTTTTGGGGAGCTGCAGAATTTAAATGCTGAACTGTGGACTTCAGTTCAACTTGTCACACTAACCTTTGAAAATCCGGTCACACTAAGCAGTTCCAAGAAAGGTAGAAGAAATGCATAGTTTAGAAATATTGCTACTTATCTATAGTTATTGTTTTTGTATTTTTCAGATCTTGTCACTACTGGGTTGACTGATCTATGAGGTTATATCGTTTCAAAAATTCAGAAAGGAAAATTTTCCTGCACCTCTTGCAAGGCCGGTATTGGCAACATGTTTGGAGTGATTTTTTCGGAGAGTGGCGGATTAGTCACGGCACGGTCGCGTACTGATTTTGGTGGTTTAAGCTTGCCTTGTCCGCAACTAAGCGCGCTTTTGCAGTATGCACTTGGATTTTTCGAAAAGTTGCAAGAGATTAATGATTTTTACAGAGGGGATCTACATTTGGAAAGAGCACTCAAGTTGACTCTGTTAAATATGGAATTACATAGCTTTCATCCGCTTGGTGATATTTGTTTATGCGATCTTACGAAATATTTAGAGTACGAATGTTTGAAGCGTTTTTATAATACTGCATTTAAAAATGATGTAAATGAGCGCCGAGCACTTGCTCTGAAGAGAACATACGGTGCTCGAAAAGCGGTACCGATGTCTACAGATCCCAGTAAGTTGAAAAAATTAAAGCAGAATTAAAACTTGATAGTTGGTAGAAAACTAGAAATACTGAAGTAGTGATTATTAATTCCAAACGCCAAGCGGGAAAGGCTAGTCGCGATGCTGTCCGCCTTGTGAGCGGCTACGTGGATAAACGGGTCCACAAATGGTGCAATGGCAGTAAAATCAGCAATAAAATTGATTAAAATTCCACTTCTGCACAATAACATAGTGTGCACTCGTGTCGCTTGAGCCTGCAAAAAGATCAAAATTATCAGATGTCATTTATTTGGCAGGGCGAAGCACAGTGATGTTGTTAACGCCATCGACTGAGCGGTTAGTACTGAAAGGTGCGCATCTTGACAGGAATAGCCGGACCCTCGCCTAATTTTTCGAATTGATACAATCAGCATGGAACGTGTCAGCGCAAAGACCGTCAAGGAAACTCACGGTTGTTCTTTACCAGTGCCACTGGAATATTGAAGGTGAACTGGCGGAGGAAGTCGAGATGCTGGATTCGGTTTGCTCCAGTCTGGTCTTGCTCTGTCAGGATCTGGTATGGATGGACTGGATATTCTCATTTGGCAAAGGTTACTTCGCTAATGAACCGCTATGGTTGGGGTCAGTGAATCCCAGTTCAGCAGACCGGAAAACGCAACTGTGCGGACTTTTGTATAAGACGTTGCCCGTTGTGTACCATTTGTGTACGCTGATTTGGCGATCAACATCGCATTAGAAAAGTAAGAATTACCTTATTCGCATTTAGATTGTTCTTTCGGATGCTTAACATTTAAGACCTAAACCTGAATATTGTCAGATAAAATATCAATCAGATAGTACTTCAGCTTATGACTATCGGTTATTACTTGTAGGTATTATTTTTAGGCGTACTGAACTAGCTCACTTTTAAAGTGTTAATCACACTAAATAAATTATTTGTGCTATGCTATGTTATTACACTACTACAGGCTTGTTTGAGTGTTACACCTTGTAGACACGATTTAGTGTTTCTGCACCTTGATGGTTCTCACTTTTACCACAGGTTCTGTGGTCGTGTCAAGGAAATGATCCGCGCCAGACCCCTAAGACCAGCGACTTCTGGTACTATTGCCTGGACGAAAGACGAACTGGACACACTAGACGTTACGACATTAAGCAGGCTCACGCTCTGCGCACTTAGTCGCCAGATGATTGCAAGTAAAGCGGAGTTCAATATGCTGGGACCAGAATACGATGTCACGGAATTATTCCGGTCAGAATGAGCGCCCAATCAATCGAAGAAGTTTTTTGGTTATCGTTGTCCGAGAAAATACCCCATTTTGCGTTTCATTTTGTTGGAGATCTTGTGATAATTAATTATAATGCGATATGTATAGAAATACTTACTGGTAATCGCACTCGGTAATGGTTAGACATTGTCCTGCTTTATTCCATCATTACTTACAGGATTTGCTCGTTTAATTAGGCAGTTTAATTTGTATGGAAGTATGCATCTGCGACACAAGCTACCGAGTAGCCGGACAAGCGGAGCATTGCGATAAACGCAGTATTCGAACTCGTTTTGGTTTGGGTTTTTTCGGTCCCGGCAGAAAAAGAAAAATCTTCGTCATTGAAAAGGAAAAAATATTTTTTGTCTCTTACTGAAATTTTGTCATCGGGTTTTGGCACAGTACGCTCATAAATCTGTATAGCGCTCTTCCTGCGATCACTGGGCAAAACATCTTCGTACTTCCTGTTCACCAACGAAATCAAGGAAAACTTAGTGCGGACAGCCAATAGATAGCTTACGGAACTGTTTTATCCTTGCCTCTTTCAAATTTTTCTAATTTTAGCTGAAAAACCCGATCGTGTGCACCAGGCTTGGCGAAAATCATTCAGATTGATTAGTTTGTTTCTTTTAATTTATTAATTATTATTAACCGCGATTAGTCGACAATGCTGTTGAAGTATCTCGGGAGTCTGGAAGCTCTCCATGATTGGAGCCCGGTTGGCGACAATGTGCGAACATCCACACGGCACGCGCGCAGAATTTCCGACACACACCGCAGTAGATAATAAAGTTAACGGAATAATTGGCATATATACACTGGTTCATGATGGCGAGCAAAATCACATTCTCGTCATCCGTAAAATGGGCCAGGCAGCGCTTTTCCAGTTGGTGGCCAATACGTATGTTCGATTAGCCACGGAATTCTGGACAGGAGATATAAGACAACGGCAGCCGTTAACATGCGAATTGTTGTCACCACTTGCTGGTCACCGCCATGTGATCGGATTGCCGTACAGTCCTTAGGGTTTTGTACACAGCGCTGACCTTTTGCCAGACGTTTTTCAATGCATCGTTTAAGTAGTAATATCACAACCATTCCGTTAATCAGCATAAGTAAGACGATTGTCGAGAATGGGATTAAGACCTATCAAATTAAGAAAGATTTACTGAAAATAGATGTTTTATGGCCCCGACAAGATACGCCATTTTGACCTTACATAGCTAACGTCTTGAACTTTGCACCACTTCCTCCTCCACGTTGGGACAGCCTCTGATTCCCGTGGAAGAGAATAATCAATTAGTTCAAATATATAAACAGCAACAGCTATTGGAATGAGAACCAGTATTATAATTCGTGCTCGGAAAACAGTGAAGTATGCGAATCGAATTGGAGACATAATTGTAAGAAGCCGGGTGAAGCTAAATATTATCAGGCTCCTGCAAAATGAACACAAGAAAGTTATTGTACGGTATAATCTGCCGGAAAGTACAGGTGGGGTAAAATTGCGACGTTGATATCAATACCAATCGGAGCACTGCGATGCCACATTTCCTACAAATCACAAAGTGTTCGAGATTGTTGTAAAATTGACAGAGCGTGAGAGGCATAGGCGATACAAGCATTTTTATACGTACAGATAAAAACAGGAACGCAAAAATCATGAACTATGTATTTATGCAAACAAATCTCACCGATGAATGTACCGGCAATAACAAACGTATGGAAGAGATGGTATTCTGATTTATCACCAGCCCCAATCCGATCCTGTTAATTAAAAGAAGTGTTATGCCGAATTTAACTGGCATTGCCCATTAAAAGACCATAGAGTTATGAATATTTGTTCGTGCATGTGGTCAGGGACCCAGGCTCCCAGCAATATCTCATTTATCGGAATATTTTGAAATTATACGTACGGTGTTAAATGAGTAAGCCAACTTAGGCCTTGTCCCGAATTCAAAGCGAATCTCGTTATGGTACGGTTGCTCAACCGCACGAGGTGGCTGTATGCAGTGGCCACGCCTACAGATACGGTACGCGAAGCCACCTCGCGAGGTGGAGTTGCTGTATCGCAACGAGATTCGCTTTGAATTCGGGACGAGGCCTTACATTTAAATAGCTCACAGACCACGCCCACCTGTGTGAAAGATATTAAATGACATTAAACATGGTGTACGCAGTTGTGTAATGTAAGGACGTATAACAAATTAATGGATTTCAAAAAGTTTTTTACTGCCTTACATGCAAATCAGATTGAAGACAGAAAGGGCTTTCAACAAGGTGGCTTGAAAAGTCTTTACACGGCGAAGAATAATTGCGCTACCAATGTTTCCCACTGAACAAATAAACAACCAAATGGGACGTAGAATGATTTCACTGTAAGTGTATCCAGACTGGTTGTAAATGTATCCGTAACTACGTACGAGCCCAGCGCAACCGCTCCCGTTTACATACATGCTCCCGTACTGCAAACCGTGGTCATCAGCCTGGAAGCTTGCTACATTTGTTACTATCGCTGGCCCTGACATTTTTAAACAAACTCATTTATACATCAAATAATCCTAGTTTTGCATTACTTTCAGCTATCCCGGTTTAAAAAAGCCTCGTTTTTAAGATCAGATTTCTAGCTCACCAGCACCTGTCTCTTTCGAACTTGATCTGTGCATGGTACTGGCGCAGGCCCCACAAAGCGTTCCTACCGGCGTAAGAACCCCATCAGAAATTGGAACACTATTTTTTTGTCAACTACAGCATATGAAAGTACCAGACCTGGGCAGTTATGAGATTTCGACTCATAGTTAGAGTTAAGAGTTAATCGCAGCTCGCGAGTTACGCTACGAGTTAAGTTAGCCGCAATAACTAGAGTTAACTGGAGTTAACTTCTAATATAAAAAATCATGATTTTATTAATCAACTTCAAGTAGTCTTTTATGCATACCGATATCACTTTTACCAGATTTGAGACACAGACCAATTAATAATTTTTTTCTTAAAACTGATTTTTAAAATTCATGCTTTTTCTTATGTTCCTTTATCATGTTTTTCCTGAGGGAGAGAGCGAGAGACATTTTTCTTGAGGGAAGAAGATAAAATATAAATGAAACATAAGAAAGAATAAGAATGAAACAAAAGAATGAAACATATAAAGAAAACATGCTTGTGTTTTTGTGTTTTGTTCTTATTGTTTTTCCTGCCTGTTTTCTTTCACCCTCAGGAAAAAATCAAACATAAGAAGTTCTTATCTGACAAAATTCCTCCCTCTTTTTAACCACATAAAAATTCCTGCCTCTCAAAATTCCTCCCTCTTTTTGACCCTGGCTTTTGGGGCAGAGCGCCGGCAACGCTGAACTTTTTTACTAAGATTTCGCTTCACATGGCTACCGAAGTTAGTGTAGCTGTTTGACAGCGTTGACCGCATTATTACGCTTCCCTAATGGGCAGGTAGCGAACAATTACAGGTAGCAGTTAGCGCACAGACGATCAGTTCCCGTGTGATTTTGGTGCGGAACATGATTTGTCCTCTCGTTGACAAAATTTTGCTCCGCAAAAAATTACGTTCTCTGGACGCTGTTAATTGAGCTCAAATTGAACGACCACACTCACTCTCACAGTCAGCATGGACTCTCCGATGCATATTCATCGACCGAAGCGTAGCGAAGGTAGATTAATACATACTTTCGTTGATTTCTGTCCGTTACGAAAGGTCGTTACGAAAGGTTGTTATGAAAGCCATTTCCAACGAGTAACTGGAAGTCTATGCTTATGTTGCTAAGTCGTTTTGCAAAATAATATAAAATTTCATTGTTCAACATATACAAATAGTATTAAAATACTTAAATAGTTTGTAATATAAAATGTAGTATACTGTACTCAAAGGAAATGCTGCGCTCCGGTCTGTCACAGGCACGCCAACGTGCATTTTCCTAGTCTAGTCAAAGCCTTGGGCGGTCGTAGTGTACGTCGGCTCGAGAAATTTTGTACACACATACTTTTGTAATTATGGCAATTTATGCGATCCACGGTTAAACTAACATTTTTTCTTATATTTTCTATGTTTTAATTTCATTTTTGCTTTCAACTGAAACCCGCAGAGTTACGTTAAACTCGAGTTGCGCTATATTATTTTTGAGTTGCGCTAGAGTTAAGTTTTCGTCCTGGCGAGTTAAGCTTCAAAGTTAAGTTATAACTCGTTAACTCGAAAAAAACTTGCGTTAAGTTAAATAGTTAAAATTAACTGCCCAGGTCTGGAAAGTACTGTCCAAGAGTGGTGCATGCCGTACGTAAATACCAGCGAGGTATGAGAGAACTATTGTTCGGGTGCTGGATCAATGCAAAGCAGCGGCTATTGAGGTGGTGGTTGGGAGCTAGTGCGGTAAAGAAGGCGTGCGAACTAACTATACTTTCGCTGTTGTTTAACGCGAACGCCAATGCAAAACCAGTCAGTTTACCAGTTTTATTAATAAATACAGCCCTGCGCTGTGAGCGAACGCGCGCCCTGCGCTGTAACAAATTAAACACTTTAAAAATATTGCCAACACCAGTAACATTAAAACACAACTATTATCACATCACTGGAGAAAAACAAACAACATCGACAGCACAATTAATTATCGAACGCGTCGATCTTAAGTTTTACCAAAAACGGTTCGTTTTACCCAAGATATGTCCTAAAATATTGTCTTTCTTGGCGTAGGATTTCACGTCTTAATCCTTCCAGCCGTTGAAGGCAGCTGTCACGAGGCCAGCCAAAACTCCCCGTTCACAGGATGCTCAAATACACTGTGAAAAAACCCGACTTTATTAACGATAAAATGTGTCAGCACAGATTCAAAGCTTTATAATATAATCGGCTTTTATTAATTTATTTATCTAAACCTAATAAAATGAGAAATTGAATATGACCCGAAATGACGAAGTAACCAAAATACGAACCACCTAAAACAATAAAAGAATTCGATGAAAGTAAACGATAAAAGTACTGTAAGTGAAAAGAAGATCATGCATTTTAAATACGGCGAGCTACGAAAAAATACTGTGTAGTATGTTAACTGGTATCAAGCAAAGTACAGGGATTTATTTAGCTGAACCACCTTTATCACATACCTTGCTTAACGCGATCTCGCTCGTTCCTGCTGTCCGCCATACGCCGCGAAGTTCAGGATACAATAACGACTGGTGGCAAGTCAAATAAACGAAATCATTTTTAGTAACTGCAAAGATGATAAAATAACTTATTGGCAAGACTTTTGACTCCATGTGCTTCCTCTAAGAACACTAAAACGGTAACTTGCAGTCTAACACTCGAACTGTGGTGACTTACAGTCACTACTGTAGTGAATGCGACTCCGCTTTCCGTTGACATGGCTCGTCCTCCATGCCGCTGCTTCTCCTCCATGGGTTTTCAGCTATCCCTAGGTTGTGGCGGGGTTTTTGAGGACAAATCAGGAAAGGAAACGCGAGAACGGGCAGAAACGTCATCAGCCCGGAAGCCAGGAGAAGCGAAGTCGCTCAAGCTTGCAAGTAGTCCCCAGTTCAAAGCCATTTCGCCAATGATGACGAACCGTATTATTAAATTTACCGGAAAAGTGAAAACTGCTTTAATAAAAATAAGTTCTGCAGGACCAGAAGCGAAATCGCTGAAACGGCAGAAACTTTAAAATTTTACGAAAAGTTCAAAATTGAATAATGTTGCTGTGTTGCAAAGCCTGAAAAGTGAAAACCCGCGTGCAGGGTGTCCATTGGCCTCAAAAGCGTGCAGAGCAACCTCTGTGTCGACAATACGCATTCTAGCGCGTGGATTGTGCGGTGTGCCAACCGCACAGCAGAGAGCTACATTAATTTCGGCACATTCGCCAACCGCCCATAGCGCTGCTTATAGATTCATGCGGCGGTCAGAGGCCAGCGGCTAGTTTAAAAATTTTTGGCTCTGGTGGCCTGCGATTAACATCACAGCTAACGCAAGCGTAGCCGCTCGAGCACCAGCTTAGCTACTTATATGTTGGCCGCGCCAAATTGTTTCGTTAACTGCACCAGAAATACCAATTTTCAAATCTGTCGTGGAAACCGGGTATTGCACATTTCTAGAAAGAGCAGCAAAAAATGCTTGTGACGTTCGCTACGAAAATAAAACGCAGTCATCGCAAAACGTGTAGTGCAGACCAGTGAACAAACGGATGTTGTGCAGTCAACATTAATACACATACGGAAATCCAAACGTATGAGAAAATGTACGGCCTGTTATCCTGGCGCTACCTGTATATGCTACAAACAGTCAACAGACACCACTTTTACCGGTAAATGTCGCAAGGGAAAGTACGGTAATTGATCTTGTTAAAATCAATACAACAAGCAATTAATGTCAGGTTCGGCGCATGCAAACACGTGTAATCAATAATTATCAAAACAAATTGAACCCAATTTGATCAAAATAACTGTAGTGAAACATAAAAAAACAGAAAATTGTGGACATGATAGATGGTTAAAGGCATCTGCATACAGTCAGCCAGTATCTTATAGCACTAAGCACTCCAGCCGAGTCCAGCGCATATGTCAGTATCTGGTACCATGAAAATATTTTATGCACCTTTAAAGCACCTTGATTATGCACCTTGATTTTGTGCACGCACGAACATCGCAAACCTACCCATGTACCAACGTTTGCGTTTGAATTAGAATATTCTCATTTTGTTGGAATTCTTGTTTTCTCAATAAATTCTGTTTCAAATAAGACATGAAACCGACATGCCGGTAGACACAAAGCTTGAAGGCCGTATTTATGCGCTTATAGGTCAGTGAGGTACAAATTTGGTCATTTAACAATAAAAGTGCCGATGATAAAACATCGCTTGCCTACAACAGTATCGCCGTAATTTTCGGTTTTTGTTGAATAAAAATCAGTCTAGAATTTTTGATACTGTTCCTTAGCCTTTTGATAAGTCTTTTATATTGATTTTTCGTCGTTTGTCTCACTTGTCAGAGGTATGCTTTGATAGGCTGGATTACCTCAGGTATCAGTTCAGCTGCAAAAATAATGAGTTTTTTGTATACAGAAACCGGCGCATGGCTATGAGTTATGACTGATGCAATTCTAAGAAATATTATGGTTTCTGTTTTCTCCTTGCATCAAAATATTACTTTTTACATATAGTGCGAACCGCCCCCTACAGCCGCAACAGGCCTTTGTGTACGCCCCATAATTCATAAGCCGTAAGTGCAGAAATCAGCTGTTCGAATTCGGTTGAGTATTTTGTGTTTATGAGTTCATAATAATATTGTAATATTAACCCACCGAACTGTGCGGCTATGCATCTGTAGGTACTCTACTGTCATCTTTTTCAACAGGACTCACTGTTATAAATGAGCAAACGAACAACAAACGATACATACCTTGTATATCGATATTTACATAGCTTAGGTAGGTACATACATTGTACGGTTCGTTACAAAAGCTAACTGAATTATTATGACTACAAGCAATTGAATTACAGAGGCTATCATGAATTGCCATTTTCATGGAAAGTTTGTAAACAAAAAACAGTGGCACTGTTTTTGCGAAACTTTTTTTCGTTACGTATTTGTCAAAAAATGATAAGACACTGCATGGTCCATGCAGTATCTTATCGTTTTTGGATAAATTTTAACACAGTTGAGGCACTGCATTTTGTATCAAACAGTTCTACGGAATTGCAAGAATATTTAGCGTGCGACGACAATTCCACTTAATCCAGTTGATCTTTACTTTGCGACGCAAGTGCAAGCGATGGATGAGCAAACATGTCGTTAGAGATGCAAATGTAGTTGGCAAGTAAACAGTGGTCGGTTGTGCTGGTCAGCGAAGATGAGAGAGTAGCTGGATGTACACTCACTCTTGATATCCCATCCAAGCGTCACATCATATCCCGATAAACCAGGGACAGGAGAGACGCCGGTAAGCAATCAGGTAGGCCAGCTGCGGCAACACCGCGTCAGATATCACATCGGCCGCTCATGAATAATTTTCTTCCCCTTCCCCCCGGTTAATATCCATTTCGCTGCCGTATGCCGTAGAGCAGGTGGATTGACGCGGGAGTGAATGGGATGGACGCCAGCAAAGATCAGTCAAAGCTCAAAAAGCAGCACACCGCTCCACCGGATCCGGATCAGTTGGTGATGTGGGACGTTGCAGGTTTTCCTGAGTAGAATATGGGACGTACATTGCCTATACCGGTTACGTGTGAGGTGTGCGGGGATCGGAGCTTTGGCCGACACTATGGTATGACCTTTAAAAACTTCTGTTAGTTTCAATTTTATGCATTTAATCAGTTTTGTGTCTGATATAAAATTTAGCGTTATAATCCAGAGACTGTATTTCTCGTGCTGCGTATTTTGTTAAACAATAATTCTAAAAATACTGTTTCTAAATTCTGATTGTGAATTCTAAAACTATTTATTTGGATCAGTTGCTGATGCGCACGGAATTCATTGTCGATAAATTCTGTGTCATTTGATTAGGTGTTTACTGTTGCGATGGATGCAGCTGCTTCTTCAAGCGCAGCATTCGCCGGCGCATTTCGTACAGTTGTATTTGTAAGTATAAGTACAAGAAACTGTTTGTTGGAGATTTTTATTATTGGAAATTTAATTTTGCGCGTATAATAATCTTATATAAGTGTATTTGGCATTTTATGTTACATATATAGAGCAACGCTACATATAAAATAGAGCAGTATAATAACGCCGTACTAATTAAGGAGCATGAGGCCAACTTGCCATTCACTTTGCAACTGTACCATATACCGCAATATACTTAACCGCGCAGCAGTAATTACTTATCGTTAATAACGTACTGATGTATATACAACTTTACAGCTGGCAGTAATAACTGCGTTATCGACAAAGCCAGGAGGAATTGGTGTCCCGCGTGCCGGCTGCAGAAGTGTTTTGACGTTAACATGAATAAAAACGGTAGGTAATGTTTCCTGTATAATTAAATTTATCGTGTTAATCTACCGCAAGGAAATTTAATCGGTTGCCGCGTAGTATGAAACACGTTTCTATAATGTTCTCATTCGTTACCGAACTCTCTAGCTTTTGTCCTGATGATATAGCTGTGCAAGATGAACGAGGTCCGAGAAAAACTTTGGCAAAAACCAAACGACCCGCTCCCTCTGCAGAGACCGAAGACCTTTCCTCTGCTACCACAGCCAGTACTACAGCAACGACGTCACGGATGCTGCCGGGTTATTCAATCACTGATTTGTCGATTAATTCGGATATCCGAATTTCAAGCCCTACACTCAACGGAAGACTGCTGATCCGTCAGGAACACAGCGCATTTGCTGGGGTTATCCCATACAATAAAGGTATTTTGATGAACTCGATGCTTGTTTTTTATATTGGTTATCCTTGTTTTATTACGTAAGAAATTAGTAAGTTGTTGATTACGTAATGCTGTTACGATCGATAAGGTTATTCGCGTCATGAACAAAGTAATTTATTGCTTATAAATAATATAACTCTGCGACCCTCATACATCATACGCTGTTAACCATGATATATTGACAGAAAATAAAGCGCATTTTTCATTTACTGTTTGCTTCGACAATACATGTATATAAAATAACAATAATTAATCTTCTTTTGGGCATTATATCAATAATTATTATATTTATGTGGATGACTGCGTCACTAACATTGAACGTCGTATGATTGCAGAAGACATAACCGCCAGTCGCATTCCCTTGCTGCTCTGCATGCAGCAGTTCCGACTGATGTTGTGGGAGCGTATTCAGCGCACGGAATTTATGCACCTGATTTTGACCAGCGATCAAAAAGCAACCATTGACAAGGTCCTGTCATCGATCTGGCCGGGACTTTTTCTGCTGCATATCTCACACGGACCGTGGATGGAAACTACTTGTTCCGCTTTATGGAACCGGGTAAGATGAAAAAATTATACCTGCAATCACTACTGTAGAATGCGTGGAAGTGTGGAAGCAAACTTCACATTAACTTCAACGGGCATGCCTTACTCGTTTATGGCTTATTTCATAAAGGCCTTTGTACTACGCTTCTCCTCATAATGTTGATCGAACAGTGACATTTTTCAACATTTATGTACAGAGAAGTTCAGGTTTCTTCTCTTCAGGGCGGCAGCGAGAGCAACGCGATGGTCAAACTGCTTATGCGCTGTCGTGACACGCAGTTGGATGCATCGGAATTCGCCGTCCTGGAGAGTCTGATTGTGGTGCAGAGCCTGCAGAACATTCGCCTGAGTCCCTTCTTGATGGAACTACAGGAACGCCTACACGGTTATCTGTGGGCGCACTGCAGTATGACCCAGCCGACGGCACCGACCCTGCGCTTTGCAAAATTCCAGATGCTGACCAATCAACTGCGTCGCATCAAACCCGAACAGGTTCAACAGGAAATCGGCTCCCTGACCTTTACACCCCCGGCACCGCTGTCCTAGTAGCAGTGGCTTTAGTACAGTAGAATAATTTCTCGTATGTTTATGGAATGGTTTTTTTGGCAAGCGCTAGTCAACATGCTAGCCAATCGCAGTAGCTAGAGGGTATCAATGAAAAAGGTCGAGCGTGTAGGTCAGGTTTTTTGAACGGTATACTGGAGAAAACTAGGCAGTAATTTGGCTCTTATTGTTTTCTGCTTTCTGTGGTTGCTGTTCAGATATTCACGCGGACTGAAAATAAGAAATAACGAACTCTAGACAAACAAATGCTTGCAGTTTATATTTCTGTTCGTAACAGCTTTATTACGCTTAATATATAAACAACTTATATCAAGAATTTATATCGACATATTACATCAAAAATTATCAACAACATGAACACACGTAAGCTGTCAGATACAGTTGTTATTATTATACGAAGGCTGTATAATATAATTGAATAATATCTATGCGTGCTACCGAACGAAAAAGGGCATAGCTTGTCTTGGGGACATCAGTTTACTCTTAACGGATCACTGACGTTGAACGTAACAAATCGAAAACTTAAAATAAAATTTAAAAAATTTATTCCCGTATGTGGTGGCCGAAGTGTCCTTGTAATTTATCATTACGTACTTGTATGTACTTGTGCATGTATCTGAATATGCATTATACAGATTGCACTGAGTATGTACACTGAATATCTATATTGTACAATGAATATCTATATAATACGTGCACTGCCAAATGCACGGCGTTGTGCATTTTACTTGTATTATTATCAAGTGTACACCGATTTATCGGACAGAGCAGGAAATCCAAACACATAATATCTATTTAGAATTCGTGCCATGCCCGATAAATTTTCACAACTGGTAACATAATCTTTGATTAAGCATCAGAATTTTTAGATGAATGTCAATACAGACGTAAAATGGTCCCGGTATTACTGCAGTATGTATTTAAATGCACATCAAAGAGCGATGCCGTTGTCTGACACGGCTGTTGTTACTTGAATATTCATATAGATATGGCATTTCTGAACACTGCACATCCTCCAGTTGATGGAAAAAAATACTAAAGCGTCCAGTCATCTATGTAACTGCTTGTTCAGCTTGAGTGCTTTTAAAAGTTCTTACACCTATCGAAAACGATCAGTGTAACAAATTGCTGCACCTCAACAAACCACCGTTCATTTTGGATCCGGTCAGCCGAACTAAATACAAATAATCCAGATAGTAACACTGTTACAGTAAGCAGCACCAATGGAAGGGAATTCTTCCAATGGTTCTGGTCGAACCATTTGTGGTGAATTTATTGATTTCTTTGTCGCTAACGGAACGATAAGCACCATTACAACCAGTGACTCTGCGGCGATCTGGGGATTTCACACCATTATCACGATTATTACTAGTTCGTTGGCTGTTTTACTTAATTCTGCTTTGGTTGGGGCATTCCTAAACCAACCTCGTCGTCACTCTTCGTTCAGCGTGTACTTTATAGCACTGTCGATATCCAATGTGTTGTTAAGCCTTCAAGGATGGATCAATGTTGCTGCTGATCGTGATCCAGATATTTTAGATAATCGAGCTTTTTATGATGTTTCTCAGTACATTTCCTGGGTACTGGGCGGTATCCCGTTGAATCTTCATGTACTGATCGCCGGCAGTCGTGTATGGGCTATTCGATTCCCAATGTCGTACCGTAGCCGACATAACAGCCTGCTGGCAATAGTGTTGACCTTTTGCATGGTGGCATGCGTTCATGTAGTGTGCCTGCCTGTGATGATAATGTTGGCTGTATATAACCGATTACTCGAAAACAGCTGTCAGGTATGAAAACTAAATATTATGAAAGTTTAGAATGCTAAAATACTGAAAATCTTTTATCCAATATTATTAAAATTCGAATGAAAGGAATAACACCGGATTCCAGATGATAGAGCAAATATTGTGGTCAAATGGCCATGACCTTTTGAGAAGAATATCTGTTTTCCGCATTTTATTTGTGTTTGTTCATGTTTAGAAGATGGCGCTGTTCGACCTTCAGATAACATGGATTCAGTTAGCCATGGTGTTGATTTTCGAGTTTCCGATCTTTGTCGTGAGCGTCTCTTGGGTTTATGTGGCTGTCAAACGGCGGGGAAAACGCAAAATCTTATCTAGATTGACTTCAACTCCTTCGGATGCGCAAGGCAGAAACAACACCGGTTTCGTAGTGTTCTCAGCGGTGACAGCAAGCGCGGTTATTTGCTGGACTCCATACAACACATTGTATACCGTTTTCGCTTTCAGTTCAGAGGACAAGACCATGGATCCCACTTTGCTTAACTTGTGTTTGGCGTTGTATCTAATTCAACCGGTTGTGGATCCTGTGGTAATCGCTATCACCATGCCGGAACTGCGCGAGACCTTAAAAGATTTATTCCGGCAAATGATTAGGAAATGACAAATGATTAGGAAATGTTTTACCCTCACAGACAACTTGATTACCCAATAACGCTTAACACCACTGGAACTGCTTCTCCCTTTTGGTGTTTTACTCGCAGTTTTCTTTGCAAATACCGTACTGCATGTTCACTCTTTTAGTAAATACTGCTGCTCTTCAAGCTTTCATCGATAATTATGTACACGTCGTTAAAAAATTACAGTTAAACTAGCGCAGCTTGACATTTCTTACTACCGATGCTTAGTTTCCGGCAGCAAAAGCAATGCATTCCTCGTTCATTACAGTAGTGTCTCGTAATTTCTCCCATTCAATTCACGCCGTTCTGCCCGGTAGTATGGAAAGCCCCATCCTTTGGGCGAAAGCGCAATTTGCCCTTGGACTTCGGCTATACTATATCGCCATTTAAGTCATCCAGTGTAGCCGTGGCTGGACAGCATTTCCGGATTTATCGTTCCCGACTTGCTGGCTTCACCTCGTCCCGACAACTGATGCACAACTTGTGCAGGATACCGAAGGCCAGATGTCGACTGATCTCTTGCACTGTTGAACAGTCTCAGTAATACACAATGTAGTGAATTTTTAAACGGTAGAATGGTTGAAGTACCTCGATGTTTGATGCATCATTCGACAATCCAGGTCATACATATTTGCAGTTGCTTTATGGAAAATACCACATTTTTCATTTGTCTCTCGCAACTGATATAAGACATAAGTTGGCTGGCACCTGTCGGAAAATTACACAGCATCAAATTACGAATGATATCAAAGTAATCAGACGTCGTTGGTAAAGCTTCCCCCAAGGGACCTCTACTGCGCCATCGCAGAATTTAAATTTTCAAGAGAGTTACGGCCGGGCGTGACGCAACCTACTCTACCGGCAAACTAATTTCTGTTTTATCCGTGAACGGCCATAAAACGGTGAGTTTAATCTCTGGCATTCTATTGATTCTAGCCGATTGTAGAATGCATCTTTCAAAAAATTCCTAACCATGAACAACGGAAGCTGTACGAATTCCAGTAATTCTATAGGCCCTGGGATGACTAATGCGTGTGTTGTTGGAATCGATGCATTACCTGAAGAGGAGATCAGTTTGTCAGCCTGGAATTTTGACGATATAGTGACGATTATTTGCAGTACATTGACCTTAATTTTGAATTCAGTTCTAGTCACGGTATTGCTAACAAACCCGAAGCTCCGTTCATCCTTCAATATTTACTTGACTACTTTGCTTATCTTTGATGCCTTGTTAAGCTTACATGGATTTCTCAGCCTCGCTGCCATTCACTACCCTGGTGCCAAATATAATGCAGAGTTATCTGGCTTATATGCTTACGTTTCATGGGTTATGAGCGGAATTCCGTTAAATATTCATGTACTCATTGCCGGTAACCGTATCTGGGCAATGGCGGCGCCATTTTCCTACAAAAACCGACATAATAATGCAGTAGCAATTGGACTGACGTTTCTGATAATTGTGTATGTTCATGCGATATGTCTGCCGGTGGTATTTATAACTGTTCTTTATTGCCCTATTCCGATGGATTCCGATGTGTGCGAGGTATTACGAGCCAGAAAACATCCAATTACGCAAACGATACGTTATTGCAGCAGTAATTGCTGAACAACTGAAGCATGAAAACTGAAGCTTTTAAGATCACGACTAAAACCGATACGTAGTACATGTATGTATTCGCAGTTGAGCGGTTTCGTTGTCCTGGTAGAAATTCTCTCCTTGCCATTTTACATTACTGAAAAGCGCAAAAAACACGGGTATGGCCGATAGACATAATTTAAGGCTACTTGTTATCGATTTCACGGTACTCCGTCGAGACGGTCAACCGTGAATCGACGGTTTATTCGTCGAGACGGTTTGACCAGCTTCAGATTTATATCGCAAATTCTGGCTTGTCCAACACCACTTGAGCAAACCCAGCATTAATAAATAAAGACATAGAGCCCGTAAATTTCGCACTGTACGTAACTGATGATCGAAACAAAAAATAGAGTAAACTGGATTTGTATGTTGACCATAAGGGACACCTAGGTATATGCATCTTTACTCCAGATGACGATTCTGATTCAACTCAGTATACCGCATTAATAATGCACGTCTACTGTTCCAGAATGCTCCGAATATTTTGCTGGAATGGGAGAAATTCACGATGGTCCTGGTGTACGAGTTTCCGGTGGTACTTATGACGGCATCGTGGGTGTACATTGCATACAAGCGGCGACTTCAGAGAAGGATACTCTCTAGGGTGGCCACAGCTCATGAGACTATGGAAGGTCATCACACGCATCATCATCACAAAAGCGTCGGTTTTCTGGTGCTGACGTTCTTATTGGTCAGCGCCATCGTGTGCTGGACCCCGTATGAAACTTACTATGTTCTCTTCACATTTGGCATTATCGAAGAGAATCCGAAACTTATCAGCATCACTCTGGCGTTGTATATTGTGCAACCTGCTCTGGATCCCGTATTGATTATTCTGACAACCAGTGATTTGCGAAGATGGATTAAGGAAACGGTTGTTAAATGTATATAACTCTTGGTTTCGCTGTCAAGCTGGCCGATAACTGCTTAATAATAAAAGCCACCAGCGGATGCGCTACAGTTAGTTTTAAAATAACAAGAAGTTAAGATAGGTGGCGCAAACACCTTATGATATTTACTGTCGTAAAAACAATAAAATCTAATGAAGTGATATCTTGCGGCAAACCATTACGTAAGCATTTACCGCGCGTGAGACGCCTTGACTGCCGACGTGTCGATAAAATGAATACTGTAAGTAAAAGTGTAAACCCACACGTTTACAGTCTTCCACTAGAGTAGATAACGCCATATCCCAGAACCACCGGGCACTCTGGGGGAATAAACGCTGCTTCGAATTGTCGAACACTTTCAATACGTACCCCCTATATAGTATACACCTTCACCGCTGTTTGATTTATAGCCATGATGTTTGCAAAATGCGCTCTTCACTTTAGACTGTGAAGTTATTGTTGGCCAGTATCTCTGTATGCGTTCATATTTCACCCGCATCGCAGAATTCATTCGGGATCACGGATGATGTGACGAAGGGCTGCCAGTCCACGCTAAGTTGATGTGTTGAACAAAGTCTTGTTATTTAGCTGTTATCGATGTAATTTTAATTTACCAAGGCACTGGGATGCAAGACTGCAAATAGACGATCCCGGTTAAAAGTGCCATTTTTGACTAACTTTTGATCCATTTTTTATGAAAATAGCCTTTCTCTTTCCCCATAAACAAATCATAATATTTAAGCAAAGGGCATCTTTCCAAAGCATGTTTGCACTAATGCGCAATGAATGTGAATTATTCTAATATATCCACTCATTTGACCTGCGGAGATTTCGATGAGTTCGGAGTTCCTTATGAAACGGTGAACGACGACGATCCATCTACCGCTGTCTGGGGATATGAAAGCATTCTCAAAGTTACCTGTAGTACGCTAGCGTTTCTGTTAAATTCGGGCTTGGTTTTTATTTTTGTGAGATATCCCCGTTTGCGCTCCTCTTTCAGCGTCTATTTCATCGCTTTATCGGTTTCCAACGCCTTGCAAAGTCTCCATGGCTGGATCAATACCGCTTTGGAACGTGCACCCGTTTTGATGTACAACCCATATTTGTACGACACTTACCTGTACATTGCATGGGTACTGGTTGGTATCCCATTGAACCTGCATGTGCTGATTGCCGGTAATCGTGTCTGGGCTATCACATTTCCAGTGTCCTATCGAAACCGACATAACAGCTTTGCAGCGGTGGTGTTGACCTTTTGCATGGTCGCATACGTTCATATTGTGTGTTTACCATTTGTGGTAGTTATGGCTGTGTATTCGCGTTTGTTACCCGAAAGCGGTTGCCAGGTAGGAGAGCTACTCAATATGTTGTAATTCTTAGCGGGTATATACGTATACAGATAAATCTAGGCATTTCATTGCACCGGAGCAATCCAATCGAAATTTTATTATACTTCTTGTAATGCTGAACAAAATGTGAAAATATGTGGGATTTTCGAAATTCATCCTGTTTTCGCGCACTTGTATTTAGAACACTGTGCTCAACCGCGTGCAAAGAGTCTGGGTCAAATTGGCAATGGTGCTCGTGTACGAGTTCCCCGTAATCGTCCTGACCGCATCTTGGATTTACGTGATAGTCAAGCGGCGGGCGCACATCAAAGTCACCATTAGACAGCCCGCAATACAGGCGGACGGGAAGACGAAAAACAACACGGGATTCATGGTGTTTTCGGCGGTCACAGCAAGCGCAATTATCTGCTGGACTCCATACAATACATTGTTTACGGTCTACACGTTTTACACAGAGGGGTCGATAGCTCCAACGTTGCTGAACTTTTGCTTGTCATTGTATTTGATTCAACCAGTTCTGGATTCCGTTCTGATCTTTATCACCATGCCGGAACTGTACACAACAACGAAGCAAGGTTTTCGCCAATCAAATCTGAAAGCTCAGCAACGAAAGTAGGCAACAAAACCAGAGCGGGGAGTTGTGGCATACTTATGTGTTTACGTCGTGCCGTAAGCTGGTCGTGTATAGTACAGACATTATTCTTATCACTGACCATGAAGAATCTGCTATCATGCTGTGCTTCGCACAATCTAATTAATATATTGTGGAGTTTCGTTTTATATTACCTGAATGCAGCGCGAAAGCACATCTCCCGTTCATTTCTGTTTTTACCCACAATTTATTTATTGATGTTTGCGCACTGTCTTTACGTTAACAGGCTCGTAGCAAAATCGCTCGTTCCAGGTTGCTACAAAAATCTGGTAAAGATAGATGTTTTCAAAGAAAAGACCAGACTAATCTGCAGATTGATCAGTACATTCAGCATGTATAGGCGTATTGCGAGCGAAGTTATAGACCCCACCGGCACGAAGATAACGCGTACTAAAACATATGAATTGGATTTTTTACGATGTTCCTTAATCCGACTTTCTTTGGCTGAAGCCAAGTATTTACTTCTGTTCTCGACGACGTTCAAATAATTTTATGCTTCCCGTCAAAAACAAAACAAACCTTGCGCCGCGCTCTAGCAGTATAACGAATAAAGGCGGTTCTCATGCTACCTGTACGCCGATTGCCAACGAGAATGGTTGCAGAATTCATATATTGTAATTAATCCCAAGACAACGTAATAAATCTGCTTGGTGCCTTTTTCGGCCCAATACAGTTAAAATGTTAAATGACTATCTACTGGCAAAGTTACCAACGATGTTATTCCATATATAAAAATGCTACCGCTTTGCGGGTATTTGCATTTTTTGAAGAGCTAAACCAGTCTGTTGTCATGAATAAACGTTCTATGGTGATTTTTATTTATGTTTGCTTAGCGACATAACAGTCAGTCATTCCCCTACGGCCAGGCCGTTCTATGGTTGTATCAGCGACACTCCGTAAGCAACTGTTTGCTGTGAACTTCAGTTAAAATTAATGACGACAGTCATGACCCTGTTTGGCCGTATGCTAAATTTCAAATGCAGTTTTTCACCGGGTAACAAAATATGTGAACGCCATAATCTTTACACTCAGGAAGAGTGTAACTACTGGCTGCCATTGATACAAATTAAACACATTCGATACCATTGATTTCAAAAGCGATGCTGTTGGGTGAGCATGATACAAAAATGCGCTCATACATTATAACCTTTAATTTAGAAGCCTTGGTTGATTAGTCATCATGCTTTCAATCGTTAATATTCGCTCATAGGGAAAAAATTCAGAATTCAAGCTGATTTTAAAAAAAAACCGCAACCGATATACCAATACACACAGTTTTTGAAGAGCTGAGAAGGTTAATTCAGTTTTATTATTATCAAATGTTTATATAGTTCTTCGTTTACCACAGTAATCAGTTGTGTTGAGTCGCATCGACCACAATGGATGGAAATTATTCTACGGGTTTTGCCCTTATGACCTGCGGAGACTTCGACGAATTCGGGGTTCCCTACTCAACTGCTACAATGAACGCTTCCACAAGCAGTGAATTACCGGCAGCTATCGGGGGATTTTAAAATATTTTAAAAGTTATCTGCAGTACACTAGCGTTCATATTGAATACTGGTTTGGTTTTGCTTTTTACAAAATATCCCCGTCTGTGCTCGTCTTTTAGCGTGTACTTTATCGGTTTATCGGTCTTCAACGCCTTGCTGAGTCTTCATGGGTCGATAAATACCGCTTTTGATCAAGCTCCATATTTAATGGAGTATCAAAATTTATACGACGCTTATCAGTATATTGCATGGGTTTTGGCTGGCATTCCAATAAATCTTCATGTGCTGATTGCCGGCAACCGTGTATGGGCCTTTACCTTTCCACTGTCCTACCGAAACCGGCACAACAGCTTCGTAGCGTTGGTACTGACCTTTTGCATAATCATTTATGTTCATATTGTGTGTCTACCTGTAGTGGTGATGCTGGCTGTGTACTCTCGTTTGATACTACTAGAAAATGGTTGTCAGATAAAAGAGATGGTACTAGCAATCGTAATTTGTTGTATTTGCCGCTTTTTTGTATTTTTCCGTTGCGCAGTAGCAACGTAAAAGCAACTGCAAAGAATCATCCATATTAGAATATTATTAACCCGTTGACGGGCATTGGCGTCAGGCGATGACAAGGTGTTTGGGATTTTTTTCCCAGTGATCGGAAACAGTTAATCGGTATCCCATAGCACAAAAAGCAAAAAGGGACTTCGAAGCAGCAGTAAAAACGTAATTGAAGCCTTTGTCTCAAGTTAATTACGAACGACAGGTCCGCAAATATCGTTAATTTTGGACTTTTCTAGCTGTCGTAGGTCTTGCTCATTAATTAATTAATGAATGAATAATTAAACCGGAGATAAATCCACAAGGTACACCTGAAAACGCTTTATCTAAAAACGGTTAACACGGACATTGTAGGTTGAACCATAGATGACCACAGTCCGTGAAAAACGTGTGTCGTCGGCTGACACCATTGCCCATGAAGGGTCTTGAATACACGGGCGGGTGCAATTTCGACATCAGCTCTTTATAACGTAACCGGATCAAGTTGCTGTCGGTTTGTAAGGAAACATGCGCCACACCGTTCCGGTTATCGGTAGCTGGCAAAAAGCGCTTCTGCGGATCAGCTCCCCGGGCGGTCGTCAAAATAGTAACATTGTCTCGAAGGTTGTCAGCCTTCAGGGTTCAGACAGCAACACGTTCGAGGAAACAGTGTGTATGACAATGTAAAATGGAAGCACAACACTACGCTCTGACGCGTTTCTACCTACATTTGCGATGCGTCACTTGGATAAACTAAGCAAGTGGGGCTGGGTAGCTTTAAAAAAACATGGGTACTTTGGCTAGACTCGGGCGATTGCAAACAAGAACGATTGCGCACTGTACTGTGCACATTGGCGATGTGCACATTACTTCCGGGTTACTTTCCTACCGCTAGTGCGTTTCAAAAAGTGCTAGTGACCACTAATATCTGAATCAGCAACTATCACCAATGCAGTTGGACAGCCTGGACTACCCCCGCCGCTTTTGTGATAATGGGATTTGTAGCCACTGGCCAAATCCAGGAAGCATAGAACCGCAGGCAATACAAGCAAACATAAAGGCGGGTTGGCGTGCCCGAAATGACGCAAGTGTTATGTTAAACTTTGTAAAGAACGCTTCGTGCAGCACCATGTGACTGTAATAATCTATATTTTGTCAGTACAGTAGTAATGGTCAAAATGCATGAAAATAACCTTTGGTCATTTTTAATTTATTGTTGACCAGTGGTCAACTTGTTGACCACTTCTATACTTCTGTTTTAAAGTACTTTTTTGGGCTATTTAATGAAGTTGTTGCTTTTGTGTAATTATTTTTCGACTAGTTATTATAGAATTAAACTTTTATATGCTGTAGACTGTCCATGGGCATTGGCGTCAGGCGACAACATAGTCACCACGGCTGACCTATGGTCAGCACAAACTCATAAAAAATTCCCTTTCTTAATTGAATTTTTTCATCGGGAAATCCCGATTTTCATAAGGAAACTCGCACTCCTTCGGGTACCTCCCGCTGGAGGGTTAAACATTAGTATCATCCAAATTAAACTTTTCGACTTACCATTATTATTCATTGTGAAGTTTTATAGCAGACTGAAAATAGTGCTAGAAAATTAAAGAATACTGATTTCCGTAATTTCTCATTTTTCGGATCTTTAGAACACCGTGCTTTACCATGTGCAACAAGCATGGGTCAGGCTCGCTATGGTGCTCGTATACGAGGCTCCCATACTCATCGTGGCCACATCTTGGGTATATGTGATGGTCAAACGGCGAACGCAGCTCAGAGTCACGATTAGACAGGGAGTGGCTGCACATGGGGAGGGGAAGACAAAAAACAACACGGGCTTCGTGGTGTTCTCGACGGTGACCGCAAGTGCCATTATCTGCTGGACCCCATACAATACACTGTATGCCATCTACGCCTTCTACTCGGATGAACGTCCAATCGATCCGGTATTGCTTAATTTCTGTTTGGCATTGTATTTAATTCAGCCGGTTCTGGATCCCGTATTAATCTTTATTACTATGCCGGAATTGTACATCACAGTGATCCAATTCTTTCGGTAATGAGGAGTGCAAGCATTTTGAGGAAAAATGCATCTATAAATGTCTGAACGACGGTTTATTGACGCTATGCATGATCTGAGCCATAAAAGCCTGGGGATCCGCTTGGTGCGAAGCGCCATCTACGTAATGTACTAGTACAGTAATTCCTTCTTTAAAGTGTGCGGCGTGGAAACACACTTTTCGCTTTTATTGTTTTAACCTGACAGTTTATTTATCAATATTTGTGCAATGCATCCCCGTCTTCTACGCAGAAATGCACTACGGTACCTGATCAAACTTGCAGCTTCCTGTTTCGAATTGTGCATGGACAACGGAGCTGGCTGTTCAGTTATGTAAACTGTACGTTGAGGATCAATACAGAGTATCAACTATCTGCTGTGAGCATCAAGATAAACACGTCAGTGAACGCTGCGGTAGCGCTCACTAGTTTTGTAACAAGTTTAGTAATATTTAACGCTAGCCATTCTCCAAAGTCATTGTCAAAGTGCTTTATCTTTATGAACTCCGGATCCAAAGATCTTCCGTGTTAAGTACAGTCTGTGTTCGATTTTTTACTTTCGAAATACACGAACATCTGTTAGAAAGGTGTAAATATTTCGTGAAGTAAAAATAAAAGGTGGAAAGTTATTTTTACCTTTTTAGAAGTCAGTTATCGCTGTTATGCAGAAAGTTTGAATTTTTATCAGTCGTCGTTACTATGCAGAAATATGGTTTTATTTAGCCGGACTTCCGAGATGTATAATATATCCAACAATGGGTTCTACGACAACAACAGTGATCTTGCATCAGTTATTGTTTCCGGTAACACATCCAGCTGGAGGTCAACTTCTTCAGCGTGGGAACCGGCCTCGATCCTAACAGCCGTTTGTAGTATTCTGACTTTATTGTTGAACTCTTCAGTAGCTGGCGTTTTACTGACAGTCCTGGAGCTTCGATCAGCAGCATTTAGTGTGTACCTCATAGCTCTGTTAATATTCAATGCGCTATTGAGTATCCATGGTTGGCTGAGCGTCATCAACGAGCTGAATCCCTTATCAGCCATTCATATGGGCTTATCCGCCTTTCGTTTCTACGTGTCATGGGTACTAACCGGCATTCCCTTAAACCTCCACGTGCTGATTGCCGGCAACCGTGTCTGGGCGATGGCATTTCCTTTCAGCTATAAAAACCGGCACACCAGGAAAACAGCGATCATTTTGACCTTTCTAGTGATGGGATACATACACATTGTATGCTTACCTGCAGCAATCAGCATTTCCGTTTACTGCCGTGTGCCCCTATTTGAAAATGGATGTGAGGTAATCATTCATTATTTTAAAATTGCTACGGTGAAAAATGTGATTTCCGAAAGTTCAGAAAACTGTATAAGCTTTATTCGTCCAAAACATTGTATTTCAGATTACGGAACGGCCGTACATTATGACGATTAGCCAGCAAGTCGCTATGGTACTGGTTTACGAATTTCCCGTAATTTTTCTTATCTCGGCCTGGATTTTTGTCGCCGTTAAAAGGCGGCAACAACTCAAAATTCTATCAAGGATGGCCGTAACAATGTTAAATTCAAGCCCAACTCAACATGACTCGAAGCCGGATATCCATTCAAAACATAAGAGTGTCGGGTTCGTGATGTTTTCGGCATTAACCATTAGTATAATCTTATGCTGGACTCCATATGAGACATACTTCACCATTACGTCGTTCGGTCCAGATTCGGAAGTTGAAGATTCAGCAATCATAATTCCAACATTGGCGTTATATCTTCTGCAACCGGTATTGGACCCAGTGCTCATTGGCCTCACGATGCCGGAATTACGAAAGAAGTTAAAGAGCATTGTGGTTGCACTGTGTGCCGTCAGATGAATAGCTTAATTTGACAGCAGGATTTTGAGTGGTTTCTGAAATATCAAGCTCCTTTCTTATCTAAGAACGGTGTAGAAGATGTGCCACAGAAAAAGAATGAATAAGCTAAGAAATTTAACTGACAAAGTGCTGAATTAAATGCCTTGTGGTCGATTTTGTCAAACAAGTTTGTCTGCTTCAACAGAAACGTTCCGTTTCTTATACGTTCACATCTAACGAACAGCATCTACTATAGTTACGAGTATCTGCCCTCTGCTCTGCACTAATATCGCCGCATTACATTTCACAGTGACGTCATATTAATTTTTGTTGCCGGTCTTCATTAAACATAATTCTACTTTGTCTCTCAAGGGACTGAGCCAGCTGCTGGGCAAATAGCAAACGAATTCTGTCCTACTTCCGACGTACCGTAGTTGTGCTTCTGTTGTAGGACTCAAACCGGCGGACTACGGCGTGGCGGCTGTGAAGGCTTTTTGTAGTCATCGCTGGCCATGTTTAACGAAACTTTTATCGAAAGTGCTGAAAACGTTAGTAATTTTGCAGGCTGCTTATATAACTCGACTGATTACGGAATGAACGTCTCAGTCAATGGGGAATCATTGCAAGATTGGAGTTTTGACGATATAATAACGGTTATCTGCAGCACCCTCACCTTTATTTTAAATTCCGTTTTAGTAGCGGCATTATTAAAGAACCCAAAACTTCGTCCCTCTTTCAGTATTTATCTAACTGATTTACTTGTATTCGACGCCTTTTTGAGCCTTCATGGATGGCTCGGTCTGGCCGCCAGTCGGTTTCCGAACGCAAACTACAGTCCAGGGTTATCGGGCTTATATGCGTATGTTGCCTGGGTTAGCAGTGGGATTCCGCTGAATCTTCATGTGCTGATAGCTAGTAATCGTGTGTGGGCGGTGGCGTCTCCATTTTCGTACAAAAGCCGGCATAATAATGCAGTAGCGATTGGACTAACGTTTCTGGTTGTTGCTTATGTTCATGCAATATGTCTGCCGACTGCCGGTAGTATTTATCACGATTTTTTATTGTCCCGTCCCAATGGATTCCGATGTGTGCGAGGTAATATAATTACAAAACTTCACTGCGTTTCTGCTGCATCGCTCGTATGTTTTAGGTAGCTCCGCACATTCTATTGGAATGGAAGAAATTCGCAATGGTCATAGTACACATGCTACCGATTGGGTTGATGGCGGTTTCATGGATGTATATTGCGTATAAGCGTCGAAAGCACAAAGTAATACTTTCTAGACCGGCCGAAGCTCACGAGAATTCGGAACATTTTAGTTACAATCGAAGCATCGGGTTTTTAGTGTTTTCGGTCTTAATGATCAGCGCCATCGTGTGTTGGACGCCGTATGGGACTTACTATCTTCTGCTCACATTTGGTGTTATCGAAGAGGAGAACCAGAGGGTGATAAGCATTACGTTGGCTCTGTACCTCATCCAGCCGGTGTTAGATCCAGTGCTAATTGTTCTGACGACAAGCAAGCTGCGAGCGGTGATGAAGAAAATTCTTATGAACGTCTGATTTGCTTATTAGTGCAAGATAGGCTGGCAGTGGTGGGTCTGTACATTTAGTTACACTGAACATCACCATAATAAAAAGCAGAAGCACCAATTCGTGATAAAGTAAAGCGTACATACCCGTAGAATTACGTCAAATGTGGGTCATCAAAGTGTACAGTAAACCGATAACAAACAAGATGGCTACTCAACTCATACACTTTGACTAACAATAAGCGTGACTGTACGAGTTATGATTTCTGATTACAGTTTACCATTACAGTTTACCATTAGTAGTGATCTTAAAACAGTCATAATCTACATCAGGCTTCGCCTAGATTAATGCATCTCAGCTAATGCTGTGCCTCTGGTTCTGCGATATATATAAAGCGATATATAATGCGATATATATAAAAGCGTGTTAATAATTGACTCTTATCTGTAGATAAAGCGCTCAGTGAACTGTTATTTAGAATTCTTTGGTGCGGTGCATTGCACCGTTCTGTTTCCATTTATCTGGACCGCCGTGCTCGTTCCATTCTACAGTAGTTATAAGTACGCCGGCAATCATACACGGATATTATTTACAGAATTAATAATATAACATTTTTCAAGGAATATGGTTGACCGAGTAGCCAAGTAATCCTCCAAATGGATCGTCTAATATTTAAGCTGCTATTCATTGGGGACTCTGGAGCGGGCAAAACCAGCATTATATTACGATATGCGGATGATTGTTTCAGTAGTAATGCCGTTTCTAACGTGGGTAAATATATCTGCAAGAAGTGTTCGATAATTTTATCTTTGAGCGTTGAGCTCGGCAAAAGAAATAAGGTTAATGAAATACTACTCATACTTTACAGAATCGTGATAAAATGTTTATACTTTTTCAAGCTGGAAAAACCAGTCAAGACAAAAATTTGGTTCATTCTGCTCGTGCGCTTCAAATAATTGTCAGTACCAAGTGCGGAACTGATAATATTTTTGTCAGGAATCGACTTCAAGATCAAAACCATTGAAATAAAAGGACGCAAAGTCAAACTACAGATTTGGTATGTATAGTCAAACTACAGATTTGGTATGTACAGATTTGGTATGTCTGTAACTGTTCTGTGAGTGTTTCTGAGGTTCTCTCCCAAATGTTCCATTTTGCGCAAAAAATATTTCCACGAGATAAAGCGACCATTTTTCCTTGAAGTAAAAGTAATGAGGTGCAAGTAGCACTCACTTTGGTGATACCGTGTGAAACGTATCGAAATGCGAGTTTGTAAAGCGGGAGTTTTTACAATTTCAGGGATACCGCTGGTCAGGAACGCTTCCATGCCATAGCGTATCCCTATTATCGTGGAGCAATGGGGATTATTCTTGTTTATGACGTTACCAACCGCAGATCATTTGAAAATCTTTCCACCTGGATGCGAAACATTGACGAGGTAACACTTGTCACCAAAAGTGTATTTTGTGCATGGACTTTCTGGTACATGTAGCATGTACTCTGTATGCTAATGATATAACCTCTACAAATAACTTTTGGGTTTATTCAATTGCCAATGTTTCGCATCATAGCTGTACGCAGCAGTCAGTGTTTACGTTTGCTGGATACCATGAGTTGATTTAGAAAGTTTCAATTGAAGTTTCAAATGTTAGTATTACGCTACACCAACATTTACGTACAATACTCTGCAGAAACTAACTGGAAATGTTGACCTATTGCTACTTCTCTTCCATAAAAATGAGGGCTACGGTTGAGCCGAAGCTGGGTTTTCATGGCTTTTCAAAACATTTATATGTTGCAGCACGCTAGCGAAAAAGTCGAAAAAATCCTACTAGGCAACAAGTGTGATATGGAAGCGCAACGTGTCGTCAGTCGCCAAGAGGGCGAAGCCGTTGCCCGCCAGCACGGTATACCTTTCCTGGAGACCAGCGCCAAAAACAACATCAATATCGACCTGGCATTCCACAATCTCACCGAAACCATACTTCTCGACATTGCTCTTGAGCGATTAACTGCCAAGGTAGGTTGCTTTTGAACATATAGTCGTACATCAAATAAGAGTAGTTATCTGCCCTAACGAGGAGCCATTTTTGTGACCTCTCTCGCTTCTGGTACAGGCTGAAGCAGCTAAAGAGGTAAAGCGACTGACAGCCGCGACGGACGCTGATTCGAAATGGTCGAGTTGGTGCTGTTATTCGTGAATCGTTTGTCATGTACATATTACCGGTAGCTACTGATTTTCATTTTTGTCTACCTTTCGTTTACCCTTGTGCCGTGGCAATAATAACAGAAAATGATAAAACGATAGCGCGTGCATGATGTGCAAAATTGTAAACTCTGCGTATTTTTGTACTTTAATTGGCGGTATGTAAAGGTCACAATTTTTCTACCCTAGTAACGATGTACTCCAGGTATTAATTCTAATAAAGGTTGTTGACATTATTGATCACATTTCTTCTGGGAGCGAAGGCTTTATGCGTTGATGTACAGTAGCTAATTCTACAGTCACACATTGCCACAAAGACGAAAATTGCGACGAAAATTGCCAAATTGAAAAAAAGACGAAATTGCCACAAATAACCAAATTTGGAATAAGTAATAATAAATAACCAAATTTGTCCATCTACAAATTAAATTAAAAATTAGGGTTTTATTTTCTAATGCAGCCCAGAAATCCTTCTGCAATAACCCGGCGCAAATCTTTCATGGTAACAACAGTTAACAAAGGATCCAGCACCGGCTGGAAAAGGTACAAGGCTAGGCAGAGATTGACGAACCTCCGATCGGCTTCCGTTAAATCCGGGATAAAGGCCCACACTGTGTAGTATGTTTCGTACGGCGTCCAGCATAAAATCGCACTGGCCGTGAGAACGGAGAAAACAAGGAAACCTGTCGAGTACTGACCGCGTCTACCGCCCGTCTTTTGCGCGGCACTCGTGACTGCGCTCAACTGAGCTGTCGTTGTGGCATTGGCAATGGCATTACGCCGCTGTTTTTGTTTTATTGCGACGTAAATCCAGGCGACCGCCATGAAAACAATGGGAAACTCGTATATGAGGAGCATTACCAATTGATCCCAGGCCATCATCGGTCCAGGATCAGTATTGACCTAATGTACATGTATAAAATTTAACACTCGTGTAATATATGTAAATTAAAAATCAATAAAATTTTAAGAAGGATTTTAATAGAATGTATTCACTAAACCCTTATGCATATCAGTAAATTAGTATCAATGTGCTTATAGCTGGAAAAGGAAGCAACCTTTTTCTGCTATCAGAAACAGGATAAAATCAGACGGGAAGCGAAACTTATTTTACGATAATGTGTGACATATGTAAATAAATCATCGATAGCTATTTTTAACATGAGCGGAAGTACTGCACTTCTTAATGCTCCTGATCGTCTATAGATTATTATGATTTAACTGTATCACAGTGTTTAAGGCAATACCTGACAGCCATCTGTTTCAAATGGTAGTCGATAATACAGCGCATTCATGATCACACCAGGGAGACAAATTATATGAACGTAAGCCACAACGACGAAGGTCAGTGCAATCGCCAACCAATTGCTATGCCGGTTTTTGTACGAATAAGGAAACGCGATAGCCCACACTCGGTTAACGGCGATCAAGACATGGAGGTTCAGAGGAATCCCGGTGATCACCCAGGATACATAGGAGCGGAAGTCGCATAAGGTGATATTGGCCATGGAGCTGGGGAATTGTTTGCGCGCTATGTTGAGCCATCCATGCAGACATAGTAAAGCGTCAAAAATCAGCAGTGTGATGAGGTACACACTGAACGATGAGCGTAGTTCGGAATGAGTGAGCAGAATGGATGCTATAAATGAATTGAGCGTAAAGGTCAGCACGCTACACACCGTTGTTAAGATCGCATCGTAGCCCCACACCGGTAAAAGTGGAACTGGAATATTCGCCGTTAGATTAACAAGTGGTATTATCGGCGATTGATTTGCATTGATGTGGTGGAAAATTCCACTCGAATTGTTCATAGCGAGGTGCACGCTGAACAGTACCAACTGATTTATGCGTAAGCTGTTTGGAGTGAAAATTTGCAAGTGTGGTTCACTTGTTTTAAACGCCTTTTTCTGCCTTGGGCGATAAACAGTCAGGAAGGAATTACAAATATGTGATATATTATGCCTTAAAATAACCTGCAACCGAAGAACTTCATTAAGCTGTTCTTGTGTACAATACACGTGTAACGAAATACGCTTTAAAATGCGCAAGAATGAGATAGAGGACGTATCATCTGCTATACTATACAAGACTATTATACAGGTAGTGCTTGTCATACAATAAATATGGGTACTGCGCTGGAAATATCACGATGTGTCGCGTCATCCCGGGTTATAGCGGCAGTCAACGAACACTCTGCAATGGCATCATCGTTTTACTTATTCATCATTACCTTTGTGGCGGATGCATGTTATTATTGTACTTGACGTAGTTCGCTCTAACAAAGCTGGCGGTTTATCAACTTGATTAATTCTGAGATTGGATAACGCCAAGCGTTTTGCAGGGACAGATCAATAACGTACGCCCACGATGCTTATGACACGGGTGAATTCATGACCATCCAAGAAAACTTCAGGGCCATACGCTTGTATATCTTCTACAGATACAACGTAAGCTGATTCTCCGTCACGGTTTTGTGTTTCAGGGTTCACACTGGAAATAATATTTGTTGCTTTCTGCAGTATGATGGCGCTTCATGGCGGCGTTGCGATGCCGATCGTAGAAACATTCGTGTTCCACAGGAGCCGTCGTCATTTTGCAGGATTGTTATACTGTAGTGCCACCAGACAGAGAAATTAACGATTTTTCACCAGCGACCATTTATTTCGGGTTCGTGAGCACGAATAGGAGTACTTCTATCTTTAACATTACGAAAGTTACTAAAACTGCGAAAAAATGTTGACATATATACAATTGTACATACAGATATATTATTAGCAGTTACCTACTTTTTCGATTCTGCATTGCGATTTGCGATCGACCGGACCTGCGTACTGTGCACACTGTAACATTAAAGTACAACACTCCTAATAGCAGTTGTTATGAAATCAGTCGTATGCAGTTTCATTAGTCACTAGCTCACTATTAAGATGAGATCATCGTTTGCACATATCTGTATCAGTTTAAGATGCCCGTTAGCGATACTAGTGTTAATCAGCATGTTTGTGTACACACAGCTGTCATATTGAAATCTGTGGTCGGAAGTGTACCAAATAATCCAGCTACATATAAATTGCGGTTGATGGCTAACATGCCACCCTCAGAACCGGCTACCACATTTTCGTATGTTTATTAAATTTAACTGTAGCGCTGTTGTGCCCTGAATTCAATTTTTTTTATCGCTGTCTAACTAACGGTATTCCGTTACGGCCAAAATGGTACCGTGTTACCATTTCTCTGGAATCTTTTTCTCGCACCATCATTTGCTGGACATACCCGCTTTATTAAATCGCCAGATGCACCTGCTAAATCACAGCCTACGTCTGTGCTGCGGCAACAACCATTCCTAACGCCAGCATTTATCCGCGCCGAGAAAATTTCAGAGACGGATACTACACCGAGGATTACTATTCTACTTACAATAACCGTTCATAATGACCCGCTTTGGCATCAATATTATGAATGTACTACGCACATCTGACTATATCAGTAATACGAAAACAGTATTAATTTTTGGGCAGGTGAAATACTTTCACGTCGGCTTTCTCATCAGGTGTTTGTTTTTGGTAATTTACTGTACTATGAAAAAATTGTTATTATGTTCATTTCAATCAATTATGGATGTCCGCATTGTAAATACTTCTATCATTTTTGCTAATTTATTGTTTCTTGTCCAATCACCGCGTGCAAGTTTGCTCAAAATGAGATTCTAGCTCTCCAGAGAAAGCGTTATTTCCACACAAATCAAATGCCTTCTAATTGTACATAATATAATATCATGAAGTTGATATTAACATGTAAGAAATCTCACACGGGAAACATAAGTCGCTGCACGAATTCCCAAGCATTTCATGTATGCTTAGGATACATTCCTCCCGTATGCCTAGGCTCTTATCTAGGCAATGTAGAATACCTGGGGAATATGTGCCGAATGCAAATGGGATAAGAGAGATTACGAAAACAAGAAGACGTACGCATGTATACACCCAAATTATAAGTAACGTACAAATACGTGGAATAAAGTGACAAAGATGGCTCGGGTTTGGTAAGGTGGTATGAAATATGATTATCTACTTCTGAAGGAAAGGTAAGCTACCACCAGACTTGAAAGTTCAGCCGGTTAGCGCATCAAACCAGTAGTCACCTTACGAGTATACCTTGCCAGTCAGTGCGCTCTGATCTTCTGGATTGTCACGACTTGAAGGTGGCGTAATATCTTTAATATTTACCCGCCACTGAGGGCGCACAAAACCAACTAATTATCGGCAACATAGCAACACAGGCACACTGCTTCCGCAGTTGCCATGCTGGACACACAGGTCACAGCGGACACAGTATCTCGTGACATAGTGCCACTACACTACGCCACATGGATCACAATTGATGTTTGCGAAGCAAAAATTCGGATGTAGCGTTGAGCGTTGAAATTTAAACATCGTACCATCGCGCCAGTATTCATGCCACAGCTAATGAATGCAATGAATCGATAGTACGAGTAGTGACTTTTAAAATTGTTCCTTTGCTAGGCTTATTTACTCGTATTACGTACCAGGTAGTAACTAGTACTACTAGTTTTTACTGACAAGTATTAGTAGTACTAATATTAATTTGTCAGTATAAAAAGCAACATGCGGCATACAGCAGCATATTCATGGAGTACATACGACATAAAAGGTTTAACAGCCAAAAGAGAATATATTTTGTGATTTTTATTAATTCAATAATTTTTTGTTATTGACTGACTAATTTTTGTGCAATAGTGAATAGTCCAGGATGTAAATCCTGAAACCAATGCGAATAGGGAAACGGAAACCGATATGATACTGCAGATTCAGCCTTCGATACGTTTCCCAGCGTTTATAATTTAATAAATCGGTGCCTGGAGGTCAGTAGTGCAGTGCCACAGTCCACAACTCCGCATGACAAAGGATAAAGAAACAGACTGGATGTCTCCGTTCCCACTTCCCAGACAGCAGGCACACGACAGGCAGATGACCAGTTTTCGCTCTCCATTGTTTACCGTTTGCAGCTTGCCACTCAGTCGACTTTCAGACTTCAGTGCAGCCTTGCTTGTTCTTCGTTTCGATGCTGTCCTCATTTTATGCTATGCTGTTGCAGAGCTAGGACGCAGCCGGGTTAGCAGAGTTTTTACGAATTCAGTCAACGTTTACATGAGTAGAACACAAGTTTTTCCGCTTTCGACAAAATGGACGGGCAGATTGTTGGTGACTATTTTAAGCCTGCAAAGCGCGATCGTCGTCAAGCCAACATGGGCAATACGGTACTGGTGAATCTGGACGGAGAGAAAGATTTCTACCTAGACTATCTGCAGGATATCAACGGCCAAAACGTCTATGTGGATTTCGACTGTACCACGATCCCACCACGTTGGATCTCCGCGCAGCGCGTGTGGTTGCACGAATTGCTGGAAAAGCAGTACCCTCAGTCCCAGGAATCTCCCGCCTATGTGGCTCTCCGCCAGCAACCAAATGGACCGTATATCTTTCGTCCAGCCATCCGAATGAAACGCTATTCCACCCATGGTGATTTGTTCTATTCCTATGTGCGCTTGGCAAACGATACTGCTGCACGACCATGGCGTCTGGTGCATCGTTGGCAGATGGTGGAACGTCTCCCTGAACTGTCTGCTCCTTCCTTGCTAGAACGATTACCTGCTGTTAATTACCGCAAGTTTTCGGTGTCTGCGCCTCAAGTGCGTCTTCTTGAGCATATCGATGAGCACCGGATTATCAGTGTACTGAATGCGGCTTTTCGCGGCGGTTACAGCAATTTTGCTGGGTGGGATCGGGTGTTTGTACGCATGGAAGGCGACACCATACATTTCTTGGTGATGGACATATACCACTATCATCCCCGGCACCGCTGCGCCAATCCACGGTGCTGGACCGATTCCACGGCGGAAAAAGTCGAAGCTGGTCTACGGGACTATATGATGCCTTACTGTAATCATCCGGAGTTTCGACCACGTCTGTTGCGCTTCGGTGAAGGTGAGCACGGATGTGCGGCGTGTGCGCAAGCCCGTGGTTGACTGAAACGATGAGTGGAAATGAATCAGTTATTCATTTTTTTATAATTTTATTCTACCAATAGCACACTTGATGCACCACCGTGAGCCTAATTGACGTACACTGAGATTTGGAACTCAGAAGAAAATTTAGTGGTTTATTACTTTGTATTTGTTTCTGCTAATTTTATTTTCGAAATTCTGCTCGTATTCCAGCACAGAGTGTACATGATTAATCGTAAGTACGTATTGTACATAGATGGTGACGCATAATTAATTATATTTTTGCAGAAAAGCTAGATGAGCAGCCAATGATGAACTTTCTGCTGCCGGAAATTATGTCAGAGATTGTGCTCCATTTGGATGTCCGCTCTCAAGTTAGAGGGCAACGGTACATACTACACACATTAATTTGTAGTCTGGCTGTGCGTATCTTTCTTGAAACCAGTATGTACTATGTACCGTATAAGACCGACCTGTGCACTGCTGCCATAATTATGTTTGTTCGAACAGTCCTGGGCCGTTTTGGAAATGAAATTAATTTGAAACGAAACCTACAATTATTAAAAACTGAATTTGTGATGCCTATTTTTCTCTGTTATGAAAAAAGAAATCAAATCGATGCATATTAATATTTAATGCTTACTTGGTAAATAACATAGTAGTAGTAACCCATAAAAAGTTATTTTTGGATATTTTATTAAATTAACTGGGATTTAATTAATTTGGTCCGTTGCTCCACCAAAACTTTGTTAACTTATAGTTGAAAAAATTCAACTTTCCATTTCAAACCATTTTCTAATTTCAACTGCTTGGAGTCCTGATTTGGAAACATTTCGATTTGAGAGTTTAAAATTAAAAACGTTTGAAATTGTGATTCTAACCTTGCTGCGTTGCTAGCTGTAATTCACAATCCAATCCTATCAAAATTTTTTATGCAGAGTCTGCTCTTTGTGGGCGGAGTTGCTGGACAATCGCGCATCGGCTGTCTCCATTACGTTGGATTTGCACAACATCAGTGCGCATATGCCGACCCAGGCTGCGACCGAAGCCTACCACGTTGCGTTTATTTTGAATCGCACCGTCAACGAAACAACCAAGACACTGACGCTGATCGGAATGACACAACGCAGCGGTGACTTTGATCTGCCGTACGATACTCTGCAGAATCAGATTGAGGAATACCTCCGCCTGAAACGTACGCAGTTGCTAGCCATTGTAGTCCAGGACTACCGGTCTGCTTTTCGCACCATCAGCATGGTTCCGATTCTAATGCCCCGCCTACGAGAACATGACGTGTATTTCATTCCGTCTCGACTGAACAGTTTGTGCCGGAAGCTGCTGCTGGTTAACTGTGTCGTGGAATTGGGGACCTGGCTGAAATCGAAAGGAAGTGTCAACAAGTTCCCTGTGCTGCCAGGATGGGATGCGGCCGATTCGCCGGACTTTTTCGTTACGGTGTCGCGTTTTTGGATGACATCCAAAAGAAAAATGCCGGGGGACCCTGGACTCTTTGGCCACTTCGGTGTGGTAATAGGCTGTGGTGGTCCTCCTGTAAGCGTCTCGGTTCGCGATAAAATAAAGCAGCTGCATGCGTACTGGGTGGACAAGGTGCCATATCCGGGGAAAGAATGGGAGAAATTGCGGCAACTGGTGGAATTGTAAGTTCGCAATTATGCGCAGACTGTAATCTTTGTTATCTGCTTACTGCATAAAAACATGCCAATGTTTACCAAGCAACTGAAATTGATCTAGCCGAAAAAGTAAACTCCAACTTTCTGAACGCTTTTTTAAAGCTAAAGCGGACTTTTTTCCTGATTTCGACAACGGTAAATAAATCTCTTTCCCTTTTTTTACCGTAGTACGGCAGGGAAGAAATTTGGGAAGAAATCTGATTTTCGATTTTGTTTCTGTTAATCTAACTGTAGGTTTGGATTGTGTGAGATGTCACTGGCACCTGGATTCTGGAGTGAACTTGACCTGCGGAATTTCGACGGTTTGCCCCTGACCAATTTGCTGTTGGCTGTCCTTGCCTATCTTTATCTGCCTGCAGCTGCCCTGGAGCAGTCGGAAGTAGTTTTTTAACGCAGCCGCAGATGTTCAGTGGATTAAATGTATCTTACGTTTAGTTTCCATTGATGTTTACTTGGCTAAATTGATTAGTACGTTCTGCGACCGCATTCACCATCTTGACGCCATTATTTACGTCATTTTAAATTTTTCTTTTTATACGCATAAATATAGCGTAATATGTGTGGGATACGGTACGCGAGTGGAGCTGACATTAAATGACAAATTGGCGTGTGAAGCGTAGTATCTTTTGTTGGGAAGTATGAAAATTAAAGTGTTACGCGCATCGGCGTATTGTACGCATCATAGGGCGATACCGTGGAACTTCCGGTACGTACGCCGTCATCGACCAACGGATACGTGTGGTAATGGTATCACTCTGATGTCAACGTTAACCCCGAAGGCCCGAACAAAGCAAACCAGCGTCACTTTCGCGCACAAGTCAGGTTTAAGTGAATGACAATTTCACAATGGAAAGGATCTCGCGACGATACGTACTTATTAAGTACTTAACACCTATCGCCACTTTATTATAGTTTTTGACAGAATTTGCCTGGGGGTCTTTTTCAGAATTAACCACACACCAGCAGTAACTATAAATACATATTTCACCCAAAGGAGATATCTTCCTTCATAAATCACTACGTGCTTACTGTTTCCAGTTTTCTCGTTTTGACTGCTCTTGTGCATTGATTTCCGATCCACTTCCGGACATATCCCTGATCTTTTTTCGTTTTAGCTGGCAATAGCTGCTTACCATGGACAAATACACCGAGACCATTGATATAACGATCCAGTGGAATGCGATGCTGTTTGAAGCCGGTACCCATCGCGGCAGCCTCCGCGATGGTTACTACACTTCTGATTACTACTCAACCTACAACCAGTAGCTGAAACAACAGCGTACCGCCAGTTCCCGAAATGGATTTCTGATCTGCAGGATTTTAATCGGCTACTGTGGCGTTCAGTTTCATGATCTCACGGCCTGTGATTTGCCAAAAACCGACGCACTTAAATGTCAAAAGTATTCGGACATGTGTCAAATCTTGTCCAGAAGTATTCGCACATCTCTATTCCTTCCAATCTGTTCCAAATTCTGTCTCGACAATTTGTTTTAAATTACTTTAATTTAAAATTTAAGTCCCTTGGGGTCCAGGTTTGCTGAAGCAAGTTGTTCTTTACGCCAATCTGGTGCAGAATTATACGTACTTGCAATGCGCCAGTTCTGAAATTTTTGCAAGTCCGAAATAAATGGAAAAATATTTTACTGAGCGACAAATTTACCATAATATCATTGTCGTTCAGAACACTGGAGCGGAAAGCAGTCAGTAATGCGAATACGACAGCCGTAAGAAACAGATTGAGCATTAAGCCGGTAAATGCCATCTTGAACTGCACTAGAATGTTATTTCACCTGCTGTCTTTACCAGTTATTACGTTCGGCGTTTCTAGCATAAGGATGCGTAATACTGCTGACCTCCATGAATATGACATAATACTATGATGTAGCTAGGTAGTATTAAGAACATACCAGCAGGCAGCAACATGCGACAACCGCATTTCAGTTCAAATGCAGTTGAGTTCGATCGAACAAATATCGCACCAATTTTTGCTTCGAACTGTTCGAATAACGGAATAGGGAACATTACAACTATTGGGTGGCCGAACAAAATGTCGGTCTGCTTCTTTGAAGTGTTGAGGGTCCATCCAGCCTTTAATCGACAGTTTTTTAATTTAGTTTGAAAGAGCAGTGTTCGTTTCATATAAAAAATAGGAAAACCAACATTTTAAAAAGCTCTGAATTTTTTACAAATTCTTTTAAAGAAATGGGTGGAGTTGGAGGATGTCCCGGAAACCCAAATTCAAATTTGCTATTTCTCAATTCAAAATCGCCGTTATTCGACGACGTATTTTGTTGGTTTTCATGGTTGTAACTTTACTATTTCGGGTAAGGGAAATGTTTCTTGTTTATTTCCTCGTAAAAAACTATGACCTTTACTGGATTTATTCGGGGTAGAAGCGGTAACTACAAAACCCCACACATATGATTCTCGTGAAATCAGATGGCCGTTGCTTTAATAATAAATTTCTCTCCGACGATTCAGAAACTGATAAGGCTTAAACGTGTTTCTATAAGAGCATTCATTTAGCTACATTCATCATCGAAATCGGCTTATCTGATTGCACCCTGTTTTGCAGTAAAAAATTTTCCCTAAAATAAGCGAACAAAACTGACAAAAAACTTGCAGTTTTTCGAAATGCCACAAAATGCGGGAACTGCATAGCTCATTCAGAGCATGCACCATGCCAACAACTTTTTTTTTAAAAGCAGAAGATTTTCGCTACATAAATCAGCTGAAGAAGTTAAAATATTGCGCGCTGGAAAAACGTATCACCAGATTCAAAAGTTTGCGAGCTGGGACAAAATAAATTTCCACACGTTTTTAATTAACATCGTTATTAATGAGCATGTTTTAATTTTCTGAAATAAATTTCACCGTTTCTAGTAGCTAATTAAATTTTCTATCGAACGATTCTAACTAATTTACAATAGGACAAATGGTTCGCGAGAAACAAACCACAACAGGAGACCGACATTTTGTGCGGCCACCCGGTAATTTCAGCATCCTGAAATAGCTTTACCTTACAGTAAACACGAAGCCGAACCGATGACCCGCCTTTTCGTCGACGAAAATTCATTGATCGTCACTAAGACGAACATACGTATACGATGTCGACCCGTCACGAAGTCGACGTACCAACCTTATGTAAACCGCCTTAGCTTTCCTATGTTTCTTAGGTTTCCTTAGGTCTTCTTTATTTAGACAGTTTCTTAGATTTTTCCTTAGGCCATCCAGTTTTTTAATTATTCTTAGATTGTCTTAGCCGTTGGCCTCGTGATCATCGACGTTTTGCTGCCGACCTCGGCGACCTCGTGGCTGTTGTCCTTGGTCGGCGGGAGTGTTAGTCGACATAATTTCGGCGGACCAAGTAAACCTTAACAGTTAGAAAAAACTTCTGATGTGTGCATTTTGCTCACTTAGTCGGTTTCAAAAAGTTACTTTCGATCCAAACGCTCGCGAGACAGCACAAATATCTGTGGTTCAATCCAGCGCGCTTTTTTAAAGAATGCTGTGCGATTATCGGTTTTGTCGTGCAGCCTATTCAGTATCTTTTCAAGTTTTGTTTCCCCACAAAATCCTAGATATTCTTTTAAGGTATTGTATTTGTATAATAAATTCCGACATTACCAAGGCGTATTAAATTTTAATGGCATTCAATCGTGCGTATTTATATAACCGCTACCGGCAGTCAAAGGAACTGTGCCAACTGCTGACCAAACATGGACAAGCTGGCACTATGGTAAGAGATCTATAAAGGAGATAGGTAGTGTTGGGTAGTAAAAGTCCTTGCCAATATACTTATTTTTACTATCTGCTTTTGGAAGTTTACTTATTTTTACTTACTATTTAAAATTTCTCGGGACTTTTACTTACTTTTACTTACTATTTCAATTTTTCCAAGGACATTTACTTACTAAATTAAAGTAAATTTACTAAATAAATGTAATTAGGACTGAAAGTGTCGAACTGCGTTAGTTTCAAAGCGCTGAAAAGTACTGAAAACGGCGCAGAAAATTTTCTTATGCATTAATAGAGCTATACAGCGATGCAGGCGCATACTGAAAAGTAAATACTGCTGCTTTTTAGGGCGGTAGGCTGTCAGCCAACTACTGCGCACACTCACTTTACCTGCGAGAGGCGGCGGCTAACACGCCAATTTTACATAACGCTTGATAAAACGAATTAGTAAATAATTTAGTAAATGATTTTTATTTAGTCAACGCTAAACCTTAATATTTACTTACTTTTTACTATTCCGGCAGCACATTTACTTACTTTTACTTATTTTGTTTCCAAAACCTTACTATTTACTAGACTTTTAATATTAGGCGGACTTTTACTAAGTAAATGGCCGTTATTTAATTTTATTTAGTAGCACAACACTAGAGATAGGCTTAGCAAAAAATCCATTAAAAGATGTTTTACTCTTAATGTTCACATCGCAGAAGTTGCATCTGCTACGAGTAGTACGTAAATCACAGAATAAAGCAAGTCCACAGTCCATGGCGGGGAAGAGAACACGTCTGTACCAGAGTTCGGATGGTTTCTTTTGCCCTTCACTTGTTATACGTCGAGTAATAATCCGTGGTAAAATAACCATCTCTGAGGTTCCGGGGGGCGACGTATGTTATAGGAGCAATACTTTCTCCGCCCTGAGACTGATTGTTCTTTGTGATTAAATGGGCCATCTTGTTACAGCTGTTATACGGTTGTAACCCAAAATTAAAGAACGCCGAATCAGCGTTGAAAAGCCAGAAACTAATTTTTGTTGGGATTCTATTAGTATCGTAGTAATCCAAATTTTGAATGAAATTTTCTCGCTGGGCTTCAGCAATATATACCGTACCTGCAGTAGCGTCAATGTATTTTGCCATTGACAAACAGCTTGAGGCCGGTCTTGTCGGCAGACCCTTTACAAAGTTGCGGTAGACAATAAAAGTTTTATTACAGCATATCCTATCCGTTATCTGATTGTCATTCATCCATTGATAATTAGTGAATGAAACTGCTCATGACGCTGTTACTTCGCCATTTAGGTTGCTGCTGACTTCACTGTAGGACGTAACTCATGCGACACTGAGGTTGGATGACCGCACTCAGTTTGCTAAGCGAACACGTGGTGACCTTGGTTGCGGTACCCCTTTGATCGGTTACAGACGTTGAAGCCCCAGTGCGCGGGTTCATTGTTATATGTCCTCGACATCCATTATCGCGCCACCGTCAAGTAGGTACAAGGTACTTAGGCCTCGCAAAAGGCCAAGATAAATGTGTGCTCTTTTTTTGGCGCGTTTGATGAAGTGCAATCCTCCTATAATTCCACATGATTACTGCACTGCAAGAAAGTGCAACCAGTGAGGAATCAGTTAGTGGTCTAGGAAATGGCCGTGCACCTCGGCCACATCAAAAACTCATACAACGTAACTACATATATGATTCGCCAACATGAAGTAAGCATTATTTTGTACGTTAAGTGCGGCCAAATGGTGACGTTTTGAGATGTGAAAACAACATTGTCAAGACAAAGCGTCGTCTTCATTCTGATGCGGTCTGAGTGACAACCATATTACGGCAAGGATCTGCAATCAAATAGGCACTTAATTTTAAGT